AAGGGTCCAACTAAAATGCTATTTTTTGTGTGTTTTCATAAGTTATTGGACAGGCAATATTGACTTCTTAGGGGAAGCTGACTTATTTTAATATAAATTAAAGTACTTTGGTTCTGTATCATACGCATTTTAGTTTATAATTCAGATACATAAGTGAGGTGAAATCCAACAGACTACTTGGGCTTGTATTTTAACCCAGAGATAAACATATCCAAGTTGGGGACCTCATGTATCTATTGTTTATTGCTTTGACCCGGAAGCACCGAATGATATGTTAGTGGCCAGAATATGTCTGTTCTTATCTACCGAGATTTTTATGTATTTTAAAGTTCTATGCTAACTGCACAGAACAAAGTGGTTAAGTTGGGAGCTTCCTTGTTATCAAAGTGGTGCATTGAATAAATAAACAAATGTTTTCCAAAGGGGTTGGTGTTTTACAAAATGAAACTAAGAGCAGCATGAACTTTGGGCCTACAAACATCTGGTGTACAGAGAAAAAAAAATAGCAAATTTAGAGGTTGCTAATGTCTTAGTTTGGTTAGGTGTGGCTAATTCTGCTCCCTAACAGTAGCCCAAGACTCCCATGAAGCTGCCTCAAGTAAAAGACACCCTCATGCCTCATGCTGTCAGGGCCTGTGTCCATTTACACCATTATTTGAGCACATTTGAGCGATTTTCTATTGAAGTTCACAGCGATCTTCATGCAACACGCTTAAATTTTGTCGCTATGCAGAGGCTCGTGCAGAAGACATATTTGTTTTTACATGTACAGTTCAGTTGAGTGAGACACAACTTGTACAGTTTTCGCTTTTTCTTCTAAAATACACGGAATCATAGTTAATGTGAAGCAAATTTAAATGGACTAAACAGTCACAATAAAAGGACAGAAGAAGAGCTTTGGGATGACTTTTAAAACTTAAGTGATGGTGTCCGCGAGAAGTGCTCTGAAATTGTTGCTCTGTGGTTGAGTGCTGGCAGCACAAAAATGGCATTAATGGACATAGGCCCTTATTCTTGAACTGTTTTCCCCCCTTTTCTTCCTCTGATAGACTTCCTCTCTCCTCATTTATTAAATGACTCATTTTTATTCACATTTCTTCCCGTCGTCTCTCCCTATGGTTCACCGCTGAAAGGTTAGAGTTACTTTTGGAGGTGCTCTTGTTTTTTCCTGCCAAACATCACCCCAGACCTCACTGATCTTTTTTATTCATTAAAAACACGACTTTAATAACAAGGAAAAGCTTTATTACTGATATTACTAACAAGTCACCAGAGGGTCAAATATAATAACTATTTTTTTATGCTAAAGAGTAACAGAGAATATTAAAATGGAAATGCATTCAAATAAAATTATATTTTCTTCGTATGAACTTTCATTCTTAAGTAAGATGTGCCAAAAATGTGGTTTCTATGGGCTGTCTAAGCTACAGGGATGGAAAAGGGCAACTGAAAGTAGATTCTCTGCGCATTTGGGTTGAATCTAATCTCTCGTGTTGACCAGCTTAAGGGCGAAACCAGCTGTGAGGTGAAGCTTTAGGCTAATTAATGCTGATTTTATGCACAGAAGTAGAAAACACAGAGCCTATGTTATTTACTACATAACCATCATGACCTGCATACTCCAACATGTTTTTGTTGGGATGGACATTACATATTGCATCCAGTAGAAGGGCTGAAACAAACTGGTCTTGTATTGACATTTACTCCTCCTAATAAACCAATATCCAGTTTTCTTCTGAGCTCAGAAGAGTTGTGAAATTGTTGTGAGTTTCTGAAAAATGTACATTATCCTTCTTCAATATATTTTGTGATCTGGCTCTAACTGTCCTCTCAACACCGCCTCATGGACCTGATGGATTTGGGAAAACAAAGCACCTTCAGAGTCTGCTCAGGTTACAAGGATGGATGACGATCGGCTGACATGAATACACCATAACTCCCCACATTTATTGTCCACTTGAACAAGGAAGCAAAACTTAACAGAACACCTGTTGGCCATCAGCATACAGTGGAAGTCAACTATCTATGTATCAAACTATCACAAAACTGTCTCAAGGTTGTAACTGAAATATTGACAAAAACAAGACAAAATTTGACATCAACCAAAACAAGACTAAAATGAAAACGGAGTTAATCTTGATTAAGACAACACAAGAGACAATGACTTAAATATGATCAAATCAACCTCAATTTTGTGGAAATGATGAAGACTAAACTTAATATTTCTTGACACTGTTTGATTGGTACTGCAACAGCTAGTCCAGACAAAGAGGTTCCCCATCTGTTAACATTCTTCATAAAAACAGACACGCATACTTGTGACATCTATGTTTTCATATCAGATTCCTCAGACGTGTGCCTCTTGTGATGGATCGACAGTTCAGACACTCCCACCCTTTAACCCTCCTGTGTTTCCCAGAGAACGGTCCTGCAGCTTGAGTGTCTACAGACCAAAACAGTGGCCCCCCACTCATGAACACCAGACCCCAATCACGCCTGGCTGACATCAAAGTTGCCCCCCCTGCTCGGACAAAAGCGAGACAGAGTGAGGTCGTACGGAGAGATATATAAAACCTTTTATGATTTATTTATATATCCTCGGCAGGGACATTCTCAGATTAAAAACACCAGAACAAAAAGACCCTGACTGAGGAAACAAACGTTCATAACTGATATCTGAGCACCTGCTGGGGGAAAAGGAGAGTGAGGCGCTGAGCTTCAGGCCAACTCACATACATGTTTAACAAAGCTATTGTTCTTTGGAGCTCAACCACGACGGACTCACTTAGCATTCAGCAGAGAGACATGTTTGCTTTACCTCCTCCTCTGCTTTGATAGGCCCTTATGTTAATATCACCGAGGTTGTCCGGGTTAACAAACCTTTACCGAGCACTATCTGAATCTGAAGTAGAGATGGATGCACTCTTCCCCTCTGGAAGAAACCGCAGAGTGACTGGTGATGGTGAAGTCATGATCGGGGAGGTGAAAGCAGACGAGCGTGTGGGCTTGTCTTTACCCCGAGTTGTGTCTGGAGACGATTACAAAGCTGGTTTGGAAATAGATCTGACTTTTCAAAGAAGCTTTAAAGTGAAATGCAATTTGTATCATTTCTTATGTCATGTAGATAAATTTAAGTTGTCAACACAGAACATGAAAATCTTTGGCAGCTGAGACAGCGTGAGGTCAAAGGGGCAATAATTCAAGTCCTATCTCTGGTTAAACTCACTGTGTTTATGCATAATGTTTCAAAGCTCTGCTGGGGATTCATCTCTGATTCTTTTGCAGCTCAGTTTAAATACTTCTGACAGATTCAGCGCTTTGAAAAAGAAACCCTGAAAGCTACATAGAAATGATTATGCAGCGTGATTATCTCTCAGATCTGCGCATGAAATGAGGCCATAAAAGTAGATGAAGCAACATCAGTTTTTGATTTCTCGAATGAGCTTCTATGGTATGTATGCTGATAGATATGCAAGTAGTGCACTACTGTAAGCCTACACATAAACTGTAGATAAGTTACAGGTAAGTTTGAAACCCCACACAGTTTTCAACAATGAAGAAAAATGCTACTTTTAACACTCAACTATTAGATATGCTGAATCCAATTTACTCCTGAAGAATCCAACAAAGATGGAGATGAGGCTGCAGTCTAGCTGACAACAAACACCTGAAACGGCCATCTGTCTATGGTGGGATTAAGAAAATATATGAACAAATATCAGCATTTAAGTGACCAAAACAAATGATTTATTTAAGAAAAAAATAAACCCCAGTGCAAGAGTTACAGAAATGAGAAAGCAACTTTAGTTTCTGCTGTAAAAATTGGGCATTTTCAAAAGGGCTCCAACAAGGTCACATTGGCTTTATAAGGCAGCCTCTAGTGGACACTTCAGGAACTGCAGTTATTGAAACTTCAACATTGGTTTTGTTTTTTCACACTGGAGATTCACTCACTCCTGAGTAAGCCTCAAGTGGCCATTTTAGGAACTGCAGTTTTTGAAACCTTGGCTTTCCCCCTGGGTTTAGGTGGTATTACAAAGAAATTGAATAATTTATTCCCACAAAAGCAACAATAATACCCATGATTGAGTAATTATAAAATTATAACATCAATCAGGGACTTCTTTAATTAAGTACAGAAGTGTATTCTGGGAAGTCAGAGGATGTAACTTTTGTTTAAACCTCCCATGAGACATTGTCTACTTATGAAGAGGGGAAAAATATGGCTTATCGTCTAATTATTGTTAATATTTCTAAGACCCTCTGACTAAATTTTAAACTTAATTGATGATGATGTTTATGAAGTGGTACTAAATTTCCCCTTCAGCGTTGGGCTTTTTAAAATAGCAACTATTTCATTTCCTTAACCATCTGGCTGTGTTTAATACTTGATTCTGATTGGTTAAAACTCCCTGACAATGGTTATTAATTCAAGATTAAAGGAGAAGCATCAGAGACAACCACATCACAGCATTTTACAGTTTATGAATTCATCTCTTTTTGTTGATCACAGTGCAAAAATGCATGTGAAATTATCAACATTACTCTCAGTCTGATCAATGGCTGACTAGTCACTGGCAGAGAGAGGAGGTAATAATGAAAACCACTCTGAAACTAGCAAAAAGATATTAAAACATGCTGAAAGCTAAGAACAAGAGACTTCAATCAAATTGAAGAAAACAGAAACGGAGCAAACACAAACTGCACCACTGTAGCAGAGTTGTAGGATTGGTTGTGTGAGAAGAAAATGCCAACAAGATAGTTGTACAGGTGCTTCAATTAAAGGAAAATGTTAATGTTTTGACTTTAACATGAATGAAAATGATAAGTTTCATGTAAATTTGAGCTACAAAAAGGCTTCAGGGTTTCCATTTTACATAACCACCTGTATAATATACGTTATCATTTATTTAGAGTTTGTTGTTGTGTCTTAAATAAATGAATCTGTCAGTGTAATCTGAACGGGTCACTGCTTTAAGCGCATATTTTGGTACTCAAAGCTCTGAATTTCAACTATTTGCTTCGTCATTCTAATCAAATGATCTGAAACCTGCTGATTGTTTCTGTCTGAGTAACATATTCCAGATTGGAGCAGATTACAGGTAACATTTTTTATAATCAGATTACAGCTGTTTTCCCTTTTCTCTCCCTCAGCTTCTTCCCAGATGTGGTCTCCAAACAAATGCTGCTTTCAGATCCGTCAGTGTGATCAGCGAGGGAATTTCATTAGAGCGAGACCTCCATGACTGAGACTGATAACAGCGGAGAGGAGGGCGAGGAGGAGGGCGAGGAGGAGGGAGGAGAACAGCGTGCGCTGTGTTTGACCAAAGACAGCCCTCAGTTGTTATCTGTGCCTGGTGGTGAGGAGGAGAGAGGAGGGGAGGGCAGAGGAGAGTGGGAGAGATAAAGGGAAGAAAACAGGGAGGAGGTGAGGTAAATACGATAAAAGCAAGAGGGAGGAAAAGGGGGAGATTAGAGGACAGTAAAGTGAGGAGAGAAGGCCAATGTGGAGAGGAGGAAGAGATAAGAAAGGATGCAAGGGGAAGAGAAGAGAGGAGGCGTTGAGGAAGGGGAGAAAAACAGAAAAATAGAATAAAGAGTACAAGACAAAAAGGTAGTAAAGTAGGGTAGAAGAGTGGATAGGAGAGGTGAGTTAAATGAGAAAAGAGGGTAAGAGAGAGTTATGATAGAGGGAGAGAGCTAGGAGAAAGGGAAAGAGGGAAAAGGGGTGATACTCAACTTTTGGAGCAGGGAGGAGAAACTGATAAGGAAGGTTAAAATTAAGCAGAGGAGAGAAAAGGAAAGTGGATAAGGAGAGGTGACAGAGGAAGAGAAGGGAAGGGGGTGATGGGAGATAAAGAGAAAATAAAAATAAGAAAGAGGACAAGAGGAGGGGAGACAAAGAAAGGAGAAAAAGTGAATAGATAAAGGAAGAAGAAGGGGCCTGTCCAGAAGAGTGGCATTGACCCCCTTGATTCTGGCCACCTGAGATTCCTAAACTCTGATTGGCTATTTCCTTCATCTGGGGAAACAATTACAGATTATTTATCTGAACTGTATTTCAGTGGATGAGAGCAGTCAAACATCACTTCCTGCTTGCAAATCTGATCACACCCCTTTTGTGTGAGAGCAGTCAATCCAAACAAATAGAGTTAAACGGCGACTCTTTAGCCTAGAACAGGAAAATCATGTCATTTAACGGCCAATGAGATTCTAAATCTAATGGTTGATAAATGTTTGTCGAAAAACATTTAAAAGAAGTTTCAAATTTGACCGTTTTCTCCCAGTCTGCTGCAATCAAACTGGACAAACAACCCCATCTTGTGACCAAAGGTGTCATAAACTGATATCACTTTACTCGTGTGTGTAACTTAACTGTCTTACCTGAGTCTGAGTGTCACTTTTAAAATCATCTTTCTCATTTACAATATCTGGTACCACACAGGGCTGTAATGTGGGGGTCAATGGTGTATCTTCTTCAGCTGATTTTTTATCGCCCATCAAAAAAGTCTGGATTTATGTGTTTGCTTTACTGGCTGTTAGATCTGAGCTTACATTTGCTGGCAATTGATTCAGATTGACTGCTTTCACCCAAAAGAGGGAGGGGCCACAACAACTTCATGCACTAAGGATGCAGGGTGTAAAAGGAGGGAGGAAAATAAAGAAAGAGGAAAGAAAAGCATGAGGACAGTGGAAAGAAAAGGAGATGGATCGAGTAGGAAAAACGTTGGAGCTGAAACGCGGCAGGTGGGAAAGGTAAAGAGATAAAATAAGGAGGGTAAAGAAAAGAGGAGGGGGGAGACAGTGACACAGGAGAGCATGAGCAAGACCTGGGCTCCTCACTGAGGACTGATGTGATGGTAATCTCTCAGCTGGAACATCTGGTCCAGGTCTGAACAATGGCTCCTGCAGGCAGATTGCAGCGGTGTGGCTGCCTCTCTCAGACCCGCAGAGATGATCTGATAACCCTCCTCCACAGGTCCGAGTCTGCAGGTCAGCAACACAACACGGCAACAAAGACACACTCTGTCTGCACACATACTGGGTCACATTTAATAAACCTGCTTCTATGTGGACTGATGGGAAATGGGGATGATGGTAAGATAGGAGTTCCTGTGTTTGAGGTGAAGAGTGACATCCTCCTCTTCCTCCTCCTCCTCCTCCTCCTGGGGAACATTCCTCAAAGACCTCCTTTGCATTAATGTGACACTCAATCTGAAGATGGACTGCTAATCCAGAGTCCTGTTACAGATGTGCTATGCTGTAAGTGCTTTCTATGCCTGATCTCTGCAGCTCTGGTGAAATGTAGCCACACTTCAAACCTCTGCAGACATTCAGTTATTGTTTCAACCCACCAAGAAATCTCCAACACCAGTTTCTAACAAGTTTTGAGCCACACACTTGTATAAAAACTTCTGTTTAGAGACAAATCATCCGATTAATATTAATGTGTGCCAAAGATGTTGATCAAACAGTCTTTTTCTAGACCCCTCAAGTACTACTTGTTTCTACTTTTACATGTATAGGACATGTAAGACATGTAGGCATACCCTGCATCCTTAATGCAGGGTATATGTACAAGGCTACTTTGATAACTTGAGTTATTAAATGCATGGTCCAAAATAAGACAAAAGACAAACACAAAATGACATCTAACTGCATACAAATATTTTCCTCATACAGTAAGACTTCTTGCAATCTAATTAGTAAAAATAGAGAATTTGAAAGTGTGTCAAAAGCTTTAAAAAGTGCATATACAGACCAATACGCTTAGCTTTACCCTCACCTTTGGGCAAAGTGCTAACAACAGCTGCCATCTACATATTTCATTAGCTATATTTTTGGTGCAGTTCAACCTAACCACAATCTTCCTGATGTTGAAATAATAGTCTCTATATTTGTTCATAGAGCTGAAGTTTGAGGTGAAATGTGGGTGAAGAGTTTTTCTAAGTGGAGTTTAGCTTTGTGGTTATCTTTAGCCTGCTAATGCTACACAGTTATCATTTAGGATTGAACTCCTAACTTTAAATGTAGATAAAGGGCGTCATAGCAAACACAGCAACTGTTGACCATGATATAGATAAATAGCAGTTTGAAACTCACCAACTAGTGAAAAACTAGGACCAGAATTTCCAGGTTTAAGGGCTTATTTTAACTCCTCAGACTCAGAAACTTTGGACAAGGCCTACCTGCTAGCGCCGCACTTCTCCCGTCGTCACACGCGCCATTTAAATTTGGGCGGAGCTAACGAACTATCAACCGAAGCTTTATAAACCACGCCCCCGCTCCATATTCTCACTGATTAGTGTGTCGTTCACGAACGATTCATTCAAAAGAACCAAATCTTTTGAGTTAACGTACTGAGCAAATTCACTTCCTCGAGTGATTCGTTCGTTTCTCACTTCAGTTGAGCTGAAGTGAGAAACAGCATTACCAGGCCAGCAGCCGGCAAACGAGGGACTGCAGGCACCGACGCTTGAATCACTTGGTGAACGAATCATGCGTTGAACTGAACTCTCTGGAATCATTTTTGTTGGACAAAACTACTTTTTTGTTTTTTCCTGTTAAATTGCCACCACAACAACTTGCATGCAATAGGACACAGCATGTAACAAGTAGTGCATTAAACCTGCAGCATCCTACCATTGCAGCGGTTTGCGATGGAACAGTGCATGTTCAGAGCGAATTCTTCTAAAGGTTCAGTGAACGAATCACTCACTGACCCCAATTTACCAAGCAGACCAGGTAAATAGCATACTTTAGGACAGTACACTTAAAACATCATGACGTATACACAAGTTCATTTTTACAAACCTGTTTGCCAAAGCAGCACAGCCAAACACTCTGGTCTCCCGGTCTGAATTGAATTGAATCCTGAGCCGTTCAGCTGTGTATCAGTTCAGGAGGTCAGAGTCGCAGGGTTCTCCCGCCAAGCACTGAATGATTCGGTGATTTGGTGAACAAATCTTTTGAATGAATCTTTTCAGTGAACTGATTCTAGTGATTTAGTACATCAAAAAGAACTGCGGTGCCCATCACTAAAGCCGATTAGCTGCTTTTTAACCACATTTCTAAGACTAAAAAGCTGTCAATGTAGCTCAGATTTTTTAATCCTTGTTGTGACTCTGGACTCTGTCATCATACTTAGTTTTATTTTATTAGTTTGGGCCAAATTTCCAAAAGCTTTAGTGCTTCAGGGTTTACGTCAAAGATGAAATAAAGCCTCTTAATAAAACTCTAGGGACAGAGAGAGACACAGTGAAGTCCTTAAAAACAGAAGAAATTCCAGATGGTGCTTAAGAGGGGGACATCACAGCAGACTACATGGCTCATGAATGTCAGCAACTCTGATTAAAAGCCGCTCCGCCTGAGGAAAAAAAGTGCTTACTCTGCCTTTCATGCCCATTTATCACATGGAATTGTTTGTATACAGTTGTTTTATTCTCCCCGAGTGTGTGTGTGAGTGAGAGAGAGATGAGATGAGTGTAATTAAAGTTTTTTAATTAGACGCTGTTCTTTTCTGGGAAGCCTGTGGCAGCGCTGGGTGGAGCCAGAGTGGAGACAGGAGGTTTGTGGTCTGGCTGAGGGACCCATGCCGGCCCGGGTAATGGAAACCGGGTGTTCACTGTACACATATACACACACACACACACTCATGCAAACACACACCCGCGCCCACACACACATATAAACCAGAACTCAAGAGAGAATAAACACACACTGGAAGCCACATAAAGTTATGCAGACATGAATCTGAATACACAGCCCCCACAATAGTAATGTACACCACACACACACACACACACACACACACACACACACTTACATTCACACATAGACACACACACGCACACATTCAGATACATTAATTCATTCGTGTGACTTCCACATTATAGATTTCAGCCTGCTGACACGTAAATTCTCTAAATAGTGATGATGTGTGCATTTGCATGCACACACATGCATGCAAGCCTCTGCATACATAAAGATAAATAAGAGCTCCCTCACTCTCTCGCACACACACACACATTTATTACTCCACACTGATGCACAGCCCTCACGCACAGGCACGGATAAGGACACGAAGAGAGGCACACGCATGAATGCACATTCACTCACTGCCTGTCACTCACTCATGCACGCACCCACGCACGCACACGCAAGGGCTCATTATGGATGCATATGGTGCACGCAAACACATAAACCCTCTATGATGCACGCACACACTTGCATGAGTGCACACTAACACCATCGACAACACCACCACCACCCTTTCTCAGTCATTACACATGCATACACATGCACACATGCGTGCACACACATATAAATGCGCTTAGGCACATGCTTGAGTGCACACATGCGAACACACAATAAGCCCTGATCGTTCAAATCCCCTTGCACGCACGCACACCAGTATAAGTCAGGCACACTTTACATTTCCAACCACTATACAAGCACACAAAATGCACGCACTCAGTCTCAACAGTCCTTCATACACTGACTTTAACTCACACATAATGCACAGTTGAATTTATGCACACAACCACTATACAAATATGCATACATGCATGCACTCAGTCTAAACAATCCTACAATTTGACATAAAAACATACCCTGCATCATGCACTTGCTTTAATACATGCACACACTATACAGCTTAATTCAACCACTGCACAAATACACGCACATACTCCCAGCGTTAAACAGCAATGTGGCACAAAACCATATCCTGCATCATACACTAGCTTTAATGCATTTGCACACACACACACACAAACACAATTCATTGCATCTTCAACCACTAAATAAAGACATGTACAAACCCAGACTGTGACGACACAAACACACACCCAGAACCGATCAGACCCACAATGTGACACAAACCGTACCCTGCAGTACATAGTGTCTCAAACATGCACTTATATAATTCATGCACACATTATATTTCCAGCCACTATTCAAATACACACACTGAGGCCCAATTAGACACACAACCTTGTCCCTCGTCATTTACTGGCTTTAACGCACACACACACACACAAGCACACACACAATTTAATTAATGCAAACATTACATTTCCAACCACTATATAACTACATACACAAACACACGGACTATGACAACATAAAACGCACACTAAAGCGCGCTCAGCCCTACGTTTTAACATTTAACCATATCCTGCATCATTAACTTGCTCTAACACACACACACACACACATACAGCCTAAACAAATACAGTAGGACGGGGAAATGCAGAAAACAGATCTGCCTTTTCCATCAGACGCTGACGTCACTTTTCCACAAAAACGCTAACACCCCAAATTACAGGCGATCAAACTCTTCCTCTTTCGACTACATGGGACAAATTCATGTTAGCATATTTAAACGAAACAGGACAGCATGTGAAGATGCTCTCTGTGCGCGCCGTGTGGTCAAACTGACATAATCTGTCAGCGAAAACACAGAATGTGAAACCATGATCCTGCACAGGCCTCCCTCCGTGCAGCCACCACAGTCAGATGTATGTAAATATATGGAAAACACTGAGGTGTGAGAGCGCATACATTTCACACACTCGCCATATGTGCTTTTATTCCAGCTGGGCTCCTCACTCTCTCTATTATTCCTTCGTACCCTCAGCATTATTCAGCTCTGGACTGTCAGTTTGAGCAGGTCAGACTGGGCAGCAACAGGTCAACTCTATGAACAGGGCACCATCTAGTGTTACAGGCAGAGTATGGGAGAGCTGCACTCCAGATTCTCTGCACACTCACACACACACACACAGACGTGGGGTGTTTTTGTCTGGAGTGTAAAGAGGTTTCACACTCAGGAGTTGGTGATAAACTGAAGAGCTGTATGCACGGACCTAAAGGTGCAGAGGACATGAGGGAAGGATGGGGTGGGGGCTGAGCCGCAGATGTGATTGTTTGCACAGTCCAGGATTACAAACAAACCAAGAGCTGAAGTGCTGCTGTATGTGTGGATGCTGGACAGAGTCTACTCCAGCTCAAAATAGCCTGTTCTCTGCAGAGTTTCAACCATAAATCACCACATAGATACATCATTTTAGCCATATTAAGTATTAAAAACGCTTAAGTCTCATCTAGTACAGAAAACAAAATCCAACTCATGAGCATTAAAGACGAACAAAAGCATCATGTGATCGTGATAAAGGTTGAAAAATTCAGCTTTTTTTCTTGTAATATCATCAAACTGTCGATGTAACCCCAACAAATCAATCATTGTGTCTCTGGTTACAGTTTAAATCACTGTTTTCAGCAGAGCAACAAGTGGTCACACAGCTCAAAAGAAACTTAACTACGAATATTTTGAAGCCATATTTTCAGGAAAACGTGCAGAGGAAATCTGAGTTCAAATTTGATTTTATCTAAACTTTGGGTTTTTGATTGGAAAGGAGTAGAAAAGTCCCAACAAGGAGCTTTAAAAACCAGGATGGACATGTTTTTAGTTAATGAATGATGACCATTTTTCATGAAGTTGCATTAAAAGGTTACAAAGATATATTTCTCCATGAATGCAACATCACTCAAACCTGCAACTTTACCATCTGCACGTGCCTGCAATCTTCACACTGTCTACTTTAAGACACTTTCACACCAGCATACCACAAGGCAGTTAATTACGACAACATTGTGTTGCAACACACCTGCAGCCTCCCTCAGGCTCTGGTTGCACAACTGTCAACAGGTTATTTAAGGCGTCAGAGCAGTTATGATTTCAGTCTTAGTTATTAAACGCAGTTTACGATCATACAGCAGATAGCAAAGTGCTTGTGCTAATACAGCCCTAGTCCTTCTGACCTCTAAAAGCTTTTTTACACAACACAATCATACACTGATGGAGAGGATGCTGCAGCTAGAGACCCTAAAGTGTTGACTAATCTCGTTCACGCACTCATAACCGTGTCACCGGGAGTAATTTGGGGTTCAGTCTCTCGCAAATGGACGCTGCAGAAGCTGGGATTGAATTGCCGCCTTTCTAGACGTGAAATGAGCTGCAGATTCATTTTGGCTTGAAATGACACAGTTTTGATGACAGGCAGAACAAATCAAAACACTCGACTTTCACTTACTTAAACAATTCAACAGCTGCAGAAAGTTTAACATTGTTTGGTGCCACTTTAAGAGAAAATACCATTGTTCCAAATTCATGGTAAGAGTTTTGCACCCAAGTTTTCAGGTGCGTTCAGGTTGATTTGGGCGTGGCTCACATACCTTTACAGAAAAAAAGTACATCTGCAGGATATAAATCCTGCTCTGAGCACGAATCAACAAACAACAAACCTACTAAAACACAGCAAATGGTGTTTATTGTCAAAGTGTAGGAGTAGGACAATGTTATATGTGCATAATTCATTATTGTGTACTCTAATTGTGCAACAAACTAAGCTACAGTATATACAGACATCTATCATTGACTGTTGATAGCTGGATGACAGTTATACTGTATAACAGTAAATCTAGTTGGCCGGTTGCTTGGGTAGGACAGCCTTCAAAGACGATCCGTCAGAGGCCCAAGACTTTGGTATCATCTGCATCAAATGCAAAACGGTGACTCTTACTCTTACAGTGTAATATCAATCAATACAACTAAACACATCCATTAAAAACATCCACATGAATATACTCAATGCAACAAATGTTATGCAGAAAAATCTCCCCTCCCTAACTCTGTTTCTCTCTTTTCTCTCCATAAAAATCCAGTCGAGGTTAAACAAACATTTAAATGTTACATATCCCATAAAAGAAAAAGAGAATAATGTTATGAGAACCCCCAGTCTAGATAGCAACGATGCTTTTGTGAAAAATATATGTATCATAGAGTGAACTAAACATTTACATGAATTTACAGGTGAAAGAAAACATCGTTTTGACATAACTCTTTAGAATAATAATAATAATAATAATAATAATACAGCCCCCACAGTCATATGAACATGCTATGATCTCATGTTACTCACTCCGATCATTGTCCGTGTGAAGGCAGGCCTTCAGCCTGTCACAGGGTTGTGGTTGTGTCAGTGTGTGTACATGTGTTAAAGTGTGCTGTGTGTGTCTGTATGAGCGGGATTTGGTGTGTCTGAAGGCTCAACAGTCTCCTGAATTATGCGAGTGTGGCCCGGTCTCCATTTTCCAGTCTCTCTGGTCAGTGGCTTCTGCCGTGCCGTGCTGGGAGGCGGCGGGGGACAGTGACATCTGTCTGCGAGGGTTTCCGCTGTGCATCGTGTTCCAGTGGCGCTTCAGATCGGACGCTTTGATGAACGCTTTGTCGCAGGAGCCGCAGTTGAACGGCCTCTCCCCTCGGTGCTGCCGCTCGTGGTCTTTCAGGTGGGACTTGTGCTTGAAGGCTTTTTCACACATTTGACACGCAAAGGGCCGCTCGTTGCTGTGGACCCTCTCGTGCCGCTTGAGGTCGGGGCCCCTGATGAAGGCCTTACCGCACACGACGCAGCGGTGAGGCTTAAAGCCAGAGTGGATCTTCAGGTGCTCCTTGAGGTGGGCGGCGGTCGTGAAGGCTTTAGGGCAGTGCTCGCAGCCGTAGGGACGGTTCGCGGTGAGCAGGCGCTCCTTTTTGGCATTGTGGTCCATGGGCTTGGCACCTGTGCTCTGGCAGGAGCCGTGGTCGCGGTGGCCGTACAGCAGGTACTCCAGCTTCATGTCGCTGGAAGAGGAGGAGCCCCAGCCGTGGCTGTGGGGGTCTTTACTCATGTTGGTGTTGTAGTTGTGCGGCTGCGTCACGTGAGAGCCCCCGGGCCCCATGCTCTCCATACCCTGATCGTAGAAGCTGTTCTTCCTCACCTCCTCCATCGCCAACTCCTTTAGGATGGCGTCCTGAGCTCTCATCCCGTGGTCACCTGGAGCCTGGTTTTCCCTCGTCTTCATGTTGGTGAGCTCACGTTTCTGGGTGCACAGATTATCCAGGAAGTTGATGCCAAGAATCTGACCTGAAGACATCATCATGTTAATGTCCTTCTTCCTAACGGCGAGCCGCGCCGTGTACATGTAGTTCAGCACCTCCTCGAAGATGTCCGAGCGGATGAAGTCCAGCTCCACGATGGAGTTGTCCTCGTCGCTCTGTTTCTTGAAGAGCTTTTTGAAGTAGTTACTGCAGGCGGCCAAGACACAGCGGTGAGCCCTGAACTCGATGTTTTCCACCACCACCACCACATCACAGTGCTCGCCCTCCATCCTCTGCTGGTTCAGCATCTTCAGGAAGGTGGCTTTGTGGTCGTAGTCGATATATCTCAGTAAATCAGACATGATGCTGGTCAATTTGGAACAACCTGGAGAGGGAAAAGCAGGAAAAAAAGGTCAAAGAGAGCTCACACAGCCTGCACAGCAGAGGGGTGGAGCTCGATTTGCATGCTTTAAATTCAGCTTTTGCATGAGACAAACATTATTAAAGGGATAAAGTGCATTTAGTATCGCGTAGATGTGCAAAAACATGCAGCAAGAACAGCAAAGTATGTGAATCAATCATGCAGAAACCCCTCAGTGAAAAAGACGATAGGCCCGAGAGCACTAAAGCAGCTGGAACGCGAATAAAAAGGCAAAAACACGCGCGGAAACAAACAGATGCACTTTTCTCAACTTCGCTAATGCGTTTGAGCCGCTTTACTCGCGTGACAGCCGCGTCGCGTGCAGAAAGGATAACCTTAGCAAGAATATTTCACATTTCACTGCGCCCAGCCATTTTGGTCAGCAAGCCTCCATTGGCATGTTTCTGGTGTCTTTAAAGCAGTTCACCAGCGGCGGAGAACGCGGCGGAGCTCCTGCGCGCCAACACGCGCGAAACGCCGCGACGTTTTCCTGCGCCGCTCGGACAGACAACGAGAAAAAGACTGAAAATGTTTAATACCCGAAGCCCGAACGCGATCCCTGTGTTGTCACGCAAGGCAGTCGACGACGATCCAGAGCTGTCGTTTTTCCTCTTCCTCCTCTTCTTGTTGTGACTGTTTGGCTCAACAGGAAATGTGGCGCTGCTCTGCTGCCCCCTACTGCACCGGAGCAGGTACTCCACCGAGATCGTCTATGTTCGAGAAGATGACTCACTGCGAGGCTCTTCCTGAGACTGGTTATAAAGCATTGACCCCACTGTACGTCCCACTCGGTGTGTTTGTCTGTGTTTTGTCAAAAAGGAAAGTTTAAGGGGCTTTCAGAGACGACAAGAGGTGTATTTCATGACCTTAAGAAAAAAAATATATATCAGCTCTGTTTTTCTGATGAACGATATCATTGTCAAGGAATTACGATATCTTTTCTTGTGAATAGGGGAGAGTGGGGTAAGATGAGCCATTTTTCATATTTCGGATCACTACATTATTACAATCATAATTTTGTCTCTAACTAGTGTATCTGTACATATTGTAAGATGTTGTTCATCCCTGCAAACCAACAGAATGAGTGTAAACATAACTGTCTTGATAATATAGCACGCCGACTTCTTTACGTTCAGAACTACTATTATGACTTTATTAGTCCTCTTAGCTAAAATGGTGGACTTTTATGTTAGGTTTTTGACCTCATGTTGTAGCTCATAGATACCACAATTGATGATAAAACAAATTTAAAATGATTTTTTTTGGTCTGAACACAATTCTAATCAAACTTATGACAGACTAAATTCACTTTCAAGAGTAAAAAATGTTTTTTTTTTTTTAAATAAATGTCTAACCCCTTTACCCATGTGCTTCTAACCTTCACAGACTCCATGAATTGATGATGATGATTTTCTTATCATTATTAATATGGTCTTTCGTTAAAAAAACTAGAGAAACATCAATTTGGAGGCCTCGTTTTTAACTGAGCTTTTGTTTTTTATTTGTTTTTATTTCCATGTGCTGATGTTCTATGCTTTACGACTGTTTGTCAAAGCACTTTGTAAACTTCTGTTTTTAAAAGTGCTGTAAAAATAAAGTTATTATTATAATGTAGATGTTTATCAACCAATCATAACACAATAGTACCTTAGATACCACACCTGCCGTACAATACAACAGCTCCACACACAGTAACTACTATCTTCAGGGAACGTCTACATCTTTATATTTTGTTGACACAGGATAGCTGAATAATGTTCACATTTTGTACTGAAGACATGATGGATGGAGGAGGTGTACCCATTTATGTCAGTGTGATTTACTACACCCTTAGCAGTCCCTGAAAATCTTCTTCATAGCAGAGCTGTTGTATTAAATTTTTAAACCCGTCTAAATAGAACATTGCTTAACTGTGTTTGTATCCCATTTAGTTCTCGACAAGTAAAGCAAATTGATCTCTGACATGAGATTTACAGAAAATTAACTGATTTTCGTTTCCGTACGGAGTGAGCGCTCTCACCTTTTGCCCCTCTTTGGCATCATCACGCACTGCTCCTGCAGGGCGGGGCTTGAGGGTCTGCGTGCATTCAACATAATTACATGAAGCTGCAAAAACCCTGTCTTAATTACCCTGAGGGTATTTCTTTTAACAGATCAATTAAGTGTTTAGAGCATTTGGCTTAATGAATTATAGATGGAGAACTGTTTACACATTCAAACCACTTCTGCTGATTACCTTCTATATTAATTTTTACTCATATTTAAGTGCAAACATAACAACTATTATGGAGTTAAGAGTTAAAGAAGTACCAGGAGAGATGAAATTATAAGGTTTTCAGTGGGCTCGAAGAATATAAGTCTCTTTCAATCAAGGCTGAACAAATATAGACTATTAAAAACACACATAAAGGCTGAATTGATCAGTCTTTTGTAGGTTATCTCCATATAAATATGTGATAGGTATCAGTATCTAAATGTTTAAAGACATCAACATCAATCAACAGGGTCCAGTGAGTTTCAGCACTGTTGTCAACATTTTATTATTTGAGAAGAAAACAGCAAATTAAAAACAAATGCATTTGCCACTTTTATTATTGGACTGTTTGGAGGCTGTACAGGAAGAATACTGCGTTATTCAGATACAGTCGGACAGATGAGGGAGGCCGTACAGGTGACACACGTTCAGGGTGGGTTAGCGGGCAGGCGGGGATTGACAGATCTCTCTTGGCTTTGCATCTAATTTGGGCAGAGCTCGGCAGTCTGAGCCCTTTGCCTCACAGTCACACCAACCTGGGACTTGTGCTGCAGCCGATTCATCTACCCGGGGGGAAAACATTCAGAGCCTGCAGAGGCACGAAAAAAATCAGATTCCTTGGCTTTGATTATTGCCGGAACAGACCTTCTCTGATGGAGGCGGAGTCGATCAATGAGGAACAATAAAATACTGAAATGATCATAAAAAGGAAAATGCAATTCAAGTAGAGGCGACACAAATCAAGTGTGAAATATAATTTGCTATTCTCCTAAGAAAGCTGGATATGTACAGAACTGAGAGGAGGAGATTCTTAAGTGGCGTAGCTGACAAAAGTAAATCAGGGGCTTTGTTGGAGTGAGTGAGGCGATGCTTGCTGGCAAATAAGGTTGGCACTTCTACAGCAAGGTTAAATAGAGTACGCTCCCTAACATATACAGCCTGCAGCGATTTTAAGTGTCTGGAGTGATGGCTTTCTTTCATAAATAAAACGTCTGCTACAATAATTATTCTCAATAATCATAAAAATGCATCAAAGTCATAAGGCAGTGAAAGCAAAGGTCTGCTCGCTGCACACACAGGGACTGGGCGTGCAGGTGGGTCGAGAACCATTATTAAAATCGTACGGTTTTTCGGTATAATTTGCTGTTTTTGTTTCGTAATGCAACGTTTGCGTCCTTCTCATGCAAAATGCTTGTATTTATTCTGCAGGTGATGGTTGTTTTTGCGGCGAGTGGCGAGCTGCAGCATTTTGGAGAGGAGGAGCCTGTCTAGTCTTCTGAGAGTCCCGGAGTTAATATGTGGAGATCAGGATGTTGGATTCTGGGAGGTTGAACAGAAAACAGCCCTCAGTGTTACTCCTGGAAGAGCAGAGGAAACAGCAGTTAGTCGGAAGATCCTGCATGTTTAATCACATCAGAGCCTGCAGTGCCACAGTGCACCCTGCTGCCAGACATGAAAAATGAGCTGGGTAAAAGGTTATGGCAGTTTTGGCCCCCAGTATAGATGCGCTGAGGGACTGCAGACTTACAGGAACGCACACAGACGTAGATACACACACAGGCTTCTCGGCATTTTCTGGCTGTAATTGACCAACAAACAGGCCTCCTGATTGCACGCTAGCGAGTTTACTGTCCGTTTCGAGTGTGACCACAGGCAGTGAGTCAGAGAGGACCGTGTCACGGCGAAAAACAAAACAGTCGTTCTCTCTCTGCGACCATGTGGTTTCAACTTAGACACACAAATCTCCTCCAGCCACAAACCCTCAGTGACTGAATCTGTTACCAGTCAGACACATTTACAGAAGGGACTCTTTTGGAGTTTAGACACAGTCAAATTTAAATTTAGGAGCTTTAGGCTGAGAAAAGGTGAAGTGGGGTTCAAAGTTAGAGCCCAGGTTGGTTTGTTTTTGATAAAATTCAGTTTTTGAGAGGATGTTTCAGGCTCAAACACAGATAGACTTCAGGGATTAGAGAAAGAGAGAATTTACAGGATAGGCCAAACACACAGAGTTTGATATCGACCTCTTGATATTTTACAAGTCATGTCATAATTTCCTCATATTTTTTATTTTACAGCTATTCTACTTTTATCTTAAATACAACTAACAGTTTTTTATATATGTAATTGATTTTGTTTTAAATTTTCAGATTTTTTGTCCTTTTGATTTTGGAAAAATATAACTTTTTATAAAAGAAACAATTTATCTTTTACTCTTTTACTGCATTAATTTGAATGGAAATACCAAACACCTTACATGAATGACTTTGAAAGGATCAGTAAACTTTTGCAATAATGTGAAAACATCATCTTTCATTTTTAATTGTGCTAATGAAAAGTTTATTTATAGCTTCATGCTTAAAGGATGAGTGGTCTTTATCGCTCATCAGCACTTTGATTGCCGATAGTTTTAAAGTAATCATAATTAAATGATAAAATGCTTCTCAGCTACCGGCTAAAATTGGTCCGTTTTTATGTTATTATCCATTTATTATAAATCTTAATACCAAACTTGGGGAACAATTTCCTCCTCTGTGGTTTTTATCACGTTGAACGAGAAAAATAATGAAGTTTAACCCTGATTTGTTCCGTCAAAGCTGTTGTTCAGCCGTTCACCACTAGCTGGGGCTGTAGCTCCGGTTATGATGCTAAAATGCTTCACTACCTGGATGTAAACGAGCACAGATGACAGACAGGATCTCACAGCGTGGTGTGGTTCGTCAGTATTTTGATCTAGGAAATAGTAGGGGTGGGAATCACTCGTGGCTCCACGATACGATACTATCACGATACTTGGGCCATGATACGATAGTATTGCAATTTTTAGCATTTTGCAATACAGTGAGTATTGCAATACTATTGTGATTTAAACAATTATTCCAACAGTTTAGCTAATTTAGCATTTGTCTTTCCTGTATGTTTGTCTTATTTACACAGTATTTTATTTTCATGTCGCACATCTTGCAAACCTTATATTTTGTTGTACTAACTTTCTCCTTCACCTCTGCCAACCTCACTGGACAAACATTTGATTTTATCTGAATTTTTTTTATTTTAATTAGCAATAATTTGAAAAATTGATCCTTGTTAAATTGGACGATACGATATATCACCGAACAGCAAAATGTCGTGATACTATGCTGTATCAATTTTCTCTCCCACCCCTAGAAAACAGAGCTGTGTCACGTTAAACTAGAACAACACCACTTTCAGCAGCATTAGTTTAGATTGTAGAGGTGTAAAATGTTGATATTTGGTGCATAAATCATCATTTTATTGTATTTTATAGCCTTTAAAATCACCCTGATGAGGCTCAGACTGCTAAGAGGACGGTGAATTTGACGGTGTGCTGGAAAACATCTGTGTGTCACATCTGAAGCACTCACAGTAAAGATCTCTGCGTACAAACCGAACACTGTAGACTGAGCTGAAACCTCTCTAATGCACTCTGTGTGTATCTACAGTAGAGAAAGAGAAAAGCCTCTAAAACAGCTGAGAGAAAAAAACACCAAGTATCATGTTAGTAATACTGCTGCTCAGAAACACACACACACACACACATACACACATTTTAGACAGCACGCTCACACACTAACAGGACTGAGGGGCAAGGCCGCAGAAACAAAGCCAAGCATTCCCATCTGGTGAGTCACGCAAGTACACACATGCACGCTGGCTCATCCCAAACTCTGCGCCTTGGGATCCTTTTCATCAAAAAGCCGAAGAAGTAACGAGCTTCTGAGCCAAAAGGTGAATCAGAACCAACTGGACTGTTCCAGTTTGTGGAGAGGTGAAAAGGTGGAGGGTTTATAAGGACATGCTGTTTGGGTGTAATGGAATGAGAAGCTCCTTCACTCGGCTTCACACCTGAAATCATCCGCACAGTACTGACAGCAGGCAAGTCCGCACACAAATGGCTGCATTTGTTAAGTTAGTGCAAACACCGCCACGAGGACTGCTGACCTATTTTCTTGTATTTACCCTCACGCAGACAGTGAGAGTGCAGCTGAGAGGAACAGAGTGTCTCTGACTGCAAACACGAGTACAGTTTGAACACTTCAGGGATTCACAGATAGGCTGCATGGACCATTTTAGATTTTTTTTCTGTTTTTTATGAGGAAAAAAACACATTTTCCTAGTTATGCAAACATCCAAACTTTATCAGTTGCATTAGCTTCTTTTCATTTTCCTTCTTGAGAATCACAGTTAGATTGCAGAGCGTGTTTTCTGCACATATATCCCACGTTTGCTTTAAGTCTAAGAGTATATGTCGAGGTACGAGGGAGCTGTGCGAGTATTGTTTATGCTTTTCTTGTAGGAACAGAGCCGAGGAGTGCGTCTGTGTTCACTCAAGCTCAGATTTCAGTCGATGTGTTTGCAGCCGCAGACTCCCAGAAGCCGGTTCAGCAGGTATTTAATCGCTCTGTGCTGCCGGTGCCTTTTGTGCTCCTATACAATGTAGACTAAACAATGTGTACAGAGTGTTTTCACCGATTACTGCACAACATGCAGGTATTACATTAGATGCTTTTCCTCCTTATAAGAAGGTGGATTTAATATGTTTGGAGTTTTTCAGATTCTAAACGGCAGATTAGAGAAAGAGCTTTGTGGAAAGTAATAAGTGATTTTGTCCAGCAGGGGGCAGTGTTGCAGGCAGATTGCAGCAGGTTGCATGAGACTGCCTGCCACGAGCATTACTGTAAAGGTTTTTAAGCCTTGTCATTACAAGCCGAGACTATAATATCCGGTCTGTGTGCACGCACGAATCAGCCGACCTTTTCCCCGCGGGTGGCGGGGGAGGTGGTGGAGCTGGAATGACAGCGGCATGATGCATTAGCTGTGAGTGCTACAGAAGCGGCGCTGTCTGCATCAGTGAGAAGGAAGTGCTGATGGGAAAGCAGCATGCCCAGGAATGGAGACCAGCTCGAAAAAAAAAAAAAAGCCCAGTCCAACCAAATGAAAACCAGACCAGACTAAACTACACAGCCAGGACCAGGACTGGGACCGCGTTGTCTTACCTGGGTCAGTCCTCCCCCTCCTCTGGCGTGATCTCTGTCTCTTTATGTACCACTACTTTGGTCACTGACATGTCAGGGTGCTGCTCTTTAGCCTCCTTTATGGCCTGAGCCAGAGCCTACATACAGGGGATGCGGTGCCAAGGGGGGGTCACCAGGGGGAGACAAAAAACGGAGAAAGCAGGGAGGGAGCGGGGATGTTGGATTATGAGTCAGTATACCAACGGGAAAGTTACATGTATCAAACGTCCAGTACTTAAGTCATGTTAAGAGTCAGTAATCACTCTCTCTACTGTGTGACTGAGCTTCTCCTAAAGAGTGCAAGTTAAAGTCAAAAGGGGCGGAGCTCATCTTAAGCTTTCATGGTCACATCTTAAAATCAAAAGAACTCATTTTACAGGCAACGAAAAAAATAATAATGCAGGGAGCGGAGGAGACATGAGAAAACAGAACCGAACAGGAGAATCTAGGACACCTCATCGTGGTCGATGTCTGCGTCTCCAGTGATGACGATCCTCTTCTCAATCCTCGTCTCTGATATACCGCCTTTCACCGTCTGGAGGACACAGAAGAAGGAGAAGAAGAAGAAGAGGAGGACGATGAAGTGCTGCACAAGCCATCAATAGGCACTTGCTGCTTTGTGCATCAGACTGAATTTTGGAGGATTTGTTGAGCAGATGCTCGTCTTCGATCTCGTCTCAGTCTTATCTAAACCTCCTGAACCTTCATTGATCTAATCATCAAAAAAAAGGAACCTCTCTATACTCTCATGCAGACGCTGCTATCTTGTTCGAAGGACCCCGGCTCAACTCTGACCTTTGTGATATGCGTGGTCGTCGTGGTGCTGGTGGTTTCCGAGGTGATGGTCTGAGCGCTCAGCAACACACCAGGGTCTACGTCACCGTTAGTGTCGACCTGTTGATAAGAAGGACACATATTTGTACTCAAACAAACCAGAGCGGCACATGAACCCGGCTCCCTTTGAATATGACTCAGCTCTGAATGCTGCGAGCCCGAGAGCGGCTTTATCAGATTTTTGTGGGGAGAGAGAGAGCAAAAGAAAAACCTGGATGAGCAGGAGGATCGATGCAGAAAAGCTGATACAAAGTGGTGGTTGTGTTAGATAACAGTTGGTTGTTAACAGCTGAAAAGCACCACAAGAATTCAGTGAAAGTTGCTGCATTTTAATATTCATCCAATTTTCACTCCTGAAGTTTGAGCTCAAAAAAACTCCTGTGATGAATTTTGACTCTTGAACTGCTAAAACCTGCAATACTTAAAACCAGACCGTCACTCAGCTGCTCTGATATTTAGAGACGGAGTTTGAGGGAAGATGCAAAATTAAAGCAAAGAGCTTCAAAGCTAAAAGACGCTAAACTGAAGGACAATTTCGCAGATTTATTTTGCAGATCCTCTCGGCACTGTGGAGGTTCAAAACATCTTTTCGCTCATTTTTTATGGTACGCATTGTCAGTTTTGTTTGTTCACGTTTCCCTCATTGGTTTTGATTTTTTCCTTTTAAAAAAGTTAGACTATATCACAAAAACTTCACCGCTTTTGCAGACAGATGAGCAACAAACTGTAACTCAGAGCAGAAATATTATAAGATTGGGGTAAAAAAAAAAGTGGATGTAGAGTTATGAAGAGGGCACGGATAAAACTCTAAATTACTGACAATGTCTCTCTTAATATCAGACCCAGACCCAGACACTGTCTTATTTAGACCTAATGCTAATTAGGAATAAAATAAGCTTTATTTATTTATTTTTTTCTAGTCTAATCGAAGCGACACAGATCTTCTTGCCTTTGTGGGGCAGTTTTAATGTCTCAGGAAAATCCCAAATCTATGTGTTTTCTGGAATTCTTTATAATCTTTATAAATGACACTTTTGTAAAACTAGACAGGTTCTCACTGGGAACAAAAGTTTATAATGAAGACCAGACAGTCGAACTCTTGTTACTAAATGATTAACGGGCAGTTTTGATTGTTCGAAAAAAGAGAAAAGGTTTGCAGTATCAAACTTTTTCTCTTCATCTTTACATTTAAACACAAGTCTCAACTTTCCATATTTTTCCTGTATTTACACAAATATCGAACAATATGATAAAAACTAGTTTCTTCTCCCACAACATCAAACACTACAAATGCTTTTAGGGGCATTTTCATGAAATTGCAGACATCTATCGTCCAGTACAACGATCTCTAACACCTTCAAAATGCTGCAGTATTTAGATTTGTGTTCATGTGTACCTCTCCAGACTCATAGGTGATGGTTTTTGTCTCTGTGTGGACCACAGGCATCTCTTTGGTACCCGCCTCAACGGCACCGGGAGTCTAAAGGGGTGAAAGAAGAGACGGACACAAATGAAAGGTTTGCAGAGAGAGTCGGGCAGAGGCAGAAAAAAACATCTGTCAGCCGTCATGTTTGAAACAAATCGCTGAAGGAGTCCGCGGGTCGCTGTGCGCCTTTGTTATCAAAATAGCTTCTGACTTCTGGACATGAAATTAAGTGGACACAAATAAATCCCGCATGCTTGTAAAAACTCAGCCAAAGAGCGTCATTATAGAGGGGCTGGATCGGTGCACGAGCATGCAGTCATGCATTAGAGTCCCTGAACCAGTGAAGGAGACAAATCACAAGGTTTTGATCAAGTCTGTGCACCACGACATATTAGACATAAAAAAGTTCCCCCAATCTGCACAGCAACAAACGGTGACGTTAACAAGTTGAGACGCAGATTCAGGAGGGGAGAGTGGAGGTGAGGTCACTCGACTGAGGCCGAGGCCACTGGAGGTGACGCCGGGTTACCTCCGACTGAGACCAGGATGGCGGCGAAAGGGTGAGGGAGTCATCAGGGGTGGGCGGTGGAGTCAGAGTCTCCTCCTGTTGGCTAAGCGTCTCTTCTACGTACACTTCAGCTCGGACTAGTTCTTCTTTTGCTGCCGACACGTCGTCCCTCACCTCCGGAGTCTCTTCTTTCACAAAACCCTGCTCTTCTTCATCATCACACTCCTCCTGCTCGTCTTCTGAGCTGTCTGACTGCGGATGGTGGTATCTCTCTTTTTCAAAGGGCGGCGGTTTACCCACAGCCTTTTCTCCTCCATCCTCTTCATCTCTGTCTTCATCCACCTCCTCGATAGTTTCTTCTAACTCTGCGGGGGTCTCTCGCTCTTCAAAATACTGCACTTCCTCTAAGAACTGGACTCTCTTTCCATCTACGTCTGAGCGCTCTCTCTCCTCTCCCTCGACTTCAAACTCGGCTAAATCCTCCTCTACATCCTCTGCCGCTCTCCCTCCATCTTGCTTTCCGCAATCTTGGATGCGAGCAGGAGCAACAGTGAATCTGAAACCCGTGTTTGTGTCTTCTAAATCTGACGCCTCCCCTTCCTCATCTACCGCTTCCTCATTTTCCTTCCCTTCTGCTTGGTTTACTACTGCGCCGTCTGGCACGCTTTCGCCATCATCCGACCCTGGATTTGCTGCTAACAGCTGGTTTTCTGTCTCCAGCTCCGATGGTGCGCCCTGATCAACATGCACTGAAGATGGTGCAACGCCTTGAAAACCACTAACATCTGTTGGATCTCCTAAACTACGGCTGATATCTGCATGCTCTGACTCTCCCTCTGCAGCTTTTGTTTCGCCCGTGAGCTCCGCTGTGGCGCACACAGGCTCTGAGGTCTGGATATTCACCGTTGGCCCTGTCGACTCGACCGGTGCTGCCTCCGTCTTCTGGGCGATCTCCTCTGGTTCAGGGGAAGTCTGCGGACGATAAACGCAGCATTAGGTGACGCTTTTAAACCATCACGACCAGAAAATAAATCAGAGCTTCACATCAAACCTGATAACGAATAGAAGTTATACATGTTTAGGAGAAACTTGCGTTAAATATTCAAAGACAGGAAGTTTCAGGGGAATAAAAACCATTGCAGTTTTTCGAGGAGGATATCTGAGAGGACCGGGGGCGTGGTCACCTTTTGAGAGGAGGAAACCCATCCCAGCGTAGACTGATGGGACAGAAGGATGATACACAGACAGGAGAAGAGAAGAGAGAAGATTTCAGAGTCACACAAACACAAACACAGAGTAAAGAAAGAGAAAGGGAGGGTGGGAAAATGAAACCTCTGGAAGGTAAATATTGTATGGAAAACCATTTCATAGCCTGTTAAATCCGCTGAAGCTAACGCCAAGTTGAACAAATCCTAAAAATCCGGTTTTGGAGTCGCTGAATCCACCAGCAGCAAATTTCCACTAATCTGCTTTTGAAAAACTGCACCGTCAGAACAGTGAAGCCTCTTTTTAGGTAGACCCATACAATTGTTTCCCTGACTTGTTACGGAGGCAGAGGGGTGGGGTGGGGGGGGATTTTTTGGGAGGATGAGGCGAGAGGGGAAAAGCTGCAGCGGTGGCACCGAGCCAGGGCTATGAAGTCACCGCTCTGAGGGAACTGATAACGGCGCCGAAAGAAAGGGGATGGAGCAGCAGAGCAAAACGATAGAAAAAACAAACAGGAGCCTGCCAGAGCCCCCCGTTTCTTTCCTTATCAGCTGTGAGAGCCAGCTGTGGAGGCAAGGCGGGCTGTTTGAGCTGTCAACAAACTTAGAAATTAAACTGTTTGTATCAAAAAAAAAGAAGCAGCAGGTTTGTTTTTGCAACAGAAACAGGCGGTTTTGGCGAGAGAGGGAGAAAATATTGGGTGTTAGAGGACCGTTAGCCATGCAGAGCGCTCGATTACACTCGTGTTAGACCGGTTTGGCTGCTGCTGCTGGAGGGAAGGCAAAATGAGGTGGTGGAGATGTGGAGGGAAGCAGCCAAAACGGTGTTTCTTTTTTCTTTTAGTATTCATACAGTACCGCGGCTAAGGAGGAAGTCGAAGACTCAGAAAGTGAGACATGGTTCAGGCTGGGCTTAGACTGCTCTATTTGGACCTCTTGGAAGGTGAAGATTTCTGGTTTCTGCAGCGGAGTATCATCAGAACTTTTCATCTCTTTGACTTCCTCCGTCGTGGTTGTGGTTATGATGATCCTTGAAGCCTCCGTCTTCACTTCCTCAGATATCCAGGATGCCATGGCCTTCTTAGGCGAGTCAAAACCTTTGATCGGAGTCTTTTCATCAGTTTTTATCTCAAACTTCGGGCTCGGCTTATCGGCGACTACTGCGTCTTCTTTACCGTCTGCAGCCTCCTCTTCCTCTTTCAAAGTCCCATTCACCTTCGCCTTGACTTCTCCTTGGACTTTAAACTCCTCTTTCCCGCCCTCGGCGCTCGTCTCGTCACCCTCTGCGTCCTCTCTTTCCTCCGCCTCCTTCAGGATGATGAGTCTCCCTTTCTTGTCACTGATGGCCTGGGACACTTCCTGTCTCACAGCTCCCGGGCTGACCTTCCCAGCAGACCTCTCTGACATCTCCTCCTGAGAGTCGGGGGTTTTCTCCTCCACCTCCCTGAGGGTCCCGTCCATGAAGACGTCGTCGTCCATGGTGGTTGACAGGCTAATCCCGTGGGGCCCCGAGGAGGTGCCCAGATCTGTTACCAGACTGTCCACCACGTATTTCACCAGATATCCTGCCGCCTGGGGAGACACTCCGCTCATTGGACATGCATCGTTCAAGTTAAAAGACAGACAGCCAAGATGGTGAGAATAAAGCTCAAGAGAATAAATATTCAAGTAGAAATGACAACAAACGCAGACTGAGCCATAAACGCATTTCATTGAAGATGAAAGCTCACTAACAGGTTTTTTTTCGGTTTTCTCTGAGGAGGGACAAAGTATTTACCTCCAGCTCCATTTAATTCTACATTCATATATTCCTTAAGTTCTGTTTTGTGGCTTTTATGTCTTTTCAAAGAAGATAAAAAAGGAAACCAGGGGAGAAAGTGGGGTAACATGCAGGAATAGCAGCAACAGGTTGGTCTCGAACCCGAACCTTCAGTATTGGGACCATGACCTCTGTGCAGGAGGCCCACAACCTAACTCCTAGGCCATTTATGAGCATTTACAAATAATATTAAACACATGGGACTCTTAGCTTTCACTAACAACAATGATCCTGCACCTGCACTGTAATTTATCAGCATAAGATTGTTGCAATAAATCACAAACATCCACATTTTTGCAGAATCGCGTGATACTTTTGGAACAACATATCAGGTATTTTATTTTATCCTGTCGTTTTATTGTACTGCACTATATCCCACTTTATTGTATCATCCTATCCTATTCACTAGTATTGTGTCGTACCCATAGACTGTATATATTATGGACAACTTGGTTCCGCCTTTAGTCATTATACGAATTTGAAGCCGAATTACAATCGGTATCTCCGTGATTTCTGGAACCACCACTTGCGCAGTAGCGTTGTACGAAAGTCGCTATGCAATCTTCGTACGCCCATAGGCTGTATCAGGTGTCAATCATAGAAAACATGAACCTCCTAATAACTTTTAAAAACGGAGCTGAAAAGAAAAAAAGAGGACGTGAGCACAAACCAGTCTTACTGTAACGACATGTCAACATCGCAACCAGGAGGGAGAAACATTTATATTCTGTGTAAATAATTTCTAAAGTTTGTCCACAGCTCCATAGGGATTGCTGGGATTTATGACCTATACTGCAGCCCGTCACCAGAGGGTGCTGTTCTCGAGGAGGCAGACGGCGTCCATTCTATATACAGTCTACGGTCGTACCCTGTTGGATTGTGTCGTTAAGTACCATGACCTAACAAACTGTATCCTATTGTATTACCCTGAATTAACGTGGGACAGCGTATATAAAGCATCATATTGTATCAGATTGTATCGTATGGATTGACGTTGGGTTGTAGCGCATTATATCGTATCCTTCAGTAGGGTTTGGTCAACACTTCCAAATAACTCATGCACTAACTAAATTAAAATGCACTGAGCAATTAAAACATGCACCTCTCTATCAGGACCTGCTAAACACCTACCGCTTTGTCACAGCTGACTCATCCTGCTGACTTACCACAGAAGAAGACATGTGTCTTGTTTACAACCTCGTCCTAAGCCAACTTGACTTAAAGATAAGTATGTAAGGAAGTACAACATCAAATTTAAGAGGGACAGAAACCGAGAAAGAGAAAGAGAAGAGCAGGAAGGACAACGAGTGGAAATATTGATAACCTTCTGGGGATCACGCACATCTGGAGCAGGATGGAGACAAAAGACAAAACACCGACCTGCTAGATCACTAATGAAAAACAAAAACTGGAGGCGGTTTACCTCAGTGGCTTTAGCGTCCGTCTCCTCTTTTGTCTCTTGGTCTGCAGGCTCCTCTCCTTCAGCCTGAAAGAAATAGAAAAACAAAACCACGTCACAAAAAATGAAGAGAGACGTATGAAAAGGACACATCCAGTGTGACTAGAAGTTAAAATGGACACAAATCAGACTGCAAACTCTTCCAGAAACCTCTTTTCATTTCCGTCAGTCAGATGTGTTTGATGTCAGTGATTAGTCCTCAGACACTTCAATTACAGCCGCTCTTTTGTCCTGCATGAGTTCATCAGATTATAGTGTGAGGAGAAAACGCTAATTCAGGCACGTAACGTCACGGAGCAAAACAATCGTATTCCTGATTAATGAGTGTAGCGTCTGCGACCGGGGGAAATTAATATGTTAATCAGCTGCTGATGAGATATAGAGAAGCCATAAAGGTGACAGCAGGAAAGACAGACACACTGATTGGCCCACTAACTCCGACTGAGTGTGCAGATTAATTTACCACATAAAGATGCTGGTAATCTTTATTAATACGCCGTGGAGCCATTTTGAATATACTGTGACAGAATCGTTTTGATTTATTAAAAAAGCCGTAGCACCATTACGAAAGATAAATGCAAACACTCCTGCTGTTGATGTCTGTGTTAGAGGAAAGAACCCCACGCTGATGTCATGCCTCACACACACACGCCGTCACTCGGCTTACATCCAGCGGCTCTATCATCGGCGCGTCGTCCATTCTGGGCGAACGCGCCGGAGACGAGGAGAGTCTCTTCTCCCACTCGGTCAGGCCCGGTGTGCTGTCGCCCGTCTCTAGGAAGGAGCGCTTCAGCTCGCTGATGTTGGTCTGGTGTTTGACCATCTCTGACGGAGGCGAGGCGTCCTGCAGTAGGCGGTCAACCATGATACAAGGAGGTGAGGCCGGGCAGAGGGGAACGACGGCCATGCTTAATGTACGCAAAAGTAGCTTGCAAATCCGTGAAATAACCCAAAAGAACTCGGAAGCGTAAAATGCAGTCCTGAAAAGGTCCAGTAGAGATCCGAATCAGCTGCATTTAACGCCTCATTTCTCATGGTTACCGCTCACAGGCCTGTTTTCGAAAACAGTTCGCACAAACAGCAACACAAAAGTCAACCAGCAGGGCAGCTGCAACTGAAAAGGAGCAGCTTTGACTTAAATGCTCATCAAGCATTTAGGGCCAGTGAAAAAAACAAATGTTACATGCACTGATTCCTGGGTTTAGTTTCAGGTTCATGTTTAAGCACAACGCTCTCAAATCTCAACCTCAACAAACACTGATTTAGTTCAGATTAATTTCTAAAACTTGATTTCTCTCACAGCAAGAAAACCGGTTAGATGAACAGAAAAATCTCATCCCGCCTGGCAGAACTGAAGGCGTGTTAGACATATTTGCTCTCACCTGCATGCACATGTCAGTCATGCCTTGACTTGTACTAACCTCGAGCATCAGATTACTATGCTTGATAAAAACGTTCTCCCCTTTGACTCGTCTTATGAAACTATACTGCAAAAACAGAAGGAGGGGAGAAGACTTGTAGGTGAAAGCTTCTTTGCAGAATGAATTTTCAGTCTTGTAGTGAGAAATTGGGAGATTTGTCTCCTCTGCTTTATCTGAAGAAAGACTTGAGGGTGAGATTCAACCCACAGGAAAGTCATTTACTAGAAAAACCTCAAAAACTGAAATCTAGGCTTTTGCTCGCAGCGACAAGAAAAGAAATAAGAACATGACTTTTCCATTTGTGTAGAAAAAAAACCACTCGAGAAATGAGCTTCAGTGGTGGATTCAGCGGCAGCAGCAGCGACAGCTTTTGTGAGCAGCAGTCTGTGGAGTGAAATCAGGCAGTAGTGAATGGTCGCTCAGCTGTGCGGCGTGACAGTGAAAATGTCAACAAAAGCAAGAGCAGGCAAGCAAAGGTGACGAGACGGCACAAAATGACTGATGGCGGGTGTTTGAGCGGCTCAGTGCATCTGATGGTGGTGGTTTGATGCACTGAGCGGGGCCTCGGAGCGAGGCCGGAGTACCTGAGTCCGCATCTCAGAGTCCTCGTCTGCCTCCGACTGACAGCGAGTAAAGAGGAGAGGACAGGAGAGTGTAAGTGGAGAAAGACACTGTAGATGAAGATATAAGGTTAAGGAGAAGAAGAGAGGAGGCAAGGAGCAGAGAGAGGGAAGGAGGCAGAGATGGAGCATTTATCTTAGCAAACCTGTCGAGGTAGATTTGACTTCTTTTGATACTGTGCAAGATTCATGTAAAGAATAAAACACTTAAACCGTGGTAATACACCCACAAATGTAGATTTTTAAAGCTCATTTGCTTCCTATCAACAGTTAAACTCCCAAATCTAGTAAGTTTATAATTCACCAACATGATTAGTTTGGTCCTTCTTCAGACTGGTGTCCTCCTTATACTGTAGCATTAATCTGACAACATCATCAGGCTGAGAGAGTTTTTGTTTTTGAATAAAGTAGCAGAAGAATCTTCTTTCTTTCCTTATAATTTTAAAGCTCCTGTGAGGAATTTTCAGTATGGAGTGATTTTGGCGCCCCTTGTGGACGTGCCTTGTTTTACTCCCCTAAACTTAATTTACAAAAAAAAAATCTGCGTCTGAAGTTATTTTACCAGAAAACTGAAACGTCTGATTCCTCACAGGAGCTTTAAAAGCAACATTTATCTTGATTTGAAGCTTAAATTTTAGTCTTTAAACCTGCAAGTATCTATGCGGTCACTTCATGAAAACGTTGCACTAATTTGATTAATTATTCGATATTAAAGATAGAAGTGAGACGTCTGATTTTAAATAACCATGTCTGACTGTAGATTTTAAAAGGTGAAGGTGCCAAAATAACTCGATAACTGTGTGAGGTACTGAGGGTTATACTACAACAAAACGCAGCTGATGTCTGTTACTAAGATAATAAACACTCAAATCTAAGCCTTAAGCAGAATTTCAACAAAGTCAATTTTTTTTTAATGTTAAGAAAAGTTTTTTTTTTTTTTTAAGCCTTTAAACACGATTTTATATGAACTTGTGGCTTGAGGTGACAGGGGGCTAGATTTGAAAGGCGACAAATCTGTAAACATTTCATCGTATTTCACATAAATTTAACAAGTCTCAGTGTTTCCCCTACAACATTTTTCAGCAGCAGCACAGTTATGTCCTTGACATGACTACGCTGTTACGTTCACATTACGTTAACCACGCTACTCGCTATATAGACGTGTATAAACTTGAACGTTACCCTTCACGGAAGAGGGTCCAACAGGATCTGATGCGCTCACTGATGACTCAAAACAAATCGAAAACAACGCTGTGTGTTGTTGTGCTCATACAGTGCGAGTATAAATCATTAGCGGCGCATTGATATTCATTGATCATGTGAAATGTTGGGGAAACACTGATTTGATTCAGTAAAGTCAGGATGGACAGAGGAGAGATTATAAGACAGCAGAGAAACCTGATATAGAGAGTTCAAACTCCGTTTTATGAATGAGGATAAAACTGATCTAACTACATACGCTGCTGCACTCGTCATATTTTTAATGGAAGCTCTTATTGATTAACTTTAGTGTTTATTCACTTCGTATAAAGCTTTAAATTTATAACGACAGGGGCTTTAGTGGATTCATATTTGTCTTGAAGAAATCCAATAAAACCCTGTAATAAGCAGATTTTTCATTAGAAGCAATAGAGACATGCAGATTACAGTTGGCACACATACACATCTCTACAAGAGCTATACAAGAAGTAATGAGAGTTCGATGTAAAGCATGCGGTCTGTGCAGAACCTGAAGTGCACTCCTAAAAGGAAAGACATCCATGATTCAGCGTCTCCTCCCGTCTCCCCTCAGTCAGAACTTTTCCATGCTCTTAATTATAACATCCCTCCTAAAGTACCAACCTCTGTCGCCGTCATCTCTCCGTCAAAGGCAAAGTCAGTTTGTTCGCTGTCGGTCTGCTTTCACAAACCGATCCGAGAGGCAGGCAGGAAAATGACAAGAACCCAACTTGTAAAGACTTTCAAGTGTATTCATCACCGAGACGTTTCTTCATAACCATAAATGGAACAAATGGAAATGCAGTTTGTTTGTTTTTGGTCTGTAAGCTTCACAAAATCAGACGACACTACGAATAAAAGATAGAAAAACTTTAAAAAAAAGAAAAGCAAATGAAAAGTAAGCAAGCAAAACAGACTCAGAGGAAGTTTCGACCTTTGGTCAGTCACTTTGATGCTTCAGTGTTGGATTCAATTTGCATTAGAAATAAAGAGGGGTCCACCCTGGTATGGTTTGTCGTAGCTTCGTTGTATGTTTTGTACTTAATCGTGTTGTTTCTGTTCACATCAAACAACACCGTTTGATTTCATTCCACAATTTTGTTGCCTAACAGTAACCTGACTTTCAGGCCCTCCCCCTCCTCTCCATGCATGTTGACAATAACGGTGATCTGGATGCGTTTCGCAGTCACAGTCTCTCTGCATCACTTTTAATTACACTCTTCATTTGTGCTTCATAAAAGGGTGAAAAAAGTGACTTTTTGACACTCCACAGAAAGCTGCTTTTAGCTCTTTTTGAGCGGAGGCTTCCTTTAAATTATTCATTTTCATTTGTGCTGCTTTGCTTGACTGGGATCGCGATGCAGAGAGACTGGGTGCAGAGATAAATGTGAAAGTGTCCTCATGCAGATGATGTTAATCTTGTAGCAGTCACTTTTACTCTGTTGGACCATGAATATGGATGGAGACACTGAGATGGGTTAGGCACAATGCCGAGTCTAAACATGAGGTGACCACATGAAGATATAAAGGTGCTATAATCATCAAAATCTTCAGCAGACAGCTAAGACAAATATTTAAATATGCTCACTCATGTTTTTATGTCATGATCTTTTCTTTACACACAGATGAGTCAGAAATGAGTCAAAATCGAGTCTCTGATGGATCAGTTTTTGTGTCGAACCCTCTCAGTGATGTGAAATTACAAGCCAATCAGATATGAAACAGTGAGACTTGCAGGTTCATCTCTGTGTATTCGTGATGCCGATGAGGATGATGGAGTCTACAGGATGGAGAGTGAGACTGAGCAGAGATGAGGTTCTGAAAGTAGGACAGCTGACAGACACTGGGACGGACACAGTCTCCAGGTCAGGGGTCAAGGGGTTAACTGTCGTAATGAGCTGTTACTCTAAGTCAGACGTACGCACAACACACACCTCCTCTTCCTCTGAACTGTCATAGTCATGGTAGCCCTGGGCTATGCAGGCGGTCAGGGAGGCTGCCTTGGGCTCCAGGTAGCAGAGGCACAGCGCCAGGGGGAAGGAGAGGGTGAGGGCGTAGGGGACGGAGAAGGAAGTGGAGAGCAGGAAGAAGAAGATGAAGAGGAAGCAGGGGATGAGTGAGGGGGATTTAATGGGCAGGAAGTTCTGCGCGCACTCAGGGAGGAAGCGCATCTCGGAGAGATCGGGGAAGGTGATGTAGCCGTCGTCGTCCAGGAAGGAGGACAGGTCGGGCAGGTGCAGGGAGAAGGAGAAGAGCGTGCCGCCGCGCCTCTTGCCCTGCTCCAGCCTCTGCTTGCGGGCCGAGAGCAGCAGCGCCTGCTCGTCCAGCAGGGCGGCTTTACGGTCGGCGAGGGCTTGCCGTCGGCGGCACCCGTCGCCATTCTTGGCCGGACTCACAGACGAGGCCCGCTTACGCGCGTTCTCCCTGCGCCTCCGCCGTACTTTGGTTGATGTGACGGGGGATGAAGGGAGTGAGAGCTCGGAGCGGAGGGGGTCGTTTTTGTACAAACAGGAGGAGCACTGATGGAGGGAGGTGTCAACAAAACGATGGCGTGTGTGCGAATGAAGGGGAGCGAAGGGGAGGGGGGGGCGAACAGGCGTGAGCAAACACACAAGTATAGTGTGGGGTCAAAGGAAGGACAAGAAAAGAAAAGCTAATTAGTAAAGCGCACACAAGATGAGAAGCACTTAGGCCTAGTCTACTGCAGTGGGTTAAAGCTGAAAGCAACTGGGAAACCTCGTCAGCCATTAAGAAGTATTTTAAGAAAGAAAAGAAACAAAAACTAAAACAAAAAAGAACTTCAAAGGATGCAAAGCTCCTGTGAAATAACCTTTTTCTACTCTGAATGAATTACCCTCCCTCTGAACCAAACAGGAAAAACACAAACTCCTAAAAAGTTCCTCTATACGCCGACTTCAACTCGGCGAGACCCGGTTTACCTTAGTGTCGTGTTTCAGCGGCGTAGTGACGGCCGGCTCCGGCGTCTCTGCAGCATCCATCTTAGCGTCCTCTCTCTCTGCCTTCTCCTCCTCTGCCTTCTTCTCTGTCGTTACCGTGGTGATGATGTCTCCCTTGGCGATGACTTTGGCCGCGCCGTCTGCAGCGCTGTCCTTCATGAGAGTCTCGTGGTTCTCCATGATGGGTGCTGGAAGAGAAAAACAGATGTAACAAACGGGAGTCGTTTCAGTGGACTTGAGCGGTCTGGTCTGAGATCTCAGGGATGAGGCGTGTGAGTAAAACAAAAGGATTTGTTTTGACACTCCATTGTTTTTGTGTAACTGAACTGTACCAGACATTTTTGACAATCAGGCTGGATGCATAAAAAACAGGAACACAAATTCAGCTCACAAGTGTTTCCAGATAAAGATGCAGAAGCAGCATCTTTAAGGGGGAGAAGATTTCCCAAAAGCTTAAGAGTACATGCTGAACAATCAGATCTAAAAGTGGGATAACCCAAAAATCACCCAGAGGGAGATAAAAAAACAAACAAACAGGACAAATAGTTGAAAAAGTTCCTGGTTAGCAGCGTTTTAACTCCGCTTGGTTATAAATAAAACCCCTGATGTCTCCTCACCTCCGTCTAAGCTGCGGGACATGTTGTAGCGTTTGCTGGAGGTGCGCTCGAAGAACGGCGCGGGTCTGATGATCTGGGAGCTGGCCCTGCGGGTCTGAGCCTGCGTTCTGCCGCTGTAGCGGAACTTGGAGCCGAGGCTGAGGAACTTCTTCGGGGGGGCCTCCGGGGACACGAGCCTGTCGCAGGTTACAAACAGACTCATTAATCAAAGTGGAGAGAACACATGTTAGAGACATGCACCGTGAGACTGTGGCGCTCATTTAAACAGCCCGCAGAGACCGCGTCGTGCTTCACGCTTGGCTTGCTACTGTAGAGAACCCGGAGGGGCAGTTTTTACTTAATGCAGAGCAGAGAGACTCGGCATGTTACGAAATATGACAGTGGTAACCAGCAGCTTCGGGAGAGACTTTTTTTTACCACATTAAGACCGTCTCACGTCTTCACCAGTAAAAAAAACTTAGCAAACAAAGCAGACTCAAAGTTTAAACTTTAAACTGTCAGTGTCAACGTGTTAGATTTGGAAAAAGATGCACCACTTTTTAATTCAATGTAACTTCCTTTTATATTGTTTGTACTTGATCAAATTAAGACTTTTTGAGACAATTTTAGACTAATTTTACATCCATACTGGCAAAAAAATTCAAAAGACAAGAAGGGAAATCGGAAAATTTCATATGACTTCAATTCAATCTTTACTCATATAGCAAGTTTTCTATTTGTAAGTAAAGTTAATACATTTTTAAGAGCTTTTAGAATCGTATTTAAGACATTTCATGAGATTTTAAGAGAATTTTTTAAGGTTTTAATTTTAAATGATTGGATTTTGGACATTTGAAGAGTTTTTAAGACCGTAATGAATATAACTGAAGACTCTTTTTACATCTATACTAGCAAAAAAAGTACAAAAGGCATGAAGGGAAATCGGAAAATTTCATATTACTTCAAATCAATCTTTACTCTTACGGCCAGTTATCTATTTGTAAGTACAGTTAATACAGTTTTAAGAGCTTTTAGAATCGTGTTAAAGACATTTTATGAGATTTCAAGGGAATTTTAGATATTTTAAGGTCTTACATACATTCAAATGACTAGATTTAAGACTTTATAAGACCCTGTCGATACCCTGTTTTAGCCTCAGCTGCAGAGACAAAAATTTTGGACTAAATACAGAATCAACATTAACAGCATAATAACATCTCAATGAGGTATACGCATGTTTATGTGGCTTTGGCATGAAAACCAAATTTTCCATGCTATTAAGCACCAGAACATCTGTGTATACAACATCATACTGTCATATTTTTGTACAAACAGGGGGAAAAATAAAAGCCATAGATTGTGTCCTAACTTAGTCCAGCCAACTTTAGGTCAATAGCTATTGCAAACCAATAAAACAAGCACTTCCTCATGATAGATAGATCGGTCTGTGTGGTTAAAACTAACATGACTGAAGCAGCAAGTAACCAGCACAGGCTTGTAAAAGTTCTCCTGCAGGAAATAGTTACGGCTGGTGGTGAAAGCTCTGCTGGTGTTAGTCATCCACTTCACACTAAAAACCTCCCGGAGTCTGTGACCCTGTGTTTAGCGCAGTGTTTTCTCACCGACAGATTTGAGGGTTAGTAAGAACTTGTATTTCTGTTTTGACAACCAGGACATGAGTTGCTTTAAATCTTCCCTAATCTCGACTAAGAATAAAGATTTTTCCTTTTGTGGTGTGAAAATGGTCTTCTTTCTGCTCCCGGGTCTTTTGTTTCTTACCTGAAGAAGGTGTGGTGCTCCACGCAGACCTTCCACAGCCTTTTGGCAGCACGATGGTTTGGGAGCTTGAAGCCGATTGTGCTTTCAAACTGCTCGAACTGCAAAAGAAAAACACAAAAACACCTTCTCACAATCATGTTCCTAATTTATTCATAAACACAGTTTTATTAATTGATAATTTCACATATTTTTAACTCAATCTTCCCGTCAAACATGAGTGAGTAAGTGGCTGCTTATTGATTGATCTCCTGATGATGTTTCCAAATCAAACATCTGAACTGCCTTCATAAAGCTGCAGGATAATGCACCCTCAGCAAAGCCGGCCCAGTTAGAGAGTGATATGCAGCATTAGAGTGTCTCCTTTATGAAATATTAGTAAAGAGGGGGGAGGACATTTGTGCACAGACATTTGAGACAGAATTAGTGCCGAATATTTTCATCTCAGAGAGTTCAGGAGTCGTTTTTAACCGACTGCAGCACTTTGGAGGCGTGGTACACCTGCAAATGTGACAGCTGCTGCAACAACTGACTAGACAACCCACAAATCAGGCGGATAACCATTCCTAGCTTCTTCACTCGTGTTTGTGTGCGTTTGTATTCACCTCGCCGGGTCTGATTTTGATGTAGAAGTTGTTCCTCTTGTAGGAGATCTTGAGGATTTTGGGCCAGGCGAACCTGTTGATCCGCAACCTGTCTCTGTAGATGAGCAGGCCGCTCGCACAGACTCCCAACATGATCTCCACGCCCTCAGAGTCCTGGAAAACAACACCGAAAATGAAGATCATACATCTGATGACATGCTTTTGCGAAGTCTCACTCTGGTACCACAGTGCTCCTAACCATCTCAGATTGGTGTCTCGTACAACATAAACTCTACAGGAAACTGAGGAGCCAGATGCACAGCAGAGGGAGGAGGTATTTAACGGAGTCAAGAGTTGGAGGTAATGACAAGGTAAAGCAGGCAGGTGGAGAGTGGAATCAGGCATATGGCGCTCTTATCTTCTCTATGCAGGCTGTGGTGGCGCTGAATGGAGACTCGAGGGGGTACTGCACAGCAACAGCAACAACAGTGAAGTGTTGGGAAATGGTGGGTGAAGCACAAAACTATGCTCTCCAATGCACAAAGCATGAGATGAGCGGGTGAAACCAATGATGGTGTTTTCAGAGCGGGAAGCGCAGAAAACTGAGTATGTTGTATGTAACCATGCACATATAGAAACTAAACACACACACCAAACACACACACACACACACACACGCAGGTAAGCATATGAATCGCAGCCTCTTACCTCTCCCTCAGCTGGAGCCAAGCTCTCATAGAGTCTCCCTACCAACTTTGCATTTAATGAGAGAGGAAGAGAAGACAGATGTTTTTTTTTTTTTTTTTTACTTGTGTGCATGAAAACGTCCAACCTCCGATCTGTCGTCTCCTCTACTTCGTTTGGACCTCTGAAGGCAATATCCTCCTCCTCCATCACTCACATCTACACTGATTCATCCCCGTCTATGATGGCTGATCATATCAAGACTGATGACTGTAATTTTCCTTTATGATGACACCCGTCCTGTCGCTATAATCCAGCTCTCTCTCCAACCCCCCCTAATGATACATCTGATCCCGCTGAGATTAGTGAGGAAATCAAACAAGTCAAGCTAGGCTCCAGACCCCACCACCACCACCACCACCACCCTCCATCCTTTCAGCCCATGAGTCCACAGAGGCAGCAGTGACGTAATGTCAGTCAATCAGCAAACAGCAGTGGCAGCCCAGATGTTTTTCAAGCAGCAGTGTTGTGGTGGCGCAGCGTGAGTGAAATATGCCGGTGTCATCATCTCGCATAAAAACAACACAACTCTGCACTCGCATAAGACACACAACAGGACTGGAGTTGTTATTAGTGATTGTGTAGCACATAAATAGGGAAAGTTGGCTGTCATCACTCGGTCATATTTTGCGTCTAAGCTGTAGTACATCGACCCGCCACTAGCTGGAGCTGTGGCTCAAGTTAACGGCTACTGTCATAATGCTACCTATTTGTAAACAACCACAGATGATGGACGGTGTCTTGTAGCACAGCACAGTTTGGATCAAGGATTAAAGATAACAGGCAAAAAGAGGGAAACCTATGGAGTATAAACGACTGGTGGTGCTAGCTCTGATAGCGTTAGCCAAACTCGGCAAACCACTGAGATAATTGTGTTGAATTTGATGTTTTCCTACCGTAAAACTATTTAGTGTGTTGTGATATAAACTTTCATTTTTTAAATATAAGAGGCCTCATCAGCAGCTGCTTACTCTAGCTCAGCATAAAGAGCGAAAAAGGGGCAAAAAAGGCTTGAAACCTGCTGTTACGGCTGTGTGTTTGTTTTGCATGTGTTTTTCCCCTTTTGTCTCTCCATAGCTGCCCAGGTGAAATCACTTGAGTGCCAATCAGACTCACCTGGTGCTGGGAGTCTAAAAGCCCAGAGCTGCCTGCAGTCTGGAGAGGCATTTGGTGGGGAACTGCTGCCCTGCTGCCTCTCATTTGTGTTGTGGGTGCTTTGTGTTTAGTTTGCAATTTTGTTGTTTTTTCACAATAAATCACGTGTTAAACTTTTGAAGGTGTTTTGTTAATTTAGTGGGTCAAAAGTTGAGGATTGTTGTTAGCCCCATAGGGCCCGCCTTCAGGTGGGGCGTAACAAATGGGGGCTCGTCCGGGATCCAACATCCATGAGGTTCTTTGCAGTTGTTTTTTTTCCTCTAGTAACTAGTGACCATATTACATTACTTGTAATTCTCACAAATCAATAAGTTTTTAGTCAAACGCGGATTAAATTCATGATGGTTTTGAGCCATTAAACTACAACACATCTCTTTTCTTACTTGAGATATGACATGTTTTACTTTACAGGTACAGTGCTCAGCATAAATGAGAACACCCCTTCAGAGTTGTCAGAAAACCTTTAGTTTCCTTTCAAAACCAACATTTTCTATGCCAGACTATACAACAAAATACTCTCCCAAATGTACCGTATTTTTCGCACTATAAGGTGCACTTAAAATCTTTTTGGCTTGTCGGAGCACTGCAGCTACTGTAGCCTCGCAGAGTTACTGAATGAGTTAAATCAAGTTTGACTTATCTGACTGTTTTCTTTGGCTTAATTAGCTTTATAATCCGGTGAGCCTTATGTATAAAAATAGACGCAAATAGACGCGTTGATTGATGGTGCGAGAAAAACGGTAGGCTGTTGATTGCAAAAAAGATTTTTTTAAGTTGCATACAAGAAAGTTTTTTTTTTTTCAATTTATAATCAGGATGCAAAAATAAGTACACCCCAATCAACGTTCTGAGAGCAAAGCTACATTTTACTTACCATATTTTAATTTCATCTTATGTTAAACTAAGCTTTGTCAAAACTTTGGAAATTGTACTTTTGCTTATCTGGATATTGAGTAATACATTACTTTTTATAGGGGTGTACGAATATTTGACTTTTTGTTACACATTTTTGTAACACCCATTATTCCTGCAGACATCGAGGGCATTATAGTTAATTTTTTCAACATTTTTCCTGCAGTGTTGATGTCTCCAAACTCTGCTTTATTTCTGTGAAACGGATTCAACACTTCCTGCGAGTAAATCACACCTCAGATGTTCAGTTTGAATTGTGATAGACAGAAAATTGTCAGTATTAGAGGTTAAGAATCTCGTAGTGGCACGTTACCTTGGCGTGATGGAGGTCTACACCGTACATGGACAGCTTCTTGGCGTTTTCCAGGAAGTGCATCTCCGCCTCGGCTGGTGTCATCCCCCTGTGAGGACCGAGTAGAATAGAGAGAGATGTGACGCTTTTTGAACAGTGAGAGTATGAAACACTTCAGGCGTAGAGTCCCATAATCACAAAAAGGGTGAATTCGTAGTTTTACAGCAAGAAAAGCTTTGGAAAATGACTCCTCTCTGTGAATGCTGTTAACTAGAGTGTAACCGAGCACCATGAGAGCCTCGGGTTTTAGATAGATGGTCTTTAGAGAGACCCGAATCCTTGCACTGTCACTGCCTGGCTCTGTCCTCGCTGCTGCTGCTGCACAGAGCTAAATCAAATTACCCACAAATCATTGTAATACGCGGGGAATAAAGGGCTCCGACAACTGACAGGCAGATCTAATCATTTATGGGGAAATACAAATCCAGAGTCGGGGGACATGCTGTCTCTCTGAGTGGACTGTTAAGTGACTCAGAAAGTGTCAGATTTCTGTTTTTCAGCCCCAGAAACACCAGGATAAACTGTCTGTACTTTTGTGCCTTTAAGGAAGTATTCGTTCATGAACTCCCCTTACATCACTTCCTCCTCAGGTAACTTCCCCATAACTCACTTGTAGGTCTTGTGAAGCTCCATGACTTTCTCCTCGAGCTCTTTGGTCTGGTTTGGTGCGAAGCGGAGTTCACTGATGTAGTCGCTGCCTAGTTCGTCGGGGTCGTAGTCTCCCAGTTCGGACTGCGCCGTGTAGGAGCCCAGAACAGTGTGGGTGGCAAAGGAGCAGGGCAGCCGGCCTGAAACCACATCGTCTCTCAGCTGCAGACACAAGTAGTACCTACGGCGAGAAGACGGGGAGACTATTGGCTACTGTCTTAGCATATGCCGGCTAAAGGTCACGCCATGCTGTACGCATTAGCAGCCCTTACCTTGTGATATCCTCGGTGAGTTGGGAGGGGTCTGGGGGGTAAAACTTCACATTGAAAGCGAAGTTCCAGGGACCAGCTGAGGAGCAGAGAGAACATCGAATTAACCACGCGGCGTTTTTACAGTCGCACACGCCTCGTTTGGCTGTTCAGGGGCAAAACATTAGAGCGGCCTTATCGAATTACTAAACTTACTTCTGATCTGCTTCTTCAGCTCCTTGGTGGGGTCGAGCCAATTCTGCAGGAGACAAAGAGCACATTTGAGCGCTGAGTGTGGGGCAAAATACTAAGAAGCTAATAAATGTAAAGTGCACCGGCAATGAGTCCAAAAAAGCTGGAAAGACTTTTGAAAGTTTCAGTTTTATGATATGATGTTCAGCATATTCGACTCTTTCCATTAGCCTGTTGTAAAAGTATAGTCCCCTTTCTTATAAACGCAATAAACCGTCCTTTACCTTCTGGTTTTCTACATCTCTGTGTGTGATGCCAAAGTAGTCCTTCTCCAGGAGATTAAGGTGCTCGCACACTTTGTCAAAAAGGACATGGCCTTTGGCTCGTTTCTGAGGGAGAAAGGACAAAAACGAAACAAAACACAATCTTTAATAGATGTCCGCCACTTCGTCGTGCTATTTATGATGAATCGAGGATAGAAAAATGGGAAAATAAACAGCATAGGTGGTCTTATTTGTACCTCACACAAGCTAAGAAAAACAAACCAACTCTAACAATCTCACGTTGGACTGTTAGGCCATCAAATCAGATGTGTTATCTTTTCCTAAATTGACCCAAAGCCCATCTCCACAGACCAGCAGCACCGTGATGCAGCACATTACAGATCACTTCCTGCTCTGTCTCACCCTCAGAGCTCTTACAGTAGCTCTCCGCCAGACAGTCCACTCCGGATCGATTCCTTCTATAAAAAGCACAAGTATAAATACACCTCCACATTTCTGAGCCTAAGGTGAACATCAGCTTTGAGCCGATCGACTCCACGTCTCTGGATGAATGCAGGATGTCGACCCCGCCGGAGGGTGTGGGTCCTTTTAGTCTCAGGAGATATTTTAAGGGCTGAGTTGCCACACAGAAAACACAGAGCCGGAGCCAGCTCCTCATGTGACGACCATCGCCGCGGCTCGTTCCAGTAGCAGGGGTCATAAACACCCAGTGGATCTGATACGCTCACACATGCTCTTTAATACGGAGACAAAACTGCTGGCATGTTGGCTGTAGAGCTGCAAACATTTATCAGCTGATCGAGACTTTTTGCAGGAAGAGGAACGACTGCTGGTTTAAGATAATTAACATGAATAAACAATCTTTGGGTTTTTACAAAAGGGGTGATTTACCGGCTCAGAGAGATAAGGTCATGTTTTAAAGTTTCATTATCTCCAGAAAGAGACATGAGACTTAGTCCTTTTTCAACCCCCTGTAAATGTGTGCACACAGAAAGAAGTACACACAAGCACCTCCACTGAATATCCTCACAAGACATCAAAATTCAACTTATTTCAGATTTTATAAGATGAATTATCCATCGATCAGCTGATAAATCAATATTTCTAAAAATCCGGGGTTGCAGTAACAGAGAGGCTAAAAGTTTACAGCCTCGGTTGTATATTTATACGACCCCACCCTGATGTCATTTTTCATGCTGAGAAGTCTTTGCGTGATTTGTGCAGAGCCATAAAGCCTCTGATGGAGGAGAGTTAATCCTACCAACGCTACTCAGCGGGAATTAGCAAGAGTCATGTCACAGCAGAGCTGCATTTCAGTGACAGAAGCTTCACAACAAACATGTAACTCAGGCTTTAGACGCACATCTATGAAAGGCTGGGATCGTCAAAGCTCCATTTAGACTCAGCTGCAGACTTGTATGTTAGATGCTGACTGATCCAACCTGTAGTTTATCTCCCCCCCAGGGGTTGTTTGGGAGAATGAAAGCAGAAGGAAATGATCTCAAATTACAGACAAGACAACACCAAAGATATAAAAAGGAAAAACTGTGGCAGGAGGTGAAACAAGATTCACAATAACTCAAATTAAATAAACTGAAAGATGCATCTACAAACCAAAGGTTCAGATCAGGACTGAAACTCATGACTGCTCTGATTTGCCATCACACTGAGAAACATGAAAGATGAATATTCACTCCTAAACTTGAAGGATTTAAAAAAATAAATAAATAAAAACACGTCCCATCAATAAGAAAACAGCGAGACGCCGGATTTCCCCTAAAATTTAACACCCTCTGAGGTGAAGCAGGGGGCCTTCAGCAGTTCTGCACCTCAGAAAACGATAGGAAACGATTAGCACAGTCATTCCTCCCATGGGAGGAAACAGAGTCGGGCTGGAAAACTACAAGGTCAGGGGGATAAAAATGTCAAATCTTGACATTGTGGGCCGTTTTTTAAATAAGAAAGAGGAGGAGGAGAAGGAGGAGGAGTCCTGGCAATCATCTGAAGGATCCTCTGACCTCAGTTGTACCTCTGCGTTTAACAGCACAGCTCATGTCTGCTGTATTTCACCCTCTGCTGTAAGGACACTTCCATACATCTGATTTCTTCAAGTCTGTGAGCTAGAAAGGGTAATTTATCTGTGTGTCCTCGCCTCCCCAGACTTAAGTACAGCATCACTCTAACTGACTGACTGATCCTAATCGTGTTAGCTTTGAAAACTCCTCATCATCTGATCATTGTCTCGAACAAACAGAGGATTAAACAGCTGTGATTGTTGTTGATTTTCATGCAAAATCAACGCAAATTTCAGATTAAATTATTCTGTTTTTCCTTTTAACAAAATCTACCTTCCTGGGATATCAACTTCAAGCAACTCTGTGCTACATTTTCTCATTATGTAGTTATTTTGTTTTCTTAGGATGAGCTTTTTTTTATGAGATCACCAGAAATATCGAGACAAAACTGCTTTTTAGGAAACAGACTCTAGAGATTTATTTCTGGGAAAACACATGCTTTCTCTTTTACATGACAAGGACTGATCTTGACCTTAAGTTTCTACTTTAAAAAGTTTATTAGTTTTTAACTGATGTATTCTCAATTATCCTTTAGTAACAGGTCATTTTATGTGATCTGATATGTCACCTCGGATGTCAAGAAACCATCTTTGCACACCGACATGAAACTCCTGATAAAATATGGGTGAAGATGCATTCAATCTTGTCACATAACATCCATAAATGCTGCTTTTGGAGAAGGAACCCTCTTCTGTTCTCAGGACTGTAAAGTTTGTTTCGCAAGTTCTCAAAGTTATGATCTGAAGTTAAAAGCAAATAAAGACGGTTAAAGATCCAGTGAAATGAAGCCACTCCAAGTTTCCATTTGTGCTTCTTATTCAAACTCACATCTTAAAAAAAAACTTCTCAGTCTGGGTGTGAGACTGACCCCGTTCAGACTAAAGCAGAGCCATTGTTCCTCTGATTGTGAATACTGTTCACCTATCAGCATTTCAGCAGTGTTAGCAGAGTCTTTCTCCACGCATAAATGCTGCCTGATTTGGAAATCTGCTCTTTCTGAAAAGGCGCCTGACTCTGTCACGACCTTTTTGCAGAACAGACAAGAGCTACTCAGACAGCCACTCAGACAGCGTGTGGATGTGTCAGCCCAAATGCTTTGTTCCTAAGTGTCCCTATCAGGCCTGCATTTGTGTATCGTAATTCTTCCTCCATTATTCTGCAATCAAACCTGCAGTGGAGTCGGTGCTCCCTTTAAAATTTTATTAGTGATGATTCATCCCAAAGAAAGAAAACGAAGACTATGAACATCCGCAGTGACCCTTGACATCAACATGACCAAATCACATTCATATATGCCAATATATTCTTCTAATAAGGAGATAAAAAACGGTGATATGAGAAGATGTTGGCCAAAAGAGACTAGCAGAGACAACGCCAAAGTTAATAAAAAAAGCAGTGAGGTTCATGGCGGTCATTCTCTCTGAGCACATCAATAAGAAAATCAATAAGGCATCAATTATAAACTCATGGACTGAAATAAATCAGAGAAAAGGTTGTATATTCCAGGAATCTCTTAGAAATACTGAACAGGAGTTTTGTCCTTCGGTTAAAAAGTACACCCCTAAATTAATTTTCAGATGTTTACATGGGGATGTCCCGATCCCAGACTGATATCGGATATCGGTCCGATATCGGGATATTAGGGGTGTCCCGATACAACTTTTTGACTTCCGATACAATACCGATATTGTTGCCTTCAATACTGACTGACACCAATATTGATCTGATATTGGCACAAAACTGTGCATGACAAGTTTTTCACTCAGCTGCAATGTTTTTTTCGGACTTTCATGAAAAATACTGTCACAAGGCCGACATCATTCCTACTCTTCACTACTTTGTTAGTACCTTAGTACACACTGTTGTTGTGATTTTGAGGGCTCAGCTTGCTGGATCCAGGCGCTGCTAGACAGAAGTGCTGGAGCGGAGTCTGGAATGGACTGCTTGTATCAGAGTGCTGATATCGGAGATTTTAGATGCAGGCCGATATAATCCAATATCCGTTTTTTTGCTGATATTGGACCGATATCCGATATCAATATCGTATCGGGACACCCCTATTGGATATTGGTCCGATATCAGCTAAAAAACAACAACAAAAAACAAAACAAAACAAAACAAAACAAACAAACAAAAAAAAGAATATTCGAATCTCTGATATCAGCACTCTGATACAAGCAGTCTATCCAGACTCTGCTCCAGGACCTCTATCTAGCAGCCCAAGAATCCAGCAAGCAGAGCTCACGTGATCACAACAACAGTGCAAAGAATCACAAACAAAGTAGCAAGAAACAAGTAGGAGTGATGTCAGCCGTGTGGCAGTATTTTTCGTTCAAGTCCGAAAAAGACGTTGTAGCTGAGTGCAAAACCTGTCATTCACAATTATCAGATCAATATCGGTATGGGCCAATACTGAGGGCTACAATATCAGTGTCACATCAGAAGTAAAAAAAAAAGTATTGGGACACCCCTTGTGTTAAACTTTTAGCATTGGCAAAACAATGTAAAATGAGTCTAAGATGATAAATACAGACACTGGAAGCTTCAATGTGTCTTAACTTTGGGAACCTTCACGTTTTCTGCACAGGTGGCTCAATAATCCAACTTTATATGCATCTTTCTGTGCACCCCTCTGCACACAGACCATCTAAATGCATCTTAATCCAAGTTCAGCTTTAAGTATGTTTCTCATCTGATGTGCCTGGGTCTTAGGAAGTGAGGACTTGTGCCAAAGAGGCCTCAGTCCTGGAGGTCCTGGAGGTATGGGGGCAGGGCACAAAGATTAAAGCGTAGTAAACAGATGGGACGTTGTGATTCATTACTCCACAGTTGCTACCACACACAAACACACACCGGTGATGTGTAACACTGAAGACATCAACGCCATTTACTGAGATTAGCTTAATCAGTCAAGTTAATTACACAAGACTGAACCCGTGAGGAGCGTCGTCAAACTTTCAAGGCTGATCGAGGGACTGGATTAGATTCATCAGTTTTACCTGCACTGATTCTAGTACATATAACACTGCTTATTCAGGATATTCAAACATCATTTTCTCTCAAGAGCTGAAAAGGCAATCACTGATTTTCACTGAAGTCTCATTAGTGATTCCAAAGTCTACCTCCTTGATTAAAAATTAGCACTCTGACATTTTTAAGGAGGCCGTACTTGATAATATTGATATGACAGGATATTAACCATCAAGACTTCAGTGCTGTTTGATTAAATACAAAATATAAACATCATATTCAGTTTACTTTACAACACTCAGTTTGAAGGAGCCTGTTAAACTCCATATCAAGGCCTTTTTTAAGAGAAGGTGTGGCTCATGGAGTTTAAAAGAGACAAGGAAAGAGGATTTAAATAATTTACATCTAAGTAAACAGCCTGAACAGCTCCAACCTGCACCCACAGAGAGTTTTTCTCACTCTTTTTTAAAGTTTTTTTTTAATCCTGCAGGAATAAAGCTTCATAAATGTATTTAGATATGATCACTGTGTGAGCAGATACAGTGAGATGTAATTTTGTCCATGATACTGCAGAAAAGATTCAATTACATTACAAGGTTTGATATAAAGCAGGAGGAACAGTTAGAGTGGATCTGGATCCAAATTAGTTCATGTTGTTCAGATTGACTCCTGATTTCATATTATGCACTCAATAAAGCCTGAATGTGTAGCTTAAAGCTCCTGTGAGGACTTTTTTAACATCAATCAAACAGACTGAAAATCAAATTAAAAGTCTTTATCTGGTACAACAAAGCAAATAAGACCATCAGTGACAAGTTTGAATGTTTATATATCATAATTTTTGGGGCCTGAATCTGGCACAAGGGGGTAGGTGTCAGCTGAGCGCCTTAGCCATCTCTGTTTTTACATAAAATATTAACAATAACTGAAACATTTGACTGTTAAAAGTCAGCAGGATGACATTTTTGACAAAAGACAGACTAATCACAGACTGTTTTATCCACAGAGGAGCAAAAAAGACTAAAATTAAAGTTCTTTACTGTAGCTTTAAATGAAAACTTGACTATAAGTGCATTTCGTTTTCTAAGTTAATAATTAGCACTTTAGAAACACATGGTGTGCATCTGTCTCAAGGCCAAGAAGTCCGTACTTCCTCCCACTTCCAGATCATTGTCCTTAAAAATCCGTCCTAATTACCCCGACACACAGAGAGACTCAATGACACTGATTCCCTCAAACAAATGCTCCCATTTCACGGTCACCTCCTCACCACTGCAGAAAAAAACAGCCGGCTAATCCCTCCATCCAAACCCCTGGTGAGGAGGAATCTGCTCAAAAGAAGATTTGAGGAAGAGGAGGGTCTCAAAGTCCCTTTACAGCCTGCATACATTTTAACTTCGAGGAAAGGCTCCACTTTCTGTTGCTAAGCGGGAAGTATGTGAAGTAAAATGTCAGATCCGCTCAGCGCAGGGATTTATTCCTGAATGTTTAATGATCGGAGAGAAAGAGCGGCTGTTGATGGCAGAAAGCAGTTATTATTATGATGTGGAGCGCAGACACTCACTTTTTCCTGGACTGATTGAAGGTTTGCATGAGATGGGTTATTTCTGCATACTGGAAAAGTGCATATAATTAGAATTTCTCCTTTAGAGGCAACATAAAGCTGTGAGGGAGAAAAAAAAAAACACCCAAACCTGATGAGAAACTCAAAAAAAAAAGTCCAACAAATCCTTGTGAGACCCGGCAGACCGATTGCTGAACGACCACACTTTATCTCGGCTAATACAACTCTCATCTTGTTCAATTAGGTTGAACACAGTTCAGCTTTGTCTCTCTCTTTCATCAGGTTGTCCAGCTGAGAAAATCATGAACCCGCTGAACCCTCCAACCTCCCCTCTCACTCCAACCCATTATGATTAACAACCGACTCGTGCTCCACTTCTCCTCCGCACAAAAACATCCCATTTCCATATTCAATTTTTCTACATTATGATAACAGCCGCGCCGCTCTGCTGGGGTAGCGTTGTTAGGCGCTGCACATTAACAGCACAAAGACACGTGTTTTCCCCTCATCTGTCGGCTCTCTGGTCCTCTGCGGGTTTATTTCTGGATAGCCCGAGAGCTTTGATGTGAGAACTTCACATTTAAGACGTGCTATATGAATAATTTGTTTTCTCTTAAGACTATGCAGAAAGGCTTTCAGGGGGAACTAATTCCACAAAGCAATTTCACACAAAGCAAATGTAAATGTGCGGAGGAATCCGTGAAATCCCTACTTCTAAGATGGGGTGTCGAAAAAGAAAAAGACGGTTTATTTCTGCTTTTACACAATGAGACTGATGGACAGAAATACCAGGATGCAGCTGGAAATGGACGTTATTAGGCTCCGTGTGATGAAACCAGAAAATACTCTTACATATTAGGGCTGGGTGATATGGCCTCAAATCAGTATCACAATATATTGAGCAGTTCACCTCAATAACTATAAATGGACGATAACTACTCCACAAGCTGCTCATCCCCTCCCACATTAACTTCATCTACTTCAGCCGCTTCAACTTTTGAACCGTCCTCCATCTCCTCACCTGTGTTTCCCTCTTTGTTACGGACTGGATGGGGTGGAGTCACGTCTCTGATGTAAGACAATGTCTTAAAGGGACATGAGACCATAGCCTAACTACACACACCCAAAACCAACTTTTATTTATTTTGACACTGAATATACCGATATACCCAGATATGCAAAATGACGTCGGTTATGGTCATAAATTTTGGTATCAGTGAATTATCGGTTTATTGCCCAGCCCTAATTTCTCTTATCATCTCATCAATGATCAATCCATACATATTCACATAAGCAAAGATCATTTAAATGTGTTATTAATGGAAAAAAAGGTGTATTTGTCATAAGCTTCAGCACTTTTCAGTATTATCTAATGTAGAAATAAAGTAGATAGATTCTCTTCTGGACATGCAGTATCAAAGTGTCGAAGTTTGGACAAACTAATCGAGATGTTTTGATGGTGACTTGCAGTTTAAAGCCCCCCATGTTGGTTAATGGATTCGGCCTTTGTTAGATTAGACAGCTGGAGTGAGACAGGAAGTGTTGGCTGCAGAGAGTGAGGACTCAAATCTAGGAGCATGGACTGTATGTTTCAACTGCTTAGTTTTAGAGTCATGACGATTAGCTTTCTGAATAAGTTGATTTTTACAACATGAATCTGCAGAAAAGGTTTACTTTGTCAACAGATATGATAAAATAGATCTTTGATTTGTATGTATTTCGTTTTATCCCCTGAAAAGCACATCTAGTGTGATTTTTAGGATAAAATGAAACTGAACTGAATATAAAAAACCTCAAACTTCAAATCAGGTTAGCTTAACTACACCAAAAATTAGAAAAGCTGCATTACGGATCATATTACAGGAGGATCACCACAGACATATTACAAAGTTTTGCCAGTAAGAAAAAAAGAAGAGAGAAAGAAAAGAGAAAAAGAGAGTAATGAAAACTGTCTTCATCTATCAACAATTAACTAAAGATCGCTGATCAAATTACTTAAAGGAACAATCTCAGACTTTTCGGTCTTGATCTGATTATAGATATTACAGACTCGGGCAGAAATCATTAGTGCTGCATCAGAGCTGCGAGGAAATTCAAAAGCCCAAAAGATAAAGTCGCTTTGGTTTCATTTCAAACAACTTTGCAAAGAGGAGAGAGATTTTAGATAAACTTTAGAAAGAAACTACAGCTTTTCACTTTCTGAAACATGCAAACTATCCGAGTGTTTAATATGCGACAAACTTTGGGTCCTAGATCAGGAACTGGATTACTGAGGAAGCAACACCTGCAGCCTCTCACCTCTACAGTGAGTGTGTAGTCGGAGCCGTCCAGCAGGGTGATTTTACACTGCATCATCTTCACTTTCTTCACTCCTCTCAAAGGAGACCTGGACAGGCGACTGGTGGATGACCTGTGGGAAGTCTGGTCCTCCTCCTGCGGCTCCTGGAAGATATAAAAGAGAGTCACTAAGCAGGAATGAATCAAATAAATGTGTGTTGATAACGAAAATCACTGTGACATAATCCTGCGCTGGAGCTGTGTCTGTTTTTCCTACAAGGAGATGTCTCTGTATAAAGGAAGTAAAAGCTCTTAAAAACCTCGGAGGTTGAAAGGGTTCACACGAAAAACCCAAACTCCCTCCATCTGCCCCTGAACGTCAGTTTCTTAATGTAGCCGTCTTTGACAAAACCAGCTTGTTCTGTCACATGACAAACCTGAAACCTAAAAATAGAGGCTGGGACCCAGAGTGGATGTAATCGGGTCCCACTGAGAGGAGCTGGAGGTGTGCTGCCATTTTGTCTTCAACAGAGAAAATCCAATTTTCCACTTGGATGAAAACAAAGCTGTTCCTGACTGACTTCACGCTGAAAAAGAGGCATTTGGCACAGAAACAGCTCTTTTCCTGCTCACTCAAACTCTAAGTGGATTTTTATTCCTGATATTTGAAATTTTGATCCTGGTCTTCGGGTTTCTTCCCTCACAGTGAGCCTTTCTACTAAAGCTGGAGCAGACCAGTTCTCCCAGTGGACCAAGACTGAGAATTACAGTTTTTTTAGAAATAATTTTGGGACTGATAGATGAAACTCCTGCTGCCTGGAGACATTCGCCCCCCTCAGCTCTGACAGTGTTTTTGTCAAGTTGCTGTGATTTCTGTCGGTCGTGTTCCTCTCACTTCACACAGACATGACAGCAGCAGAGCCTCATCCATCATTTCCACAATGACTAATGAGGGCTGTTTACTGTAAATCTGCTTTCGGGTAAATTAATGTGGATTCAATTATCAGGTAACACCTTCAGTGTTTCAGATGTAGGGTGAGATACTGGCAGGGAAAAATTATGAGTGTAATCTGACAGGAAGAGTTTTGTGTTTCTGTTTCCTCAGAGGGGATATTTTACCTCCACAGAAGTATAAGGTGTTGCTGCACCACATTTTTACAGTAAGAGGTCTGATTTCAATCTGCAGGCACAGCTAAATCTGCCACAAACTCCTCTAGAAAGAACATTAAAGCAAGGAAACTTACATTTTTATAAAACAGTAAGTAAAATTTCTATTGTTTATGGGAGTGGCTCTCGAGGAATCCAGTTTGTATCTACGAGAAACTGCTGTCAAAGATAAACGTCGGTTTTATATTGTTTTCAGTGAAACCTTTACTGTTGATAAATGTGTATTTTCTTGTATAAGTTTGAATTTTTTTCTTTTATTCTCCCTCCAGATCAGGATTTTACTGTAGAGACACAAGTTAGTAAATCATGTTTTTCCTTTACACTGCTTCACCTGCAGACGTCTGTATATACAGGATCTTCTTCTGGTCTTTATGATCAAACTTCAAAAATGAAAAGGAACTATTTCCATCAGCCTCAGCTGTACCTGAAGCTGAACTAGCTTTAGTAAGTCTACGGGTGAACGAGATGCCATCTAGAGACCAACTCAGGAGACAGGAGAACTTGTAAATGTTTGGAAATATTAATAATACACAGAACTTCATCCCACCAAAGGCAACGGCTGAAGTTTCGTGTGATGTTTTTTATAATACTGTTGCTAGGATACAGACTCAACATCCTGAAGCAATTGTAATATTATCAGGAGGTTAGATCATAACTTGGTTTATCTGCAGTTTATCCGAGACGCCAGACAAGTTAATTTACCTTTAGGGATAGATAGAGTCCTTCTACTGTGTTGTATAATTTACCAGAGTTTCCGAAGTTTCATTAAAAGTCTTTGAGATCCCTCCCCTGTATGAAGTCATGCCATTATTTATTAAATGCTGCCCGGTTTGAAATATCAAGCTCATTCAAGTTGACTGTGATCTTGTCTTTTTTTACATGCAAATGACCAAAAAAATCCAATTAAAGGGTTATTTCAATCATTATAATGGTGTCACTCTCGGTACCAAAGAGCAAAACTCATATAGTAATTCAGAAGAGATTTCATATTATAGAGATGTAATAGTAATACAGATATATCCTGATATTTGTCAATTCTCATATTGCTCAGCCCTGATAGTAACATATGTCCTTTAAACATACTCGGAGTTAGTCACGTTAGCTTCAAGACTGAGACAGCACTAAGCCTGCGTGCAGACTCCCAGCACTACTAACATGGCTGTGAAGTGTAATGAAAATAAGAATCAAAGTGAAAATGAGCTTTTTGACTACTTTTCTATTGTTTTGTGTGCGAAATGATATGAGGAAACACTGACCTTTTGGATGGTTACCTTTACCTACATTTATTCCCTAAATAGTCCATCATGTTTCTGTTTTTGTGCTACACTGCCCTCCATCCCTCCGCTCTCTCTCTCTGCCTCCGCTGCTCTCTCATCACGGCCCATGACGGCGCCGATGATTCACGTATAAACTCACGCTCTGTTTCTTCTTCCTCATGAAACACCCCATTTTTTCCACATCGTGATAAAAGCTGCACTGCTGGGTCAGTGGGGTTGTTAGCATCAGCATCACCGCGCTCAAATAAGAGTTTCATGCTCTATCACGTGGCGGATCATGAAAGTTTTAAACATCTTAAAAGCGGCTCTGCTTCTTCTGCCTGTCTGGAGATGGCTGTCCTGACTTTGGCCTTCTGATTCCTTCATATTCACCAGTAAAAACCTGCATGTTTGGAATGGATCTTTAACTAAACTCTCAGATAAGAAGATAAGCTAAACGCCTGAAATGTTTCTTAAATTTAAAAATAATAAAACAGAGCAGCTTAGAGCTAATCCTTTCTCTAATGCGGTTATTAACCAAATCTTAGTTGAAACTTTTTAAAACTTTTTTTTCATCTCCACCTTCAAACTATTTTCTCTTTCATTTTGCTCCCAGCTAGTTTTCAGACCTCAAATCTCACTAACTACAATTTAGTGTCTGGGGACTGATTCGTCTCCAGAATCATACTGAGGACCGAATCCGTCTGCATGCACAGCTAGTCACACAGTTTTTCCTTCAACCAGTAAATTAGGGGATAAGCCAGGCTGTGCTTTAGTCCGAGACGGTCTCCACCTGCAGTTTGGAGGCGCTGGAAATCCAATCTTCAGATCGATTAGAAAGCAGGCCCCGAGGCTGCTGGAGGCTAAAGTCTGCAGAGGAGCACTTAGTGTTCGGATAACATTTGTGGACTGTCCCAGATATAAAATGATCCGGCTATGGGCTACAACCCACCACCTGACAGAGATCACTGCTTTCAAAAGACGATGAACTGGACGAGTTTTACTCTTTACTCAAGTTCCCATCCCTGACGGTGGATCATGACTTTTGATTTATGCAATTTGACAAAATTATTATCAAATTTTACATTTTCTAAACCAAACTGACTTGTCTGATTATAACCCACATGCAGTAGCTCAATTTACTCATTCTTTCCCACAGCTGTGAAAAGTTATGCTAATGACTGAAATCTGCAGACGTAATGCAGGGGATGAAAACACCCACGCTTGGTTGGTGGGGGTTTCTTGGTCTGTGTTTGACCACAATCCCAAAATAAAAGCCCTGACTGATTAATGGAGGCATTTGAAGTCAGGCTGTAACCGCCATTGAGAGCACTGAGGTCATGTCGTCAGGATTTTTCTCGTTCATTTCCATTTTTCCACACAAAGGCACGATTCATTCATTAAGGAGTGGGCTGAATGGCGTGTGATGTTTTCTCAGAGTGGAGTCTTATCTAAAGGAGTATGTACAGTGTTAACAGGAGAGAAACAACCTCAGATGAAGTGTGTGTTTCCTCGCTGACAGCTGCTGGATCCTCTCTGTGCAGAGAGAGGTTGCGAAGGGTCTGACCTGTTCTTTCCTGGCCGGGGTGCTGTGTCCAGCGGCGGCAGGCAGCTCCGTCTGGTTCTGAGGTGAGGTCGGTTCGGCTGCTTTGGCTTTCCCCTTCTCCGTCTCCTTGTTCTGCCTGGCCTCCGAGTCCGCGCCTGTTTCGGTCGTCATGGTGAATCACGCTGAGAGTGGGAGGAAAAAGGAAAAGTAGATGAGTCAGCTGACTTGCTATGAATTGATCTAGTGTCGCTTTCGGCTCTGTGTGGCGATAAGCTCCCCTCTGATGTAGATGTGTGGATGTGGATATTGTTTGACAGAAGAATAAAAAGTGAAATAAATGCTAAGTGGCTTATTGTGCGCTCCAGTCCTGTTCTCAGTAATCTTGGGAGTGTCAGCTGCTGATAATGGGAGAGTGCTGATACTCCTGCTGCTGCACTGACGTCCACATTTTCTACATGATATCCCACGTCGTCTTCTTGAAAACCCTCTTGCCTTGAGCTTTAACGACATTTCATTTTTATTTCCAATTAGTGTGACAAGAACTGTTTCGTCTGCTCTGTTAAATGTCAGAAAATAGAGGCTTTAATACATTAAGATATTTTGTTTACGATGGTAGAAAGCAGTCATGCAGTCTGAACCCTTATACTAATCTTTTCCAGATTTCTCCCCCACATCCTGTTTGCTTTGGTTATCTTTCTTTAACTCAATATTAAAAGGATTTGAACTGAATTTGTCATGAGAAAGAGTGTGTTAAATCTTCTGGTCTGACCTCACTTTTTGTTTGATAGTCTTACACAGATATTTGACAGAAAGTTGAGGCTCCTTATCAGCTGTATTTCAGATTTAAGACATTTCTTTTTAGTAAAACATTCGGCTTCCCCTTTTACATTATTTTCTTAAACATTTTATCTTCTCTTAAAACAGTTTATCTTGTTTTTACTTCTCCTTCAATGAGATGTTTTTCTTGTTTCAACCTATATCATGTTTTTGCATTGTAGCACCAAGACAACCCTGTGTGTGAAACTCACACATCCCTCGCAGGAAAGGTTCTTGTTACATTTTAAACTGACTCCATCACTGACCATCTCAAATATCATTAATGCCTCACACAGGGCACCAAAATGATACATAGCGATTAAATTTATAATAAATGTCATAATTTAGGATTATTATAAAATATTAATCTTAGGATATTTATCATAAACAGGGTTTTTCCTGCGTTCAAAATTGCGTGGCGGCCGCCTCCACCTAATTTTGTGCCGCCCCCAGCCAGAGTGATTGATTTCGCTCAACACAGCGTAAAGCTCCAGCTGTGTTGATTGAGCGATTGATGTCCCTCTGCAGCAGCAACGTATTTTAACTGCAGTTGCAGCGTTGCGCCACTATAGAGGCGCTATATCAACAGCAGTGCACCGGAAAGACCTGAAGCATCTACCGAAGAAGAAACGGATCGAATCATGTTTTTTCAAGTTTTTTTTCCCGCTAGTTGGTGCTGTCGGCGTCCTGATTTTCCCTGGCGGATGATACAAACAGGTAAATACTGCTTCTCTTTTTTGCATCCAAGCATGTCGTGTTTATTTAAAAAAAAAAAAGTTTACTCCGTTTTTAGCGTTGCAGTTATGACAGGCAAAATCAGCCAGTACTTTAAAAAGCGACCTCGCGAGGAGGAAAGTCAAGAGTCCAGGTGAAACACAGCAGAGAAAAAACGTAACAGGCAGTTAAAATGCTATAATTCATGTTGGTGACAACGTGGAAATTTGTGTCAGGTCTGAAAGTACTTCACAAGGGACTGGTGATCGCGAGGGTCAGAATGCAGGACAGGACGAGTCGGCGAGGCGAGGGTAATTAATTAATTAGTTTCCAATTAGGAGCATAACAACGCAAGCCGACGTGTACGTGGTTTTTATTCCTCTTTCCAGATCTTCTCAAAAACACAGAGCCAGTGGCTTTGACAAGCAGTGGCTCAATCAATTTACCTGGCTCAGGCATACTGAGGAAGGCATGCACTGCTATTTATGCCAAAAGCACTGTGCCCCAAAACAGCAGGCAATTGCTGCCTCCTTAGTGAGACAGCCATCAACCAACTACAGGCTGGACACATTAAAAAGACATGAGGTGATAGCCATTCACAAAGCAGCAGAAGAGAAGGAGAAGTATATTAAAGATGGTAGTACCTAAAAACACTCAACTAATAAAGTTACAAAAACTAAAATAACATAGTTTAGATAGTTTAAGAAATAATTGGTTGTCGTTTTTTTTTTAGGGAGAACACTGCAGCGTATACATATATATAATATATGATTGAAAACACTATCACTCTTCATGTCTGTATCAGAATAAAAACAAAAATACTTAATGCATGATGAATTGTTTTGTTTAAGGTGAAGACACCTCTGTGGAACAGACTGAAGGAGAGGCACTTGGATGTCTGTTGTAAGGTGGCCGTTGATGGACCAGACCAGGAGACCTTGGACTACAAGGAGTGCATGAGGAGGTTCTACAGAATGAAAAAGAGGAGGCTGAAATGTTCTGTCTGGTTGCGAGATGTGTGGATGAAGTGTACTTTCAATGTAAAGTTGCCAGCTGATTTGTGTATGTATATAGTTTTAATAAATGAATGCTTTAACATGATAATGGTCACACTCTTTTTTGAACTCTTAACTTAAAGTATGTTGCCTGTAAAAGAAAGTGAATCAGTTGAATTTACAAATACATGCACGTCGTGGCGCATGGTCAGGATGGTGCCACCTCTGCCTCAATTTGAGCCAGGAAAAACCCTGATAAATTAAAATCGCTACAATATCTCTTTTTTGTGATGTTTCTTTGTTTTTAACATGTAGCCCTTTGAGATCCTTGGATGTAAAGGGCATTACAAATCAAAGTATCATCAATATTGTTATGTTTCTGTCAAATGCATGTAAAATATAGTAAAGTTGCATCCAGACTGCTTTCCAAAGCAAAAGCCCTGATCTGTTTTCACTGCAGAGAACTTCCCTTGTTTCCAGAATGATGCTTTTATTTTGAAATTCAGTAAAGGACAGTTATTATTTTATGTTTTCAGGGCTTTTCCAGACACAGAATGACACAATTGGTGTTTCTTGGTGTTGTGTAACCTCGCTCTTGGCCTGACAGAGCCTCTGCAGAGTGTTTACACATAACCATTCAAAGTATCTGGACTGCGCGGGTACACTTCTTTCATGACCTTCTCCCTCTGTGGATAGCAGCATACCAGCAGCGGATGAAATCCCGAGGGTCTAAAACTGGGTAATGAAAGGAAACATCCAATGGCCGGTTCTGCAAAACTGAGATGACAGATGGCATCGGGGGTCCGTGTTCTGAACCGGCTCTGACATTGGGACTTGGGGTTTGGAGGGCGTGTTTGCAGGACAACAACAGTGCTGCTCAGAGCGAGTCTGGGGTTTGTACTACAGATGCCTGTCATTCCGATGCTGGCCTGCGTCTCCCTGAGCTCTATTTATAGGGATGTGTTTGCTCCAGGGAGGAGGGAGGATTCAGGGGAGGATCTCTGACTTCAGTCTTGGCTGAGGACAGCAGACTGTGGATCAACAAAAACCCCAGAGGACTGAGGTGATCCCTCATAATTTATAACATGGTGAATGAATAACTGCATCACTTACGGCTGAACTTTACCCTAAATTTAAAGCATTAAAAAAGGAAACAGGATCATTTGAAACAACACATGGGAGTCAACTTCGGTTATATTTTAAAACACATCTTTGTCAGAAACTAGAAAAATTCTCAGCCTCAGGGGGTAAATTTGGCTCGTACATGCCTGACTCCACGAGTCCTGCTGTGAACAGCACTGGCAGGCACATAACTGGATTACGAACAGCTGGAGTCGGTGCCCTGATCATGCCTCTGTGTTGTTTGTTCTTGTTAAACTCTGTGACAGATGCATTTGGAAGCTGGACTGAATGAATGTTTCATTGTCTGGGCTAAAGCTCCACAGTCAGGATTATTTCTGCAGAGCATTATCTCTGGTTTGAATATGCATCGTTTTTTTTTATATCTTTGGTATTCCAGCGTCTGATTCATTTCTTTTAATGAGCCCTGACTTCAAATCTCTGCGGACTTGTTTGAACAGGATTACATTTGAGAGTAAATAAAGCTTTGCAGAGCAACAAAAACAACGTCAGACTTGAATCTGGCAGTATTTAAATGGATCAGATTGATGTTGACTCAAAACAGCAGTAAAGCTGGACTTGGAATAGAGTCCAAACACTTGGGAGTTTTGTGTTATTTCTGCATTTCTGCCTTTGCCTTTTCAGCAGTCTGGAGCATCAGGGGTCAGTGAACGCAACATGCTGATCAAACGCTTTCCAGGGTTCAACCTCGGTAACATCAGGTGCTATAAAACAGTTTGATTGGATGAGTGGAGCTTGATTTAAGGTCTGAAGAAGCTGAAGAAATGCAGCATGTGATCCTCTGTGCTGTTTATTAAAAGATACGTGATCCGAGAAGGAGAAAAATGAAGCCAACACGCTGCTTTCCTGTCGTGTCATGTGTTAGGGAGTGGTTCCCTGATCAGCTGATCGGCAAACCTTTGCTTCCCCTCACTATGAAACAGGAACTATGGTCAGAGGGGAGGGAAGGAGGAAAGGGACATCTTAGCACCATAGAAATGGAGGAAGAATACGTTCAGTCACTGGTGACAGGCACTCTTCACAGGGCCACACAACAGCCCACACAGTGGCCTTGTGTGTGGCCTTTAGCATGGACTGGCACATACATTATGCATTCAGAAAGCTACATTCACAACTCATTTAGTGCTCTGCTTTACTGCTCGGATACAGGAGCGGCTGAAACAATCCTTCTACGCTTGAACGTGCTGCTTCATCGCTGATAAATCCTGTATGACTAAGACTGGGCGATTATATGATCGGGATAAATTTCAGTCAGATCACGGTGATCAGCTGTGAGCTCATCTACTCGATCAAACTTGGCGAAAATGTGCATCACAACAGCCAATCAGAGTCGAGCTTTTCCTGCTCACTTCTGTAAGTTGCTGGAGAAGTAAACAGAGTAACCGAACGTGGAGCTGAGGGCCGTAAAATAGATGTCAGCCATGACTTTGAGTCATCCTCCAAAGATGTTATTGTTGCGAAGAAAAGTTATTTAACATCTTATTTATATTTATCTGTTTATTTTTTTAGTTTTAAGTACAGATAAAAAAAATTGTGATAATAATCGTGATCGGACAATATGACAAAGTATATCGTGATCATCTTTTTAGCCAAATCACACAGTCCCACGTATGACACATGCAGAAAAAGAGGTTTGGAGGCGCACCAGTCTGAGGACTCTCAGTCTGTCCTAATGGGCTTAATCATACTCAGTGAATGTGTGTGGACTCATTACACACTCCTGATGCTTCTTACTGTACACCTGTAAATCTGAGCACTCATTAAGACACTCAACATAAACACTGACGAGCATCTTGAGTGAAAAGAGAAAAAAGAAAACTCTTCATAAATAAAGGGAAAAGCAGAGCACCTGGCGCTCAGACGGCAGCAAATTTATCTTGTAGATCAGCGCACCGAATCACGGTTCACACAACCGTTTCCAGATGGATGGTAATAACTTGTGTCTGCAGATAAAAGCTGATATTTTCTTGAGAAGAAGCAGCAGCCATCATTCATCTGGTGGTCCTCTTCCAGGCAGAAACCTTCCTCAAAAGAAAAACTGCATCGTAAACTTATCAATCCGATTACTTGTTTCTGATATCAATCAAACTGAGCCGCAGTGAATCAAACCCTCGGGCTCCAAACAAACCAGGAAGCAGATCTGTGAGCTGGTCCCAGTAACAGACGCGCTGAGGCCAATCAGTCTGTCTCTCTCTGACTAAACTGATCCCTGACTCCAAATGCTGTGTGCAAACCTCCGTTTAAAAGTCCATTTGTGATTGTAATGCATGCTGTCGAAAAGAGGCCTCACACACACACACACACACACGTTCACACTGAGCAGAGGATGAGGGGCGGCCATCTGTCCTGAGTGCCATTAGCAGAAGAGCACCACAGCTGGGACCATCCCTGCAACCCTCAGCCCCGCACCCTTAACCCCCCCCCTCCCTTCCTCCTGGGGGCCTCTGGAGGTTACATGGAGGGGAATAGCTGGCGTATTTTGACACGTCAGGACCCATCCCGAGCTGGGCGGCCGTACATGTTTGATGCCACCCCTCTTCATAGCTGCAGGGCTGACAGCTGTCACACACAAACCCTAACAACTGTAACAGGAAACCGCGTTGCTGCTGGTCCGGCCACTAAATCGAGACGCCTCTGCTGAGAGGTCACGACCTCCTGAAGTGCTTTCATCTGTTCTGAGGTCCAAATAACAAACTAAATTATTGATGTGTTTTATTGAGGATGAGGAGAAAAGTTCAGATTTCTCATTCATGTTACATTTGTAAGTGTAAACTTACTGTTGCTATTTCTACTACTATTTAGTGGGACTATGTTGTACTGTCACAATAAAAGAGGTCAGTATCTAATTAATGTACAAATTAACGACAATACTACCTTATCTGGCCTCTAAAGAACTTTTTATTCGTTGCTGTTTTTACGGTTCTGACTTTTCTAAGCACATTTCTCGATATTTATAGGTTTATTCTTTATATTTATGATACTGTGTATGTTTATATGAGCAGCTATTTGTTTGTAGCAGCATTTTACTGCCTATTTCTCAGACATAAAAATATATATATTTAGATTTTCTTTTCTTTTTCTTCTTCTGACTCCTCCCCCTTGTCCAGGATTATTAAAATATCTATATTTCTCCATTTCTTTTTTGCACTTGATCCAATATTACATCACAGAAATCAATTAAAAAGTCATTATTTAGCGTTATTGCTTATGTCCTAACACTGTTTATATCATATTATTTGATTTTTATCTCTTTATTTTTTGTCTATTCATTGATTTATTTCTGTGATCTTTTAAACCTTCATTTATTTTATGTTTTTCCTTTGTTTGAGAAGCATGTTTGTATGTATAAAAGGTGCAAAATAAATATAAAGCTCAGTTTAGCTGAAAATCTTTGTAGCTTGAGCTTCTATAAGATGAAAATTACCTGCATTTCTTGTTTTAATTAGCGGTTAAATAAACCAGTTTGGGTTTTTTCATGGTCCAGCTAACAACAAAAAGACATTTAAAGCCATTATTTTTGATACTTGTTGCTGTTTTGGGTCATTTAGAGACCAAATCTTCACTTGTTTTAACTTCACTGTTTATCTAGAAGTATATTTTTTATATCAAAAATAAGATAATTATAACACTATTTAATAATCTGCTTTAAGCCTTACGAATAAAAAATGACAGATAAATGCATGCGTTCATTTATAATAAGTACTTTCAGAACTTTTTAAACTTTTTTTTGCAGAATCTCAAAACAAAACATCTTCCTCGAGTTCTGAAGAGGCAGCACCAATGAGACACTGGCTGTCGCCTGCACCACATTGTCCGCCCGCCTAAAGTGGCGTAACGAGCAACACGAGGAAGCAGCAAGAGTCTGACTCTTCCTGTTTTTCAGTGATAAACAATAACAACAGGTGATTGGCCTCTCCAATAAGAGAGCCTAATAATAGAGAAGAAGGGTAGAACGAGGGAGAAGAACACTGATTGTTTTCCACTGCGCAGCTTTCCTGAGCCGAACAAACCGAGACATTTAAACAACACAGATCTGTTCTTCACTTCAGCAGCTCAGAACATTTTCCAGCTCTGGTGCAGCGCCGGTGTACAAACAGTCCTGACAACTAATCTCTCATTTACAGGGCCAGCAAGAGGGTCAGTATTAAAACAACCTGCTGCAAATGTTCCCAACAAGCCTCACAATATTTACACCGGCGAGTCGACCCAGCGGGACTTTTTCACTTTTTCTGGCGCCGTTTTTGTTTTCTTTCCTATCAGGTTAGTTGATTTTGAATAGGATTTTAGTGAAAAATCTACTTCACAGTCACTTAGAAACTGTGGTTTTTGCTGCTGTCAAAGTGTTTCAGTTTCATTATTCCACTCTTATTGAAATGAGCTAAAGAGAGAGAGAGTAATAAACCATCTCTGTATAACTCAATATGGTGAAATATGCACCACTCACTCATCCACCGCTAAAATCTCTGAGGTTGTTTTATGAGACGTCCGTGCAGCCTTATAAAATACCTCTGCATATCAGATTTTTCTCCTTGTGTAGCCATTTCAAAAGCACTCTTCATCCAGAAATCACTTAGCTGAATGCTTGTGGACTGAATTAGATGAGACGCTCCGGGTCTCAGTAGCAGAAAATGGGGAAGGTATACTAGTCACATGAAGGTGACTCTGAGCCGAGAGCATTTTCTGCTGAGGAGGCCATAAATCTGTCAACGTGCTGCGTTTACATTCTTAGCATCACCGTCTCCAGCTGTAAAGAAAGCTATTCAGGGATACGACGCACATACCAGCTCACTTATTGTTACCCCAACTTGACTGTGCACAGACGATTAAGACGTCTTTGTTGGACCGAGTCACTTAAGGCCAGGGTGCAAACAACGGCGGGGACAATCCCTGAAATATCTACACAAAGTCGCTCTGAATCCAGTTGTGCAGGTTTTTAATTTTAACCGAAGTAAAACTCCACTTTTAACATCAAAGATTAAAAAGAAATCTCTCTTAGCTTGATGAAGAACTAATGACTGCTTACAGAGAGGCTGAGACTGGCCAGTGGGGGTTAAGCATTTTATAGGATTAGCTATAGATAATCAGTAAACCAGCTGTGATTCAATTAGCAATAAATGTTCTCAGGAGAGCATAATGTTATAAAAGAGCCTTTGGGATGTTGATATCGGTAGGGACAAGTCTATGCCCATCTCTGGTAATTATTTTAAACAGTTTACACTCTATGGGGAACACTCTGGCAGAGCTGCAAGGATGTTAAGTCATTAAACAGGGCGACAAACGGTTGATATCAAAATTTCCCATGGCCTGATATGACCCTTTAAAAAAGTGCGGATAAATCGAAGTTCGCAAAAATGACAAGTTTTTGATCATAGAAGAAAAAATTATAGATGCCGATATTTGACTCACATATTATCAGTGTGTTAGGATGACTCCTAGTCTGATCATTTTACATCTATGTTGCTCTCTTGGTCCTTTTTGGAGGATGAGAAAGAAGTGGATGTCTAAAGTAATGATGAAAAATGTCAATAAACATGTTTGAATTCATCCATCGTCAAGTCGATAATGTGATGCCTTAAAAGTCTAGGGTTATTTCTTTAATAAGTTGCCATAATATTGAATCAACAAAACCAGAATGCAACGAAATCACAAATCTGGACAGACAAATACTTGATTCCTTGCTGCTTATTTGTTGTCATGCATTCATGTACTTTTCTGCGGTCAAAAAATATTAATATATGAACATGATTAATCCTGCAGCAGGCTATTTCTCCTTAAGAGAAAGCTCTCGCTCTGGGGTTTTGTGTTGATTTATTGCACTTTCTTGGCCTAATAAAGACGCTAAAATATTGAATCACTGTTCCTGATGTTTTCCAGAGAAAAAATAAAGAAGCGCTTGTTTCTCTTTGCCTTTACATGACCCCATTGTGTCTCTGTGGTGCTCTGTAACAAGTTCAGACTGACCTATTTTTGGTGGCTTTTCCCTATCTGGGGCCTAAGGAAAGAGGATGCTGTGTAGTATGTGTCGTATGAATCTAAGAGGCTCTTCAGAGGTTCATAACTATGTAAAATATAGTTTATCTATAAGCTTTATCATTTAAATTTTTAACATTCAAAAGCTTATCCTTTTTAAGGATATTAAGGATATCGAGGGTTTCCAGGCATTTCTACACCTGCCACAAGGTCTACAATCCAGCCACAAAAACAGGTGTCTGATCAAAGAGGTTTGATGGTAAATTTGCGGTGATATACCAGTGAAAACACGAGTATTAATCATACTGTTATCGCTAAATGCCGCTAATGTCTTCCGGGTTTGTTTTGATGATGTTGTTTCTGTCAAACATTTGACCAATTACATGGTCTCATATTCTTCCTCTATTGTTTTTCACGGTAGTGTACAATAAGAGGCAACCAAGGATGAACAAGAGACAAGAAAATTCCCTGCTTGTCTGCAAAATAAGAATTAATGGTCGTCAATACTTAGAAACAAGCAAAGAGGAGATTATGAGCAGTATGATGTGGCCCTCTGTCTCATCCCAGACAGGATTGTTTCAAGGAGTGGCATAAAGACCCGTAAATAGTAAAAAAACGCCTGGAAGAATGAGTGTAAATATGTAAATAGTTCCTGTTGCGTGTTTGTTTCAACACACACGCCTCACAGGATGCAAGACGAAGATGCAACACAAAGATGCAAGATGTCTTGACAAACTGGTGAAAAAGGCTGGCTCTGTGGTTGGACTCAAGCCAGACTCTGTGGAGGATGTGGTGGAGAGATCTACACTGAGGAAGGTGGAGACTATTCTAAAGAACATGGATCACCCATTTCACAACACCTTGATGGACCAAAGGGCCAATGGTGGTGGACGGCTCCTCTCTCTTCGCTGCAGGACAGAAAGATTCAGAAGATCTTTTGTACCAACAGCCATCAGACTTAACAATTCTTCTGTAAAGTCACTTTCACACCTGACCAAGTGGACTCAGTTCAATTGGGGAGCTGAAAGTCGCAGCATTGTTGCATTTATCACGTGTTTCGGTTCTGCTTTCACACTGTGATTTCTAAAGCGCACCAAACTTTCCAAGCAGCATCACGTGGTTGAAAGGGGCGCTCGTCGATTGGACAAAGTAGGAGGGGTATGTAGCCTCACGGATTACAAACAGGGGTGGACTAGCCGTCTTGTATCGTGCTTCGTCACATTATTTTATGGAACGCTAAAACGTTAGTGAACGCGACTGTTCATATAATGCTATCGTAGCTTGTCAGGGATTGATCCTGTTTTTTTCTAACCTTGACGATCTAACATGTGACAACATATGAGCTCAGAGTTTGAGGACTGTGACTGTTGGTCGTTGTGATTTGATTTTGTTTAAATATGCCAAATTGTGAATTTATGGGTTATTGTTGTTCAGACAATTGAGCTAAGCTAGCTAGCAACTGCTAATGTCAGCGGTCACTTTTTGCCAATTAAGTTCTTCTTCTTCTCGATTTGCTGTGCTTGAAAGAATAGAGTTGCTAAAAGGATTACATAGGCGGACCAAAAATAGCAAAATATAGCTTGGAGTTCACAGGGTTAACTGTTGCTGTTGGTGAATGTAAGGCAGAGATGCAACTAGTAGACACAATTGACAACAGAAAGTCATAAAAACTGGGACAAAAAGCCTGGAAACAAGGCCCACAATGTTACTGCCTGTTCAATGCTACTGCAACAACAGCTTACTGTGCATCTTAATTAAATTGTCAAGTCAGACTCCGGCCATTACTCCCCCTCTTTCCTTAAGGATGTGAGGATGCTAAAAGAGGATCCAGCTCGTGTCATCCTGCCCTTAACCACGCCCACCGCACTGCAGATCAAAAACACCCGACTATGTCGTCTTAACCTCCGACTGGGGAACTATTTTAATCCATTAATAGTCCTCAAATGTGGCCGTGTCTGCCCGTGACTCAGCGTTGTCCTTCATACTGTGAAATAAAGGTTGGAAAAAAAGGCATCTCCGCGGACACCCACTCCCCACCAAACTGGAGCTCACGTTAGCTTTACTGTAAAACCCTCAAACCGATCTGCTCCTTGGAGATTTCCGACTTTGAGCTTCAGATAGTAGACAGAAAACAACACACGGCTACAATGTACCCACGCAGGAGGGTTTCCCCATGCAAAACTGCGGGATAAAAACAGGCTGCGATCAGCTCACTTTACCGCCTGAGTGGATACAGTAGAAGTGTGTGTTTTTTTTTTATGTGAATCATCTGTCATCGGCAAGACGAGCAGAAGAAGACGAGGAAATAAGAGCGAGGAACGCACAGAAGCGAAAGCACCTCCTCTGAGACAAATACACGGATAAAAGCAGCAAAAGAAACGGGTTTATTACCAGGTGGAGCGTCCTCGTTCAGGCTGGTAACGCGAGTTGCATTCGTAGTGGGCTTGTGTTTCCTGACAGCGGTGCTGCTGCTACTCTGCTGCTGCTGCTGCTGCAGTTCCCCTCTCCGCCAGCCTATCACACTCAACTATGCAGCCCACAGAAGAATTGTGGGATGTCAGGACAGCCGGGGCATTATTTCAGCAGCACCCCCCACTCCCCTACTCCCCTCCCCTTCACACACACCCACGCAAACACACACATGCACAGAGCATGGCAATTAACAGCACGAGGTTTGCTGTTTGGCTGAGGCAGAGCGAGTCTCCTCTGTTTATGAGATAATGTTATTTAAAGGAACTGAATCAGTGGAAGTGGTACAGTTTATCTGCTAAAATCTTCTACTGTGAGTGAGTGAGTGCAGTTTAAAAAAGCCTTTACTTTATTTAAATTATTCAACTTTAAAGCTGAATAAATCCATCAAATATTCACAAACCCAGATTTTTTTTAAAACTTTAAGGCTGAAGTTGGTCGATTAATCATTTTGACATGATCGGCATAGTATCAGCACTGGCTCCAGCATTTTTCTCATCACCCATTCATAGCACATCAAATATAAAATTGTATGACCTGTTGCATAGTGCAGTTCAGTATTACACGAGTATTTAGAAACCTTAAAAATTAGATAAGATAACCACGTATATTAAATTTTAATGTGCATAAAACAATGGATCTTCACATTACTTTCCCCTACTACAAATCGTGTTATATTTATCTTTCTTTGTGGCGATGTTATTCCATTTGGACTTAATTTTATTTGAAAAGAAAAAGTTCGCTCAAGTTCAAATCTTTTGTTTTTTATTTGTCAGTATTTATTTAAAAGAAAAGTGTGGTATAGGCATTATATATCTGCTTTTGGCTGACTCACTCACATAATATCTGTAATTCGTGGACCACTACTCATTAAAGCCAAATTTCTCTGTATTAAAGGGATATTCCAGCGTAAAAATTAATTTAGGGTCAAACACACCGTAACACCGAGTTAGACACCCCCTCGAGAGATTGAACTGCTTGCTTCTCTAGTTATACCAACTTTAGTAACGACCACAGATAGCAATGAGGAGGGCCATGCGCTCAACCAAAACGCCACTTTATGGCCACAAATAATGCTCAGATTTATAATTTCTTTAGCAAAGAGACTAAACACAACTCACCATTTCTCTTCCAGCAGCCACTTGTTTGTACAGAGACTTATGGGTGAGTCCATTGACTACAGCGGGGTGACGCAGCTCAAGGAAGAACATTTATGATAATTACTTTATCATTTCCTTGAAGTAATAATCACCATAATAATCATTTTGCACTGCAGACGTGGTAGTTCTTCTGCCTTAGTTGATAGCATTTCCACAAGGTCACCCCGCTACAGTTGATGGACTCACCCGGAGGTCTTGCTACAAACAAGTGGCTGCTGGAGGAGAGTAGCTGAGTCGTGTTTTCTCTCTTTTCTAAAGAAATTAGGCAAAGTTAAAAAGATGTGTCTAAAGGGGGTGTCTAAATTGGTGTTACCCTGTGTTTGACCCTAACCCAATTTTAGGCCAGAATATCCCTTTAAGTTTTAAAGATCAATTCACTAAAAAACTTTTTTGTCAATCAATAAAAAATAATACTTTGTTGAAGTCCTACTCTACTTTTATATTCTGAACTCCTGTCATACACAGCTCTGCCTGATCCCCACGGGCTTGATGGACAAAACTAGAGCTGACAAACTGAGCTGATTAATTCTGAGCAAGAAAAGACTTCCCTTCAGCGCTGAGTGTCAGTTTTGTCCTCTCTGGGCTACCGTAGCAAGATGGCAGTCCTCCATGAAAGAGGAGCTGCACATGTATAAAAAAAATTAACAAATGAGTCATTTTCACAGGTATTTATTTGCTGATGAAAAGACTTATGTAATGCGAACTTATGTAATGTTTCCTATCAGCCAATAACTCTGTTAATAGATAACCTGATCAGTGGCACTGGACTTGATATTGACACAAAAAAGGTAGCTGCTGCACATTTACCAGGGGTGGATCTAGGGGTGGCCATGCATTGGCTTTAGAAAATACAAACATCTGTACTGTATTGAACTAGAAATATGTTGTTTTTTACTCACTGTTATAAAACTTGATAGTTAGAAAAATAGTACCAGCATGCTACATACTGACCCCATACTCATTCCTCTCTATGTTATGTCACACTCGCCTGCATGTTTCAGTCAGACACAGATCACCTTGCAGAAGTAGGACCTCCTTGAAATGCTGTTTTGTCCTGACTCTTTTCACAATCAGCTTCATATAAAACAAAATACCTGGATGTCTTTGGTGTAATTCAAACTGATCTTACAATCACCGGCTGACTGTGTGCAGGAAGACTTTATAATACTCTCCTTATTGAAAACAAAATCCAGGACATATTAAAAAAGGGGGCATGAAAACATACCGACACACACATCTGCCGGCCCTATTCCCGGTTCATACATGTGGTTGCGAGCGCGCATACACCAACATAAAAGCAAGTTTTTAATTAGTGTCTGGGTTGTTCCCTCAGGGGGACTTGTGGGTTTTACCCCCCGCCTCCCAGTGGGAACTTGACCCAACCCGGTCACCAGTTTGACTTTTATTTCATCTAATTGCCTTCATGCTCGAGTACTATACCACATGCCAACACTTACAGTACGCCGTGCGGGTATAAAAACACAGGCGTATGACGGCTTTGGAGAATTTTCTGCTGCAGTCGTTCACGATTTCCCTAAATAGTGACGGACACATAGCAGGCATGCTTTGCAGATAGCAGAGGGTAAATGTAATAACTCACACACACTGTAACTCTTCTGTACAGCAGTCAGACAGCTGGCTCCTCATCCAGCTTCGGCTAATTGTAGCACAGCTCGTAAAACAAGCTCAAGGACGACAACAACGACTGTTTAACATCCAAGACATGTAATCCACGTTACAATCAGAGGTGATTTAGCTGCTTTACGTGCAAAATTAAAATTCCTGACAACACAGAAGCAAACCAGGAGTGAGGAGAGCGAGGTTTAGAGCTGCCGCGCCTTAACAATAGACGTAACTAAATATTCCTGTTATAGTAGATGCTAGAGGACAGATAATAACTATGGAGGGCTGAAAGAAGGACGGTATTCCCATGGTGACAGTGTAATAACTCATCTCTGTGACTTTGCTGAGTATTATGTGAGAGCTCCATTACCCTTAAAAAGATCTAATTGACAGTTTGATAAGAGGCAGCCTTACAACTTTGACGTTTTCACTGTGAAAAAAGATGATTGATGTGACTCTAATGTAAGTCTACCATTCCTCCAAAGTTAGGCTCTTTCACTTCCCCTTCAGTTCTTGTTTTTCAGGCACAGATTTCACAGTAAATGACGAGCCTTGTGAGAATGAACCTGGCATCGCTATAGTGTGTCTTATCGAGAATACATAGTCAAAAAGGAAGTAACGACTAACTTGGACATCTGTGTTCTGCTCAGCAAAACAATAGTGATCTACATTTAGAGCGTGAGCACACTGTTGGTCTGAGACATTGCTCATCGTGGCCCGTCTGGCCAGTGGGTGGTGACTGTGTGCCTGCAAACAATCTTAAATTGGAAGTGAAGGGCTGAATACAGCTGTAGCTCGTCTCCAAAGAGAGCAGAAATGTTCACGTACTTCTTTTCATTATTAAATTACTGCTTTCTGCAATCTCTGATGTGTGTTTGGCTGACTTTTGCAGGACAACTTTGTTTCCAAGTTATGTGCAAAGGTTGAACAAACAAAACTTAAACTTCTGTTAACAAGTAGTAAAAAAACCAAATGCATCACTTGTAGACAGAAGCGTCTCCTCTGTCAGGGCCTGTGTCCACTAACAGAGTTTATATTATGTGCATGTGCAGGCAGTGAACTAACCCTAACTCTTAACAGCAGCTGTAAATTGTTAAATTTGGGGACCTTGGCATAGTAAACCAACCAATCAAAGTAAAGTTGGGGTCACTTTGTTGACAACAGTAGCAGAGGAAAAACAAGTATAGTTTTCGAGGTATCTTTTCCATTCTAGAGCTACTGCTGTTGCCACAATAGAGTTCTTTTTATGAATTTAACTGAGTAAAATTTAATGAAATGCGCACTGAGCATTAACAAAGACAGGAGGAAGTACAGCAGGATAACTTTCTTAACCTAGCAACAGTAAACACTGATTAGCAGCGCTCTGAAATCAAAGTTGTCGATTGAAGGATGTTGACATCGTGGGCGCTGATAGTGGAAACAGGCCCTAAATGCTCTCTTAAAACAGGGCGTGCCGTCGACATAGAGCAGCACAGTACGGTCAAAGAATGTGCATTTGTAAATACACTGTTTATCACTATAGATAAATGTCCTCAGTGAAAAGAGGAGAATTTATTTACGCTGCTTTTATGGGACATAAAGCAAAATACAAAGAAAGGCATCAGGAAAAAGAAGCTTTTGTTTTGGTCACATGTTCAAAAGCGCTTCAGGCTTGGTTTGGTCCATTCTGGCGACTGTCTGACTCTCTTTAACTTCCACTCAGCTCTAATTCATCTTATCTGGTGTTGCAGTTAGTTTGTTTGACCTCTTGTGTCAGGAAAATGCTGCTCACTGTTTCAAACTAAATGACATTATCCTGGTTTTGTCCGCAAGGGATGAAAAAACAATTAACCGTGGATGAGTCAATACTCAGTGGTATATATGCGGTGCTACCGGAGCTTTTAAAAAGCTTTGAAGACATTTGCTGAATGATGGTAATGAATTCAATGACTAGTTTGCAAAGACAAAGACAGTTTGAAAACAAAGCTTCTGTTTTCAGTTTTATCGTTATGTAGAATAGATCAGAAAGTACGTGACGGACATAAATCCTTGTCTGTGAGCATTATCTATGAAATATGACAGTCACAACTGAGAAGATTAAATCATATTTCTCTGCTGTTTTCAGTTCTTTCGATCAGTGCGTAATATGAAGCAGACAGCATGCTCAGACTTTCCTCTGTTTCAGCTGATAAGTTTTATTATTTTACTGTTGAATGCAAGAGCAAAACCTTGAACTCTGCCGTCACATGTTTTGAGTTACGATCTTCGCTTTTTGCTTCAGTTAATGTAATATGTTTTTGATGACTTCCCCTCCTCCTCCTTCTTCTTCTTCTTCTTCAGAGAAACGCTTCACTGCGCAGGAAGTTGTGTGTTAGGTTGACAAACGATCTTTTGTAAAGTTGGATTAAACAGAGAAACATGACTCCAGAAGACTTACTTTCACTTCAAGAAAACTCAAACTCTACATTTATATCTGACGCTTTGACTTTCTTCCGTTTATGTGTAGTGACTTGCAGATAAGTGCAGATCTGACTCCTCTGCCTGAGCAGCCCTTGGTCAGCAGAATGATTAATGCCACACAACACAGACAACATGTGATCTCTGGACTCCACTTAGCTTATGTGGCTGCTTAACTCCTCGCTTTTTTTCTGCTGCGTATAGACACTCAGTTCCTCTGCAGCTCATCTGCTCATGAGCCAAACCTTGAACTTGTTTCGTCATCGTCTGACTCCACTGTCTTGCTGAAAATTACTGAATAAGCACAAACGTGGGACACAAGGTTATTTTTCGTGCTTTTCAGAAAATGTCCCAGTAGTCTGAGTTAACTGACTCTAGAGGGAGTTGCATTGAGGCTCATCACTGCTGTAGGACAATATGCTCATGAATAATTATCTGCTTAGGCATGTTGACTCTTTTAATTTGATTTTGGGAGTCAGAAATTTTGAAATGCCAGTCTGATTTGATTTTTCAGTTGGTAATCCAATTCAGAAACTCAAAGCAACTTCAGGTGTCCTGAGCTCGAAATCCAAGATGACTCCCCCCTGCATAAATAGTAGAGTAGATGCACTTTTAATAGTGTTTACAAGCTACTTAGCAGTCCTGTGTTGTGTAATGAAATCCTCCATATTAATAGTATCGTACATGTTGTTATGGTGCTTTCACATTCAGATTTTTTTTAGCCTCCCTGCAAATAGCTGCAGTGTGTCCATCTGTCAGTCAAGTCAGCCATGCCTCTGATTCACCTAAACCCTAATATCTCCAAAATAAAAAAAATATTAAATAAAAATTCCTCCTCGTACAGTGAGTGCCTGAGTTATTCAGACAAAAAATCAGTCTGTGAATTTTTGCTCTAAAAATGGGCATTTTTGAATTAGTGTGTATGGGGTTTCAGGCACTTCTGCAGCCGACCTCTAGTGGTCAGTTCAGGAACTGCAGTTTTTAGCACTTCTGGCTTTTGTATTGGCTTCATTTCTCAATATCAGACGTAGCTACTTGATTCCCTCTCTAAATAAAGGAGGCAGTGTTGCAACTTTCTGAAAAATACTACACAGGTGTGTTAACATTTAAGAGTAATGCTGCATTCCAGTTGTACTCGGAAGTCGGGATTTCCGAGCTCCAGGTCAGAAATTCATCTGGAACTCCCCCTTGAAGTCAAATTTACAACTCGAAAAGTCAGACGATCCTCGCCAACCCTGACTTGACAACAATGTCATAATCCAAGATGGCAGCGCAGTGCATCAACAGTAAAGAGTAACAGTGAAAGCTCTCTTAATGTTTTATTTATTAGCACTTCTGTTTTGTTTTTGTGAAATTAAATAAGTGGTATATGTTGTACTGCCCAACATCTAACCGTGAACAGAATGCTTTGGTGTTTGTAAGAGTAAAATATTGTGTTATGTGTTGTTTACAACAACTAACAACAGCTGACAACGGCTAACGACAACTGACAATTGTTAACAGCTAACAATGGCTAACAGTAGGCGTCCATCTTGGTTTCCAACTTGTTTACTGGAATGCCGTCAAGTTGGGTGAAACATCATTCCCAGCTTCGACTTCTGAGGTAACTGGAACGCAGTGTAAATGTACGTTATTCCAGGCCTCTATGATGTAACAGCTGAGCGGGAACTGAATATGAATTGGACACTTTTTTTAATGTTCATACCAACGAAACACACGTGTTGGAGTGTGATGGTTATCCTGCTTAAAACAAACATGTCTGGTTTCATTCATAAAAGAGGAATAAATCAGACCATTCGCTTATAAACCTGGAGAGCTATTAGCTATTAGGCGTTCAAAGTTCAACACATCTTGACTCTCTAAAACGGAATTTTCGAATTAGCACTTCATTTAAAGGTCTTACTCCGAGACCAAACACTTTCTAAATTCCAGAGAGAGAATATTTATAAATACTCTCAGTTTCTAAAATCAGGAACCATCATAACCTCATTACAGCAATCCAATTTCTAGTATTGCAGTCACGACGAGCAGGCTGGCACTTCATCAATACATAATTATATTGAAGCATGTCCTCAACAATACATGGCAAATCACCCATGTGATCCAATTAAAAAAGAACAAGTCAAGGCCAGCATTCCCTGCCCTCGCTGAGGTCTGGGGGAAAATAACTGCTGCTGGTTTGAAAATGATCTCTGCCCAAACACATAATCACATTTCCAATTTGATGTTGCTCAGTTGTCCGCGCTCTGCAGAGGCGTTACTATGACAGAAGATGTGTTCATGCAAACCGACTTCAGATAGAGTGCTCACTGTTTCTAAAGCACTCTCAGTCTAAAGAGGAAATCTATTGTCTACAATATGAATGTATTATCAAGTGCTGAGACTTATCATTGTAATAGCTGTTTCAAATTATACCTTGAACTGAATGAACTCATAGTAGATTGGCACCAGGCCAGCTCTGATTTAATCTCAGCCCCTCGTTACCCAAAGCTCATGTCCCCTGCTGTCCAGCTCTGCTCGGCTGTACACGACTTCACTCCAGAGTTTGATTCTGACATCCTGAACTGGACCAAACTCCCAAATCATCACCTCCCATCATCAGTCAGTCTTTCCAACTTTGGCTTCCTTTTATTTCGAGTCAAGGGTGCACACAGAAAGGATTACTTCTGATGAATTGCGATGAGCACCCCTGTTTCATTTGCATCTTATCTTGAGAAATCATAAATGCTGTTTTTTTTTAACCTTTGGAAAGCAGCAGGCTAATGATTATGCCCTTCAAGTGTTAGCAGACGAGGCACTTTGAGAGAAAGGGAGGGGCGGCACATGTGCAGCATATGGTTGGAAAAAAGAGACAATTTTTAGAATCGCTCTTGACTTAAAGAGTTTCTTTTTTTATGAGTGTCAGCATTCGAGCTAGGAAGAGAAAGAGAAACAATGTGTGTCAGGAGGTTGATAAACCAATGTCACATGATTGGGTTCGGATTCAGTCCAAGGGAACGGATCATTTCTGATTTCTTTCACATGGACTTCAATGAGACTTAGACTATTTCTTAGCCACACTCTTATTCTGATTTTTTAGAGTGAAACTGGATCGAAGTATAACAATTTCTTCAGTATTTATGTAAGAACAAAAGTCTAGAGCTGTGCAAGCGACTCTGTTAGTTTAAGGTTCATCTCCACCTTGAGTCATGCCACCATGCTAATATTAATATTAAGATTAACATGTTCATATACATCCTATATGTTGATTTAAGTGTATTGTACACCCTCAGGTGGAGGTGTGTGTGTCTGTGTGTGTCTGAAAGCCAAGGGACAGAATGCACATGAAAAGAGATATCGTTCCCAATTAAGATTAAAATACAAGCTCAACACTCGAAAAACTGAATGATTTATTAGATCTGCAGAAAAAGAGCTCAAATCGTTCAATTTTCTATTTTCCTACATGTGAAATCTGGCATTTTTAATTTCATGAGTATTATCCCCAAAATGAAGCTGGAGCTCTAAAAGTACAGTGAAGTATTGTGCACAGTGTCTTTTGGTAGCAGTGCGTATGACTTTTCAAATACTTGTATCATCTAGTTAAACAGTTTTTAAGTTGTCAAAGTTTAAACTTGTGTAAATGTGTGTAATAATGTGGATGTCAAATCATGGGGTTGTTGTTTTTTTTATAATATCTCCATTATCTAACAGCCCTAAAATGTACATTAAAAAATTGCAATTTTACCTACAACTAGGCTCATGGGAATGTCATCATATTTGCAGGTGTTTGTTTGGTAACCATTGTTAAGGTTAAGCTTTCAGCAGGTCAACATCACTAGATGAAAGTCAGGAGATAAACAGAGTTAGTCCTGCAGATCCTGAACGGGACAGATTGCCTTCTATCCAGTAGCTGTTGAACAAGCCAGACTAGGTATAAAGTAAACTGTAAACCAGCCTAAGTTTTGACAGGGGAAAAAGTCCAACACAATAACACATGAAGAAAAAAATCCAAAAGACTCCAGTCAGAAGCTAAGCCCCCCCCTCTCCACTATAAATACCCCGTCACTGTCAATGTGCTGTCCCAGGAGCTGCAGCTTTATAAGGCAGCCTCATACTGCTCCTCAAGTGATCAGGCAACGGTGAGAGATAACAAGACTCCCAACAAGCTTATCTCTCCACTCAACAAGATTGAGTCATACGTGTTATCTCTCTCAGCGCCCAAAGGCTTTGGGGATCGGAAGCGGCGCTGCGTTCACGTGTCCTGTTCAGCTCACTTCAGCCGCCAGTGAATGACGGTACACCTGAGGGCAGTAAATCTGTGCTAATGGTTTTATTTACATAAAACTCTTCAGGCGAACGCTCATGATGATCCAGAACGGATAAATAAATCAGATTATTCTGTGGTTTAGGAAACTGATCACGCAGAAGGCAAAATAATCAAAGATGTAAGAGACACTAACTTGTCCACAGGGGGCGCCAAATCTGATGCAAGCAGAGTTTTTCATTCAGGTGTGAAAGAACTACCTCTATAAACTTAAATGCAAACAAAAAAGTTTTTGATGGTCTGACAGTTTGATTAAACTATTTTTTTTACATCTGATTTTGGAGCAGAAACAGCGAAGACTGTACCGAGGCGAAGTTTCAGCAAAATTAAAAATGTTTACAACCTGGTTTAAATACAGTTTAGCCTTATTAGCTCGTTTCTTTATACGTACAAATAGTGCTGGGAATAAACGATTTAAAGAATTATATATTTTATAGATATTAAGTCTGATAATTCTGCATTGATTTGCATAATAAGGGGCCAGCACAATGTAGCTAGCTGCTCGCCAACACTACATCCTGTTTAGCTTTGCCTCTTTGTCTGTTTCCAGGCTGACTGTAAACTAAGGCTGTGTCCGAAATGGATTCCTAACCCCTATATAGGCGACTATATGGGGGTTAGCGCCATTTAAGGGGTGTCCAAAACCTGAGTGATCAATTCCAATGCCCCATATAGGCAACTCAAAATTTCCCATAGAGCATTGCAAAATGTAGTGACCATCCGATGGTCACTCACCGGTGGTGGGCATCCCGTCATGCATTGCGTCTTGCCACGTAGTGTCGGAAACCTCCTGTGATTGAGCTCACTACATAGTCAGCTATATAGTGAAACTCCATATGGGGGTTAGGGGTCAGGGATTGAGTGATTCATTTTGGACACAGCCTACGTTAAGTTAGCATTCCCAATATGGCGACCACTATCGATGGGTTTCTAACCTCTGTTTCAGAAACAAATGGGACTGCATCCATGTTTTATACAATCTAAGTTGTCCAATCTTATACCGTTGGATAGAATAATGGCTGTTATTTTAGGAATGTTTTTTTAAGAAGTGAAAAAATATCATTTAGATTTGACCAAATTACTGAAAATTGAAAATAAAATATCTTGTATTTAAAAGCAGCTTGAGGAGCTACAGTTTCTATCCCGTCTGCAGCCGACAGAAAATTACCTCAGCCCAACCTTTGCATGTCTTATCACCAAATGACGATAATGCCAGAGATTTGCAGACTATTTCTGTTAACCTTTAGCCTTTGCCTCTCACACATGGTCGAGCTGTATCCTTCAATTTGCTCAGCGCAGCACAGTGAGTCATGGCATCAAAGAGCATCAGGTGAAACAATGTGTTCTTTTCTGGTACAATGCCGGCGCTCTTCATCATGAACTGAACCGACGCTAATATTGATTTACATTCTCGGGATGAGCAGTCAGAGATAGTCTATCACAAGAGACAGTAAAACAACAGAGGAACTTTTTATTCTTGTGACAGAATGACTGATAATTATGAGCAGTAAAGAGTCCTCCATGCAGAAAGAAGATTTTATCGGATTACGTAATCACTCATGAAGTGCAGAGGAAAGCATCTGAATTTATACCTTATCTTGTGCAAAGGCGGGGAAGGTCACCATCTAATCTTTACTGCAGGTCACCACAAGTAGCTTTTTCGCCTAAATACCTTGAAAGCATCTCCCTACTGTAGCTCTTTGACTCGATGCCTCATGTAATGCACAGTTTTTGTGCATAAACTACAGTCTAGTCAGAGTCAGATCTGGAAATCCCCTGCTGTTCGCCTGTAATTACATCCTTTCTGTGTTCCAGTTGCCCAGCTTGGAAAAACCAAGCAAAGAAACAGTCGCCCACAAAATTTAAATACTTTCTCCTGCGACAGCTGGTAACACGTGATTTACAGTATGACAGTGTTTACTATCTTATCTGTAACTGCTACTTTGCACAGTTATTTGCACTCACAGACATGGCATTAGGACTTTAACACAGAGTAGCATTTCCACTGTGGGCTGTCAGCTCGAATGCTGTCAAGTGGAAGTATCCAGTAAAGTTCTTGTTTGGAAATAAAGATGCCAATTCAACATTTTTTTCAAATTAGCTTTTTACTCTGACGGACAGGAACCTGTATGAAGTGGGCTGGGCTAATGCGACCTCACTTACCCTTATGCATTAGTCGTCACTGACATTGTTTGATCGCTCCGAATCAAATCTAATCATTGACAAAGTCAATTATCCAATAAAACATGAATATTCGTTTTATTCAATTATTAGTAATTGAGCTTTTTAGACACTTTCTTCGATGTAATGAGTACAAAAATCTTTCCTAGTTGACTGACAGAGGCTCATGACTCTGCAAAGCAAGATTTAGCTATTAACTTTGCTGTACAACACACAACTACACTTGCTTTTTACGCTCTTATTGCATCACTTTCTGCCACAGTGCCCAAATGTTTCCTGTAAAAAGCTCTGAAAACTAACAATACTGTTGTCTTACCAAACAGGAAACAGAAAATGAACAACTAGCTGGTGAACGTGACATTTAGCAGCCACATAGGCCAGCTTTACCCCTCTGCAGAGTTTAAAAAAAAACAACCTTGTATTGTATTATCTTTATTAATTAGGCTTAGCGAAAAATCGCCAAAAGGGACTTTGGGATCTCTGTCCAGCTATCTTAAATTAGTGAGAAAAAAAATTCAGGGTTGTAATTCAGTAAAAAAGGCATGTTTACTTGTAAAATGCTAAGAAAATAATGGCAATATAAGCTTTGAGTGGGCTGATACTGATATGATATCAATTATGTCTATGCCAGTGTAGCTTTAGTTGTCTTTCTGTCAGCTACTTTGTCCGAAAAATCATCCAGGTTTTACTTTGAGCTTTAGTTTCTGAATTTGTGTGTTTTTGCTGAATTAAAGCTCCTGTGATGGACTTTTGAGTTTGTGTTGACTCTGCCGCCCCCGGTGGACAAAGCTGCACCTCTCATTTATTTGTCGATCGTGTCCTTAAGATGCGTTCTTTAACATAACAATACCAACCTGCTACATCTTGGTTTACATAACGTCACGTATTAGAAAATCCAGCTGTTTTTAAAGTAACTTGTCTGACACCTACCCTCTGCCAACAGTTTGACATTACGAAAAAATAATCAGTCCTGTTGGTAATGGTCTTTTTTATACTTTTGTCTGTCATCAATATTAATTTCAGTCTTTTTTGGAGGCAGCTGAAAACTCCTTATAGGAGCTTTAAAGCACAATTTGAAGATATATGAAGCACCTTTTTATGAGGGAAGCCTTAAAGACAAACACAGCGACAGCAAAAACTCCCAATCATCCATTCATGAACACCTAACAGAGGAACGTGCTGGATTGTACCAATGACAGGACTCAGACTTTGCCCAGCCTTATCTCTGCAGTCCTGTACACTCACCTTCATCATTCAACCTCATAAACCTGTTAAAGCTACTGGACCGTACGGCCGACCATGTGGCACTATAAAAAGCAATAGTCCATCCAATGTCTGAAACACTAAACATCAAATAAGACTTAACCACAGCCATATGGACTGCAATTACAAAAGTTAGTATGCAGTAAAGAGCCTCTGAGTCGAGTGGGCCCATGAAAGAGAGTATTAAAACAGAAAGCTTCTCCTTCATTGATTCATGCACATTTCTATTTTGAGGAGAATCTAAACGGAAACACATGTGGTGAGGACTTCCCATTTCCGAAGTGTCTGCCTGTGCCCAGCGCTCTTTTGATCAGGTGTGTTTGTGTGTGTGCGTGTGTGTCAAGGAAAACTAGCAGTGCTGGCTCAGCACTTATGAGAGGAGATGTGTTAAGAGAAAAACGCTGATATAGACCTCATAGATAGACACGTCACCTTGACAGAACACAATCAGCATGTTGAGAGGTCCAGAGATCAAATGTCAGCGAGACATTTGGATAGCTGAGATTTTTGGTGAGTTATTTTAACACCAGTGAGTGCCAAAAGAGAAGTGCTGTAAGAGGTGTTTTCACTTTTTAAACAGCTGCTGCACAAACCAGACGAGTGAGGGTTTCTCAAGAAGGTCCTGCAGCCCTTTTTGTGACCCTTAACCCTAGAACACTATCGCCGGGTAACTTTTACCCACCAAACATGTTTACATGCTTTTCATTATGTTACGTTTGTCTGAGTATCATGGGTCCCTGGGTAGCTTCAGCATTTCCTTTGACATCTTTGAAGGCATATTTGTTTCCCGGATCCAACACCTGGTTTTTCCTTGGTAGGTCTAGGTAGGTTTAGGTAGGTTCGGGTGGATTTGATAGCTGCATGTAGGCGAGTTAGGTCAGTAAGGGTGGTCCTGGAATTCCCATGCTATCTTTATTTAGCCCAGTTGTTATGAATAACTATCACAAAGTAGTGATTTTCAAGGGAATTCATAAGGTGATAGGAAATATTTGAGTCAGCTGGTCATTTTCACTCACTCAAAATCTGCCATATTTTGGTATATTTTGAGTATAACCTGCAGCTGTTATTGTGCTAAGGACTCTGAGTCTTCACCAGGGAAGACTCACATGCCCCAGGAATGGGTGGAAAAGAAACTAAGTTTACAGTTTATATATATATATACGATTTTTTTGTTCATGAATGTCTAATTTCAGTTATTTTGCTGCATTTTTTTCACTTTTTTTCCCCTGCCTTTGAAAATTTCACAGTTAAAAATAAAAGAAAACTACTTTAATTTGTCATGTATTGTCCTATTTTGATGAAAACTACTCTATCTTGGATATATAATTTCAGGTAAAAATCCCTCGGCGATAGTCTCCTCGGGTTAACCACATTTTTTACTCAAAGAGCAACAAAAGAAATGCCTCTTCTCCTGTCTGCATACATTACATGTGAGTTACCTCCACTCTAGTGTATTATACTCCCCTCTTTTGTGAATGAACACTTGTATGTACTCACCATTTCAGCAGGACAGCAGTAGCAGCAGGTCAAACACAGAGTGTGTGTGTTGGGAATCCCGGGGAGTCACACAGAGAGACACATGAAAAAAACAAAACGAAACAAAACATCACAAACTGAGTCAATTCACGGAAATCAACCTTTTCCAGGTGTAAACAACCTCTAATCGAGTCTGAGTCATGCAAAATGCTGTAAATTCACTGTGAAGCGGCTGAACTGAAGAAGTTATGCGGGGTTGAACGACGCAAACACACACACAAACACACACACACACGTACAGAAAGTTTACCTGACTCCTGTGAGCACGAGCTGACACCACTGTGGGTAACAGGAATCCCGACACGGAGCTCGTCCGGGTAGAAAGGACCGGGACACCTGTAAGCGCCTGCTTTGGCAAACCTTCCCAGAGACGGACCGAGTTAACCCCGCCCCTCCTGTGTCAAAAAACGGCCCCCATAGTACTCCCAAACGGGCACGCCCCGCCATGACGCCTGAACCAGAATAGCCTCAGCGCCCCCTGGTGGTCGCTCGGAGAAATGAGGGTTTGTTTGATAATCATCTTTGTGTCATATCACCACTAGATGGCCGTGTTAGGCCGAGTCTTCATGATAAGTCTGCAGAGATGACTCTTGGCTGAACCTGAAGGTAATGCTGACAATATACTCTTTATTCTTTGCATTTACTGAAATGAGGGGACACACTCAGCAGTGGGTGAAGCACTAAAATGCTCTGTATAAGCAGAAAGCAGCAATATCCGAGTAAAACGGGACAGCATGGCCTCAAAAACTCCTGTTTTTATGTTACATAAGTGAATGCAGAGAAGAAGAATCAGGAAATAATACATAAAACTCGATTAAAAGTACTCATTACGCACGGGTATAGCTATTTTTTGCCACATGTAGGTCATTTTTGTACTGATGTATGCAGCATTTTCATCCTTTTGCCCATTTTCTTGGACATATTCTGTTTTAGATAGTTCTGTTATTACTCCAGGGTCTGTTTGAACCACAAGGATAAAGTTATATGATAAAAAGTACAATAATACTAAAGAAAACCACTTGGGAAAAGCACAAAAGATATAAAACCAAACCAAACTGTATCATAGCATACTTAAAGAAATGCACTTTGCACTTATTCAAGCCATGTTTAAGTATTAATGTAATGATCCAAATGTTGTGTTATGTGTACAAGAAGCACATGGTGTAGAAATTAAATTTAAGGGGAAAAAAACTTAAAGAAGAATCACGAAATAATACGTAAAACTTGAGTTAAAGTACTCATTATGCAGGAGTGTGGCTATTCTACTGCATACAGTTCATTTTTGTGCTGATGTATGCAGCATTTTCAACCCTTTGCCTGTTCAGATAGGTCTATTATTATTACTCCATGTGCTCAGTCTATTTGTAGTTGCTGTTTTAACCACAAAGATAAAGTTATATGCTAATAAGTACAATAATACTAAAGAAAACCACTCTGGAAAAGCACAAAAGATATAAAACCAAACCTAACAGTATACTAGCATACTTAAAGAAATGCACTTTGTACTTATTTAAGCCTCGTTAAAGTATTAATGTAATGATCCAAATGTTGTGTTATGTGTACAAGAAGCACATTAAGTAGAAATTAAATTTAAGGGGGAAAAACTCGAATTATGGCCAGAAAATTCTAATGTTTTGGAGCTGAAATGTTTATTTCACTTACTACTGAAAACCCCAAAAATCTAAATGTCCTTAAAATTTAACAAATATACTTATCTCATTTGATACATTAGATGCTTTTGGAAACTAATAAACTAAAAGAGGACATTTTTATCATTTATCAGATTGTATTCAGGTATATTTTTAGTAATTTGTTGATCATATTGATTTGATAGAAGTATATAAATTATGTATCAAATGTGATACAAAAGGCATTAAAGGGTTAAACATCTTCTGAATCACAAGCTGCTGTTTTCCTGTCAAGAACCAACTTAATCAAACCTCTCTAAGATGAGTGACAAATATAAAAGGTTTCCTCACAGTTTTAGTCATATCATCACAAAGAGTAATGTTTTAGATGGAAGTTATAAATGTATGTCTTGGCACCTGAACTTAACTATTGTTAATTGTACAATTGTAAAGGTCAATTATGAATTACCAGTCTTGGTTTGCTTACACATGTAGTGTTGCATTAATACGGCTGTTATCCTTCCCAGGAACAAGAGGTGCTGCCTAATGTAAGAAAACAAAACCCTATAACACCCACAGGTTTGCCACACACCATATTACTCATCATCCACAGTTTTCCACCTATATGGAGCAAACGAGAAATTCTGCATTTACTCGAACCATTAGACACAAACATCTATTAAAAACCCAGCAGAAGGTGTTACAGGCAAGTTTATTCAACCATAAATGCTTCATATAAACAAGTGTGCACAGAGGGAAGACCTTGTCCTCAAGGTCCCGTTCCTAAAACCAAACGTCTACCTGAGATTCGATTCAGTTCACCTTTTTTTTTTTTTTTTTTTTTTTAACGTGGTATTCACATAACAATGAAGAGAAACAAAACTAGACTATTTAAATTTTTCTGTGGCATGTGTCGATGCTACAGTACAACAAGTCAGACAGCAGGTCTCTGTGACAGTTTTGGCAATTCTACAAGCTACAATGTTTGCCTTACTCTCATACAAAAAAGTAAAGTCTCATCTGTCCAGGTTTTCTTTTTTTTTTTTTATACAAATCTCTTCTAAGTCTTCGTACAAGTCTTTAATATTGCTCTTGCTACATTGAAAAAATAGAAAAATTACATCTGAAGATTGAGCTGTGGTTGTGGTATTTATAAAGAGCTTGGCTCTCCAGTGTTCATGGCTATGTTTCAATAGTCCTTAGCTGCTTACTCTCTGGTTCCTCTCCTCTGAAATGGCCGGTTTCCCATCAGCAGTCAGAGGAGAAGGTAGGAACAGAAGAATAAGACATGAAGAGTTTTTAGTCAGCAAAAACCCGAGTCTAAGATTCTGCAGAGGTGCTCGGTGTCACCACATCGCCCTCTCCCTGAGCTACTTCCTCTCCTCCAGCTGCGACTGCTGCATCTGCTGCTACTTCCTGTTCTGTGGCGACTAAAGAAGTGTCCGTGTCCGGGGCTTCGAAGGACTCGCCCCCAAGGTCAGCCAGTTTGATGTAGCCCTTACTGTTGGAGCGCTCCAGACGAGGACAGCTGAAGCGCCTGCCTTTGTCGCCTTGACGACACACAGTCACAGACAGGCTGCAGCGCCGTGCAGACCTGGGCTGATCCGTGAGGGAGTTGAGCGACAGCCGTGACCCCATCGCCCTGGCAACAGGTGATGGAGGAAACAGCTGGGTCCACTGTGGTTGAGGCTGAGCCAGCGGCTCCCCCTGCTGGTCAGCTGTGTCTGTGGTTTTTTCCTCATGGCTCTGATGAGGTGGGGAGGAATCAGCCATCGAGGCGTCTTTCTCTTTTGCATCCGTCTCGTCTTTCTGGCTGCTGCTGGCGTGCCCTTCATCAGTAATTGTTTCAGCAGCGGCGGCGGCAGCAGCAGTCTCAATAACGACCTCTTCCTCAGAGTGTCCCTCTGCCTCGGCTCTCTCAGGCTCCCCCACCTCACAGTTGTTCAGTTTGATCACAGGGAGGGTAAAAGCATTCACAGAGGAGGTGACGATGGAGGTGGTCTCCCACTGTCGGGGCCGAGGGGCCTGCTCGCTGCTATTGCTGTAGTCTTTGTAGATGCTGTAGACAGTGTCAGTGAAGGTCTGGACGTCCCTGGACCAGCTTCTAGGCCTGCTGGCCAGCGAAGGGCGCCTGAACACCTCTTCGCCTCCTATCTCACCATGGAAACCAAGTCCAGTAGAGGGCCAGGAACTACGAGTAAGCATCCCACTTGCAGGGAAAGACCCAGACGGACCCTCAGCGTTCCTCGCCTGGGTGTAGTTCACCAATCCGTTTAGAGGCGAGTACTCCTTGGACCGTATGTTGTGCAGATCTATAACTGTGGAGTAGATATCCCTCAGGTTGATGATTTTGGTTTTCTTGTCTCGGTTCTCATGGAGGACTGCATTGGCACAGATAAAAAGAAAAATACCGATTCCCATCACCAGCGGACCAAAGACTTTCAGATTGTCCGAGTACAGGTAGTTATCCAGGAAATCACACAGGAAGCCACAGTTGCGGGAGGGGGCGCTGCTGTTGGAACGGCTCTGGTTGAAAACATCTGCTTGGCTGAGGGAAGGAGACTTAGTAGTGGTTGAGTTGGAGGAAACCGGTTGACTCCTGGAGAAGCTCATCTTGTTGACGTGGTACGCTCCGGTCCTGCGACGCTCCTGATACTGCTGCTGGCTCTGGCTGGGCCAGTAACCAAGCACAGCCATGGAAATCCCCACCATGAGAACCACAACCCCAACTGCAGCCACCACACCAGCCGGGGAGCACAGATTGAGCTTCCCCTTCACCACCACCACGTCGTTCTTCTTCTTTTTCTTGGATTTCCGTTTCCTTTTGTTTTCCGCCCGGTTCTTTGAGCGGAGGGAGTCCTGGCGCCTGTTCATGCGCAGCAGACCACCTGTGGCTATCATGGTGGCGATGGGACGGCAGGCCTGTTACTCAACCTGGCAGGACAGAAAACAGACAGTAAAGATTACTGAATGAATCAGGACCATCAAAATAAAGGAATGTTACAATGTGATATGACAATAGTTGGGTATTTTGTTAGGGTCACCATACGTCCTCTTTTACCCGGACATGTCCTTTTTTGGGGGGGCTGTCCGGCCTTGTCTAGGGGAGTTTATAAAATCCTTCAAATGTCCGGGGTTTTGTATGGAAGGGTTTGAGTTTGTGTTGTGTGAACTTACTGAGTTAGAAGCGCATAAAAACACTCAACCCGACCCGAAAAACTCTCAAAATTTACTACTTTACGCGACTCTGTGACTCCTCCCCTGCATAGACATGTCCTCTTTTTGGGGATTCAGAGTATGGTCAGTATGGTTCAGAAAACCAGAGACGGACAGAGACGAACATTTGGCACACTGATAACGTCTTATTTGTTTCACAGCTTTGTTTTCATCATAAGCGCTCACTCGTACCTTATCAAAGCCATCATAGACCTGTCTTTTTCACAAGCTTTTATACTTTCCGAAAGTTAAGAATTAAAGTATTAAAAACTTTATGATGAATACAATAAATGGTGAGCAAAACACCTCCAATTTACGGTTTCATTTCTTGTTGGTTCACACTTTCAGACAGCCTCAAAGTTCATTACACAAAAAGATTACACAAGTAATCCAGATTTGTAAAACAAACAAGGCAAGATTATCTGCAAATCTGCCGGCAGCTAACCCCACAAAGGCCTTTAGCTCTCTCTTTGACACTTACTTTGTTGTATTATGGATGATCTTGCACCCGTTTGTCAGGTTGCACCACTATGATGTAATATAAACTGTCAGAGCAGGAGCCTGCAAGTTAAAAAATACTCAGAGAAGTTTTGATTTAATTATAAGATTGAAAAAAACTCAGTATCTCATTCAGGAGAACCCACAGAAAACAGGATACAGTTGCGTTTGTGCCTTGGCCTTGTTTCTGACGGCTAACAACTAAGCTACGCATCAGCAGGACAAACATGGTCGAGCAACAAGAGAGCCATATTTCAGGAGCGGCAAAGAAAGACTCTAATATTATTGGATGTGAAGATAGGAGAAAGGGTCCAAATGTTCGAGTCTGATCATGAACAGGCTGCAGAACCTGTGTACCTCTGCAGTGACAATCTAAAAAATGTTTAATGTTTGCTGTTGTTCTCTTCTCGTGTTACTAGAAATGAGGTGGATGCGCCATATTTGCCGCATAACGTGGTTAGCCTGCAGTGGTCTCGTTTTAATCGGATATCAAATTGCTATGGTTTGTGTTGCATAAAATAAACATCACAGACACCTGAGCAAATAAGCAGAACACAAGTATTTATGTACACAGGGATATGAATATCCAGATTTCCTTGTATGCATGTAAACACCTCATACTGACTATGATCCAAACCGAGGAACAGCTCAGAACTGGGATACTCAAGTCCATGTAAACACGCTCAGGGACGGTCATGTACTCACTGTAAGCGTTCATATGCAGCACGCACCGTTTTGGTTATAAAACTGGACCATTTCCCTTGTTAATCTTCGCAGCACATTGGTTTGAAGTGGGTGGGACTCATTTGGAAAAGCACCAAGATTTTCTTATTCCTTTTTAGTCTGTCAGCTTTGAAGCCTACTGGTTTAACAAAGGGTGCCTGAACCTCTCACCGCCCCTCCCTTTACTCGCTATGGAAACCAAGTCCAGTGGTGGTGGGCCAGGAGCTGTGAGTAAGCATCCCACTTGCAAGGAAAGATCAAGACAAGCCTTCAGCTATCCTTGCCTGGGTGTAGTTCAGCGAAAGTTCAGAGGTGGGAACGCGTCAGACGACTTGGGAGATTTGATTCTTTAAAGTCGGTGTTATTGAGCCTCTCTCAAGCTTTCTTCCTGATAGCTTTGATAGAAGCTTAATATGACTCAGCGTAGGGCTGGGTGATATGGCCTCGAATCAATATCACAATTTGTTGAGCAGTTCACCTCAGTAATGATAAATGGACGATAACTACTCCACAAGGGGCTCACCCCCTTCCGGATTAAAGTCATCTACTTCAGCCGCCACTACAACTTTTGAACCGTCCTCCATCTCCTCACCTGTCTTTCCCTCTTTGTTACAGACTGGATGGGGTGGAGTCACGTCTCTGACATAAGACAGCGTCTTAAAGGGACATGAGACCATAGCCTACCTACACACATCCAAAACCAACTTTTATTTATTCATTTATTTGACACCGAATATATTGACATGGGCAAGATGATGTTGGTTATTGTCGTAAATTTTGGTATCGGTAGATTTTCGGTTTATCATCCGAATTCAGAGCTCAAAAATTCCCAATATCACAGAATGATGTCTTTAAAAAAACAGCATTTTAGCTTATTTGTAGAAGCTTTGAAGCACTCTTGAACCCTCCTCCACTGTTGCCTTCCTTTAAAATTGGTGTCTCTGAGCTGAAAGAGCATTTTTTTTTAAGTCCAGATGTTTTTGACTTCAAATCTTCAAATAATTTCCCAGCAATACATTACGTAAAATTGATTAATTAACATTTTGGAAAGAATCACCAGTTTGTAATGTTCTGCCTTTAGTCCTATCTAGTCCGGATCCTGCTCAATTCTCATGTGCATTTCCGAGCAAGCTGTTCAGAGCAGCCTGCAGAATCATCCTGGGATTACTCCAACACACATTTACATCACAGTTTGAAACTCTGTCGATGTTTAGTATTGACTTCCCAAACATTTGTTCTTAAAATATGACAAACGGCATAAAACTACCGCTTTAATCTCTGGGCTCTTCTCGCTGGAGTGGGTGGGACTCACTTGGAAAAACATCATGTCATAAATTTATGAGCATTAATCAGGATTAGCAACATTTGAACCAAAATCTGATGACGGTGGGTGGGTAAGTGCCAATCAGATTTGACGCCCACACAGTCCTGGTGACTAAGTTTTAATACCGAGAGGTTTTCTTATTTATTCATTAGTGGTCAATATTTAATACTGAGGATTTCAACCTGCAGGTTTCTGTATCGACATACGTCTTTTATGACAAATCGCAGGTTAATCTGGCTTTGTATCTGAGATCATCCTACAGGTAGAGTATTGGCTGCTGCTTTAACGCAAAAGGTAGATTCAGTATTAGTCATCAGATAGTCAGCAAACCAACAGATAACATCTTTCTGCTGCTGTTGGATCTATAAATACAATGATGTAAGCGAAACAGAGACAGATAGCCAAGCTGACAGCGGGGAACAGGGAGGAGTGATATTTATCTACACTCAGCTGTGCCGGTGTGATACCAGCATGAAAACGTAATGTGTCCAGACAGCAGGCCAGCAGGCATGTTCTCCCCACCTCGCTCTCGTGTCTTTACTCTCTTTCTCCTTCAACAACTCTCCTTCTGCTCCTGCTTTCCAACTAAATTTGTTTTACCACCAAGCAGTGCAGCGGTGCTTCAAAACGACAGCGTCTCCAACACGCCACAGAAGGCAAATATGAGCTAATAGTCACCATAGGACCGCATGATTATGGCCGCATGATTACGACCGTGTGATCATCCCGACTGGAGATCAAATTTACTGATCATGGTTTTCTTGGTGTATAATTTTCATTTTGAGAACACATAAATATCATCAAATCTCTCCTTTAAAAAGAGCTTTGACTTGATTTTGATGATAATGCAGTTGACTTATATAGTTGAGTGCTTCATGAACTTGCATAGATTTCAGTACGGCACAGGTACAGATGTGAACTAAAATACAATTTCTTGGCTTTCCTCCTTTAAATGGGAAAATTTTAGCTTTACTTTAAAATGATATGGACTTATAGGTAGCTCATAGAGTACATTTACATGCACGGTCAAGTTGAGGTATAATCACAGCTCAGTGAGGGGATTTAACTGGATTGCTGTTCTTGAGCTGGTTCACATGCACTTGGCAGAAATCTGATTATTGACTGAAATATGTCTGACCCTGCTTCGATAGGTGGTGACATGCCCCCTTTTGTCAGGTCACCTCACAGTTAACATACAACATATATTTGATCTTTTTTTCTTCATCCGCCAAGGTTTTAGTTTTACTACCTGGTTTTACATTTGTGTTATTGCATGCACATAAGACTTGGGCCAGTTTCAGTCCGATTGAGCCGTATACATGACAGAGAAACTATGATATGTTTGATTTAGTGCTTTTTCAGTCAGACTAAGACAACATATTGATTTATTTTAACAACATGTAAATATACTGACTGTTTCGCCTGGTAATCAATAGCTTCTTAAAGCTTCTTGTCAATACTGCAGCTTCACCCTCTCTGCTCACTCTGCCCCTCTGCTTTACTAACACACACACCACCTTCGCTATGATATCCTACGTCCGTCAAGTAGTGCTGTGTCGTTCGCGAATGATTCGTTCAAAAGAACCGAATCTTTTAAGTAAACGTACTGAACCGAATAACTTCCTCGAGTGATTCAGTTGAGCTGAAGTGAGAAACAGCATTGCCATTTGAGCAGCCGGCGAGTAAGGGACTGTATGCACCGACACCTGAATCACTTGGTGAACGAATCACGCATTGAACTGCACTCTCTGGAATCATTTTTGTTGGACAAAACTACCTGTTTTTTTTTTATTTTTTACTGCTAAATTGCCTCCACAACAACTTGCATACAATAGGACACAGCATGTAACAAGTAGTGCATTAAGCCTGCAGCATCCTGTCATTGCAGCGGTTTGCGATGGAACGGTGTATGTTTGGTTTGAGTTCCTCAAAACATTCAATGAACAAATCACTCACTGAGGCTAATTTACTGAGCAGACCTGATAAATAGCATACCATAGGACGGTACACTTAAAACATCATGACTTATTAACAAGTTCATTTTTACAAACCTGTCTGCCAAAGCAACACATCCAAACACTCTCGTCTCCCGGTCCTAGAAGCTATGATCTGAACTGAATCCTGAACCGTTTAGCTGAGTATCGGTTCAGGACGTCGGAGACCCAGGGTTCTCCTGCCAGGCGCTACATGATTCGGTGATTTGGTGAACGAATCTTTTGAACAAATCTTTTTAGTGAACTGATTCTAGTGATTCAGTACATCTAAAAGAACTGCTGCGCCCATCACTACCGTCAAGTTTCCTTGAATGTGCAAAGACTACAATCTTAATTACAATGAAAATATGATTAATTGTGCAGCCACATGAACTGTTGAATCACCTTTCTGATTTGTGCGGCACACTATAGCGGAAGGGGTTGTCTAAAAGGTTGTGAAACCAGCAACACTTAGGATGATTACAGACATCCGCTGATGTGTTTCAGTTACATGTGGGGGAGAATAAGTGCAGAAAGAGGCTGATTACTTAAACTCTAGCATTCCCTCTGTGATTGTGCTGCCAGCCAGGTATTTAATTTGACTAATCACGTCTAATTGTGTTTGACTTAGGGCTTAGGTTCATGAATAACTTATTACATAAATTCCTTCCAGAGCTGCAGTTAATGGGAGGCTTTCAATGGTTGCTCTGGGTTTTGCTCTCACAGTCAAAATAATGATGATGTAGGCCCTTTGAAAAAAAAAAAGATCCGTCTATGATCCAAGTTATTATAAGCAGTTCCCACGGAAAGTGGAACACGGAGCTCTGCACCTGAGCCTCAGCAAACACCACGCTGCTGTTGGTAACGACTTTGTCTGTTTATCACGTCCAATAAGCACTCAAATGCCTCCCGGGTGAAGCGCGAGTCAACCTGCACTAGAGCTGATAAAGCGTGGGCGGACCTCTTCTGTGTGTTTGGAGAGAGAAGGGCAGCGTGGACGTGGATCAGGAGTGGGTGCGGACAGGTCGGGGTTGGTTCTCTGTCTGCGGTGCTGAACAGGAAGCTGCCAACTGCTCGGGTTGTGTCTGCTGCTCTGGCAGGATTGAGATGGAGAGGATCGAGGCCGGCTTTTTTACGCTCACTTCCAACCGACCGACCTGCGGGGGCGCAGATTTTCGCGCAATGTTGCATGAGTAATCGACTGTTGACATTACGGCGCATCTGTTTCCCTTCTGTTGGAAAAGCCCGTGAAGCAAATATGAGCCGTTGTGGAGTTTGGAGGTGCCCTGAAAATGTCCAGAGCCACGGCGACGCATCTCGCTCCAACACAAAGAGAACACAGTGAATTTTTTGGGCTTAAAGGTGCAGCAGATGACAAACATGCACACCTCTACCACGGCCTGACGAAGCCCATGCTTTCATGACTAACACTACAACTCCACGCAGTGTGGAGATCACTGTAGATTTCTTTTTACGCATGTGACCGAGCAGTTTCTGCTTTTTTATTCGCAGTAAAACCGGCGATTTATGGCAACATCACAAACTTTAACATAGATTCTGCGATTTTCTCATTTCACAGCCGTTTCTACTGAATCAATCGTGCTTATTTAACCAAAAACCGCGTCTAAAATCCGTTTAAACCGAAATATCTTTTTGGGTTGCATTACAATAAATCTTCCAATCTCACGGATAAAAGTAAGCGGACTGGAGTGCGCATTGCTCCAAGTACACCGCCTTCCTGGCATCAAAACTCTTGTCCGTCGATTTATTCCGGATCAGAAATAGCTTCCCCGCAACTAAACCCATCAGTCACACAATAAAAATACTTCCCAAACCCCGCTTTACCTCGATACAGCCTTGGAGGAGTCAATATGGAATCGGATGCAACTGCCAAACACAAAAGACGCTCGGATATTCCGCTGGAGGCAAAGACGCAGGAGGGAAAAACGCTGATAGAAATGAGAAATAAAATCATAAAAACAGCGAGCCTCTTACCAGAAATTGTGGTTTGACGATCAAGCATCTTCAAAGGCGCACTCCTCGTTCAGCTGTGCATGTCGTGGTGCGCCACTTTGGTGCCAAGGCTGGAAGAGTGGTTTCCAGTTGAACGCAGATTCACAATAGACCGGCAGGGGCGGGCCGAGTGCGTTTCTATTGGTGCTGATTATTGGGCAACGTGAAAAACGAGGGCTGCTCAGGACATTTATCATCCTTTAGGTTGTACTCCAAACGTTTCCAGATGTGGTTTTTACTCGTTTATATGTCTGGACACAATAATCAGGAACATCCTCATTAGACTTGATTTTCTTGTAAACAGTTGCCAGTTGCATTTTTACAACACTCTGTGGTCTCTACACAATTATCTGGGAAAAAAAGCTTATGCCAGCAATAAGAGGAGGCATGCAGAGAGAGTTTATTATACACAGTCCTTTTATATACAACCGCACAACACAATGCATGAATTCATGATTGTGTTATTGGTTTTTAACTCGCATGTGAAGTCACTTAAAGACACCCATGCACATCAGATTCATCATTTCTGATATCTACTGCTGTCCTCGCCCTCTCTCTCTCTCTCTCTCTCTCTCTCTCTCTATCTCTCTGCATTTCTCCCTTGGGTTGGATTGCTATAATTGCCTGAATGCTGCGTCCTCGTGTTCAACAAAATGAAATATGACAGAGTCCAGATGTGTTTCACTGATGTGAGACTGGAGACAGAGGCAGCGGCTCTGTATTGGGCAGGGGAGGGGAGCATGAATAACAAAGCTTAGCGCTGATGCTCTGGAGAGCCTGCTGCAAATTTATGACCCAGAAATGCATGTTTTTTATGGCATAAATTAAAGAAACAAACAAAGAGAAGTCCACTTTGTAATGCAGTGTTTAAAGTCAAAGTGTACGTGGACATGAGGAATAATCCACGGGGTTTACAGCGCTGTCTTTAATCCGTGGTGATACTGAGGGTTACTGTTGGTGTGGAGGTCTGGAGCAGCTCTCAGTTCAGCTGTAAGCTTGTGTAATATATGAAGACAGAGTGAGTTACAACAGATGTTTCTGAGGCTTATGGCCTGATAAAGCTGTGATACTGTAAACACATGAAGAAAATATTAGAAATAATGTTGTTCTGTGATCGTGAAAAGACAAAATACAGAATTTTAAGACACGAAATCATCCACAGAGATTGGTCATTTAAAACAAGATCAGTCTTGAAGGGTAATCCATGACTGAATGTAGGCCAAGATGCAGAGGATAAGCCATCCAACCTGCGTCCAATCAAATGTCCTGATACTCCCATCTGACAGCTTCAACTGTGTTCATGTTTAAAGGTGGGGTAGGCAGGAATCTGTTAAAGAAGCATCTGTTTTGTGGTGTATCTACAAAAAAAGCTTTTAATATCAGTCAATAGTTCTTAGTTATTGATGACATTTGGTAATATCACGATATTGCTGTGTTTTGTTATGTCTGTGTAGTCAACATTTTAAATTTTTTGAGCCGCCCGCTCTTTCTGACTGTAAACAAAGCTGTTCTCCGCCTTCCCCGACCTGATTGGTTGTGAGGTGGATGCTACTCCTTAGTGCTAATTGGTTGTGAGGCAGACGCTGCTCCCCCGAGTCTTCGCGAGCCCAACCAAAGTTAGCGTGCTACAATATCAAAAAGTAGAAACCATCCAGAAAGTACGGAAAATTGTCCGAATCCCCCTTTGGCCCCGACTGCCAACACAAAAAAGAAAAAGTAAATACCGGAGACTCTGGTGGAATAACGGGCGATTAAAAAGGAGATAGACCGGACAAGAGCTAAAAAAGCCGTGTCAACAATGATGGGGGACGCTTTGGGATCTCAGGGACCCTGTAACCTTTCTACTGGACATGTAAACCTCTTTAACAAAGTAAGCCAAAGTGTCTGTAACAGAAGTGTTTCTTGTCAAACGGGACCTGCTGCGTGTTGTAGCGCTGCTAAACTGTTGACACTGCAATTCAGTCTAAAGAAAAATAACCAAGTCTGGGTTCATTTTTCTGTGTAGAACAGGAAGAGGCATCAGATTATTTTAAAATCCTCACATGGCCTGTAAATTTAAAATTAGGAGAACCTAAAAATAACAAACTCCTGAAAATGCTCCAACTGTTTAAAAATACATGAATCGAAGCCTTTTTTGTGATATCTAAAAGCAAATAAGACCATCAGTGATGAGACTGACGACTTTAATTTTTAATGCCTGAAACTGATGAGAGTAGATTTAAGTCAACCGGCTGAAGAAACAGTTTGGTTTTTAACAGTTTTCCATATAAAATATTCTCAATAAACGACACAACTCACTGGAAAAAGTAGAAGTAAAATGAACAGAGTGAGACTTGTTGTATGAAATCACTTCTGGAGCATGTTGAGGACAAATTAAGCATAGGCTGCCTTGTCCACAGGGGGCGCCAAAACTGGCACAAACAAAGAGAATCTCATGACAAACCAAGAATGTCTCTCTTATGAAACAAATATTTTTGTATAACAGAACTACATGCATACTACTGCAACATAGTCCACATAGTTGATATCAACTTTACGCTTCTGATCATGCAAAATTTCTTTTACAGGGGTCATGCCACCCCAGGCCACCCCTCTGTAAATGCCCATGTCTACACTTCAGACTCTGCTAATATGATAAAAAAAAAAGCAACAGGCACTTACTCCAAAGCAGCTGGAACCAGCGCATGAGGAGTATTTCAGCTAAAAATATCAGACTCAAAAAATACACGTCCTCCCACACACTGTCTGACTTAAAAAAATGTTAATCAGTGAGGTTTTAGTGGTAGACTCGTCAGGCAGACAGGTTGAAGAGTACTCTTTTTTTACTCATAGGTATTAGAAGTTGGGGTGATTGAATTTCTTTGATCCACCGTTGGATTCGGTCCTATCTTATGTCAGTCACTTTAAATATGAGGATAAATAGAGTTATTCTATCCCGACTTTCTAAACATGAAATTGTTCCCAAATTTTGAATCGTCTCTGCGTAACCCAACCAAGATCCCACAAGTCATCGCCCTCCCCGACATCATCTGCGAATCACGTCCCTCATCATGAAGTCACAGTCAAGAGATTACGCTCTCTCAACAGCTCTTCAATCCAATCACTAATCAGGCTGAGAACACACTCACACTCTCATAAGTACAGTTTCTTCTATATTTCACTCTGATATTTCACTCCGAACAAGGTCTGGGACTGGCTGCGAGCTGCCCCAAATGGATCTGTATTTACAGTGTCTAATGCGCACTGTGCTGCAGATTTGCGAGCACCTGTTCTGTTAATTAATTCAATGTACCAAAGAGGAGAAGACAAACTTTCATTCATTAGTCTTCACACAAAGGACGTCTGGGGAGAGATCTTTGAGTTATTGGTCATGATGCTGAAAAGTGTCGGGGTAATTGCAATCTCATTGTGTTATGGGAAGTGCAGTTTCCATAACCTAGAGGTGAAAGAAAGACTCTTGCAGATGCTGCAAAAAAAAAAAATTGCATTATTTCTGCAGATTTTAAAACCTTCCTTAATTGCTTTACCCGCACACGCTTAATCATTTCTTATCTAGACACCCCCAGGTAATTAAACCCACATAGAGCCTGATAATGAAGTGGATATTCTCTGCTATAGAAGAGGAAGAAGAAAAGGAAGGCAAAGAGGAGTGACAGGAGAGGTTCAGAGCTTTGACGTTATGTCTCACGCTCTTAAAAAAACAGATCTTTCATGTTTAGGGGAGGGGCGTTCCCGGCTACACCGCAGCTGTAATTCAATAATTCAATTTATTCCTCCATGATCATATCATGTCTGTCACGGTTACTTCGCACACCACTCTCCTGTCCTGTGCGCCTCAGATGATGCGTATCCCATAAGCGCTCTTTCTATGCTTTAGGAGATTTGCTCCTATACCATTTCTGATGCTTATCAAAAAATAGATCATCCCTCACACATGCAGGCGTCCTAGGAGCCGCTGCACCACAGCGAGGCTCACACACACTGTGGTGTCAAAAATAGTTCCAGTGGATCTCCTCCTGAAATCTACCCGACTGTGCTGCTGCTGCTGCTGCTCGTGTATCTGCACAGTAGAAGATATTGGAGCTGTTTCACTTTGTCCCCTTGCTTCCTTTCCTTGTCAGTCTCTCTCTTTCAGAGTACAATATGCTGGTTAACAGCTAATACATATATCTGAGGCAGCATCCAGAGCTGCGGGGGGTTCATTTCATTTCTTAAGCTGGCTAATTGGGAATGTAGGAAGTTGAAATGTGGGCTCAGCGAGAGATCAACTCCCTCCAGGAGACGTTGTCATCATTACAGTCTTAGTTAGTGCAGGAGTCAGAGGGCTTTGCAGTTGAGGAGATAAAAGCTTTGCTCTCTTCTGAGGCCTTAGAAATCAAGTCACAGTGCCTTAGAGCTTTTACACGTGTGAATGGGGGGGCAATGGGCTATCAATTAAAATGAAAACAACCTCGATGGTCAGGGTTGTTGAGGAGTGACAAGTGCTTCTTCTCTCGTTAGCCACAAATGAAAGACACCTTTCGACATTTTCCCCCCGCAGACGAACGCCGTGAAACGACGGAAGCACAACAATTCATTAGACTCTGTTGTCAAATTACAGTGTTCACAGCACACGGCCTCACACTCATTATCCTTTCTTAAGATGTAACATAAGATGTAACACAGGTGGAACAAAGGTCAAAGGTCGCCAGTGTTGTACTACCTTCTCATGACTTTTCTGGTAGCTTAACTGATGTTGTGTCACAGCGTGGAACTAATTATATGAGACCATCAACTGCAACACAACAGCTCAAGAAGCTCCGAGCTGATGCGTCTGTTAGATCATTATTCATCACTTTAAGCTCAAGAATTAGCTGGTGGGTTTTACACTTCCTGTTTGATTGTTGTTGAATCATTTAAGAGTTTCTCTGTTGATCAGCTCCTTAAAAAATTAAGTGTAAAAGCGGTAGTTTTTCTTGTCAAACGGACCTGCTGCATGTTGTAGCGCCGCTAAACCATTTACCTCGGGTCCTGGACTATGTCACTTTATCCTAGTTGTAGAAGTCCTGCAAACGTTGTGTTTGCTGGTAGTCTGTTAGCATCTACAGTAGCACCAATGCTGTTTACTTTCACGTTGACTGGGCCTCATTTGTAATTATCTGAAGTATTTATCTGCATTATATGTGAATTTAATTGAAACGATACGAGCGAGCAGGAGCGTCTGTTTGTGGGCGGGGCTTGCTGGAGCAGAGAGGGAGGGGAGAGGAGGAGCTGAGGGGAGAACTGGTTGGGAGAGGAAGTGTTTACAATTAAGATTTCTCCCAAAAACTGGCACTTCCTCAGATCCTGCGTACACCACCTTTAAAGACTTTACGAGGAGTTTTGGACTGGTTTTGAGTTTTGCGTGCGACTCCGCCACGTGTCGTAATGTCGCCTTTTAGGGGATTCAGAATATGGTCACCCTTAGTTAGCATAGATTTGCTCGGTGAAAACTAGCAATGTTAATAAGTGAAATACCAAATGGTGGTGGACTTGGGACCTTTTCCAGCTGCGGACTGGTACGCATCTGAGAATAAAACCTTCAGCGTCGATGTTCATTATATTAAAGAAACATCATTGTATGCTGCAGTGTGGCTCATCTATGCAGAGAAAAGATACCAGACTGTGGATAGAGAGTCAGTAC